GGCTGCGAGGTGCTCCTTACTTCGGTGCCGTCAGGGCGCAAGAATGCGCCAGGCGCAAACATGCCGGCCTCGATGCAGTTCCTCAGTGTCACGCGCGAGGGGTGACCGAAGCGCTGATGCCAGAGGTCATCGTTGGCGCGGAATCCAGAGGTGCGCATGTAGCGCGCGTGTGCTGCTGCGGGGTCCTCGTCAGGTACTTGGGCAGGTTCCTCCGCTGCTTCTTCAGCTTCTCCTTCTTCGTTCGCCGTCGTCAGCATCAGCCCCAGGAATTCCCTGTCAAGAATTACGGAGAGGGGAATGTTGGTGCCGGAAATTGTTCCGGGGAAGAAGATGGGCTCGCGCGGCTCGGGGTCAGGTCCGTAGGCTGTGCGACGGGGGGTTGAGGGCTCATTCCCCCTGTCGATAGTGTCCCAAGGGTCACGGTGCGGCTGGACGTCAGGTGGGGGTAGCGCAGGTGCAGGGCGACACGGGGGACGACCGAGAGGAACACCAACAAGTTCCGCCTCTTCTTCTTCTTCTTCCCCCCTTTGTTCTTCACGGGAAGTTCCCCAGCCTCCGCCAGAGGTACCCCAGCCGCCTGATCCGTTGCCAGATGCGGTGCCCCATCCGCCGTCTGCGTCTGCCCAGGTCCCGCCAGTGTCGCCGCCAGTAGCAGCGCCCCATCCGCCAGTCGCTCGTTCCCCATCCGCCGGCGCTTCCCCACCCCCCTTCATTGGAGGCGCTTTCCTCTTCTTCCGCGCCCCATCCGCTCCAGGCGAATGTTCCGCGCGATTCGGCAAGGCTCCTTTGACGGAGCTCCTCTGCTTCGCGTCGCGCCAACTCCTCTTCTTGCGCGATTGTGAGCTTTTTCTTGGGGTCGGGGTCGCGCCAGTGGGGGTAGATCTTCAGGAAGGCTTCCGTCGTGTACGGGCGCGGAGTTCCTTCCGCGTCGAAGGTGCCGATGTTTGTGCCGCACAAGATCCCCTGGAGATGGCGGGATGCGGGTCCGGCGAGAGGGTGTTCCGCCGTACCGTAGATGTTGCGCGTAGCAATCTCGAGCTCCATGGTCGACATGCCCTCTACAGGCGGCGCGAATCGCTCAGCTTCGGCGATCGCCGCGAGTCCGCGTCCGGCGATGGCGCTCGTCGAAGCAGTCGGCGTGTGGCAGTCCCTGCAGATGCCATCAGGCCCGGGGTAGTGCAGCGCGACTTTGCGAGCGTGCGAATGATGTGGCACCCAGGGTCTCCCATCGGGGTGCTTCCAGTCGGAGTGGTGAATGTGCTCGAAGCGCAGGGGAACGAGGTTGATTAACTCCTTTGAGTCGCCGCTGCAATCGGGGATGTCGAAATCGAGGATGTACACACCGTTCTCGGAGTGTGCCCGTCCGATCTGCCGGCGCGCCTTCTTTGGCGCTGTGTAGTGCAGGAGAATGTCGCGTGTGCGGAGGTCGTTGCTGAGCTCGACTCCGCAATCCATGAGTTGTGCCACCGAGAGGAGATTGAAGCGCAGGTTCTGGACTATGAGCACATCATTCAGAGTGATGTGCGTGGGGCTTCCCCGTGCTTTGAGCACGACGATTCCTTGCGTGTTTGCGCGCAGGCGGGTATTGTTCGCAACGGTGACGTAAGTGATCGTGGGGGTCGCGACGACGTTGGAGACGAAACGCTCGGATCCGACCATGTGCTGCCCGCAACAGCTGTCCAGGTACCAGGTATTGTAGCGCTTCCTGTCGTCACGTTCGAGCAGCGCCAGTCGCGGCGTGACGATATGCGGCGTGTCGAACTTTAAAAATCGCTCGCGCGAGATCCAATCGATCGGTGCCGCCCGTGTATTAGGTACGTGCGGGGGGCTTTCAAGCAGCGGGATTGGAAGGTTCCAATCCTGGTCGTCGTCGTCGTTGAAATCGTGGCGAGTGGTGAACGGATTGTTATCCGTGAACACTCCGATTGGGTGGCGTGTTGGCTCAGGTGACGGCGTGCGCACGCGGGGACGACGCGATCCGCTTGTTTTCGTCATCGTCATGTTGCCGATGACGTTGCGGACGGTAACAGTCTGTGACGGCTGCTGCTGCTGCTGATGCTGAACCGCTGGGTTCAGGTTGTGCGATGGGGGTTGGTGCCCCTGGGCTTGACGCATGTCGTTTCTTACGTCTTGTCGGCCGGACCAGTTGCTCCGATTGGTCTGGCGAGGGCGAGATCGGAACTTACATCGATCTGCCAAGTGCCCGAAGTTTCTGCAAATTTTGCAGTAAAGGCGCCGCGGCCGTCGCTCTTCCGTGTTGTCAGCGTAGAAGGCGAGGCCTTCCTGGTCTCGTCGCGGCGCTGGTCGCTGCTGGTCCATGTCTCTCTGTTCGACGAGAAGGGCGGCGCATAGGGCGGCTTCCGAGATAACCCCCTGCTATCGGAGCAGCGCCTTGCAGGGCCGCCATTCTGGGCCGAGCCCTTGAAGCACGATGTTCACGAACATTTCTTCGGAAATGCTGCTTCCCAACTTCGTGATTTGATCGCGGAGGCTCCGACATCGATTGATATAGCTATTGGCCTTCTCCCCTGTTGCCATTTTTGTCTCCAGTAGCTGCTGGAGCAAGCGGCTCGATGAAACCGAATCCTTCGGTTGGTAGACACCGTTTAGATGTCGCCAGGCGTCGAGGGCAGGAGCAGGTGTTGTTTTGTACGATCGTATGCTCAGCTGCTCCGCCGGCGACATGTTCCGCAGTAGGACGCTGTACGTCATCAGTGACTCGTTGTAGTACTGAGCCCTGGCGTCAGCGGTGTTCTCAGCACGTCCCGAGTAGCTCCCGTCGAAGTAGTGGAATATCTGCGCATTTTGCAGCAGCAGCTCCAGCTCGAAGCTCCACGTATAGAAGTCTCTGCCGTCAAAACACACGCTTGTCTTTATTTTTGATATGCTCAGGAACTTTGATTGAGCAGAGAGAATTGCTTCTTCGCTGGGACGGGGAGTCTTGGGAGTTGAGCCATTTGTGTCGAGGGAGAAGGTGTGCGGGGCGGTATTGTGGCCGTTCGAGGCCGGTTGAGAGGGTTGGGAAGATGTTCCCGCGTCGCCATTCCGCAATGTTTGGAGTCCTTGCTCCAGGCTGGTGAGTCGCTGAAGCAGTTGTGCGAGGACGGCGGTTCCAATCGTCGTCGTTTCCTCGCTCGTCGCAGCCGGGTTGGGCTGCGCTTCAGCGGTCAGATTCGTGTGACCTCCAGATCCTCCGGCCATTCTTATACGCGAGCGTGTGCCGGACGCCACCTTTCAATCGCCAAGTGTGTCGGGGGTGGCAGTGCGAAGGATTCGCGAGTCGCTCTCATACCATGCTGCGATCAGAAGTTGCTCGTGACCAGGATCACCTCCGGAAGGTTTGCACACGTCTAGGTAATGGTGGTGGGCCCTTGACCTCAAATCAGAGTGAATGTAAAATGATTGAGATAAATTAAAACATGCAAATACAAGCATATAAATAAGAGTACTGGGTGGAATACGAAACGACCTAGCTAGCCATGTACTCTAAAGGGTACATTCCCTTATTGCAGCGAAACCCAACTGTGCGAATCCAGATGGTTACGAAATGCTCGGGCAGAATCCTCGCCACTGCTGCTGCCTGATGCTGTCTGCCCTGACGGTCCAGATGCTTCGTAACCGTACGACCCTTCGTGCCGCTTCCGCCTTTTCGTCTTCAGCCTCGGTACTGCATGCTTCGATTGCTGCTGTCAGGAGCGCACAATAATACTTCATTTTTCACTATTTGTAACAAATTCTACTATATCTGTCCGACTGTCACCGTATAAGTGCGTGGGCTTACTATTTTTACTCGATTCGAAGCGCACCCCCTAAAAAAATGTGATATATTTATAAGCGCAGGTACGCATATATCCAGAGTGACACGTAAGTACTTTTTACTTATTTGGGACTATAACTTTAAATCTTATTTGCCAGACAAAGTAGATGTTTGCAGGCTGACAATCAACCTTATCAACCGGTTCACACCATGTTCCGGGTGTTACGACGGGTGTTATAGCTAGCATCTAGACCTGCCTGATTCATAAGACAAGTCATTCGACCCCATTTGATTTATCAGATACGTAGTTGGACAATTGGCAAAGAGAAGGCTCAAGATGAAATTGATGCAATACCAAGGGGCAATGACACACCAACATGCGGAGCCAGAGGATATCAAGCAGTATCAATCTCAATGATATGTTTGAGTTCACTAGATAGTTGATGTGCTTCATAATCAGAACAGCGTAATTGTAACGTGACCCGTAGTCTAAAGCATTACCTATTACGTCGAGGATCGATGTGCCTTCAACGATGGTACGATGCTTTTAGCGAGTGCGCTTTGCTGATGTGGACTGTTTCCAATGTCAATACAAATGCGGCTCGCCAACATTGCAGCGCCTCGATGAGTGTCTGCAATCTGTGCCTGTACGAGTGAGGGCTTCCCTGTAAAATGTCGCTCAAACCAGGGCTGTAACTTATCACACATTCGTAATCTGTCGTCGGCTGCATCTTGGCGACTCCTTACGACATCCACGCGATAGCTAGGACAAGAACCCAGGGTGTGCGATGCGCGACTTCAAAACCCAGGGTCCACACTTCCAGCACACTTTTCAGCCAGATGCAGCCAATTCAATTTGCAGCGTTCGATTTTGCGAGTGATGGGTCGTTTGCGGCGCCGTAGCCAACCGCAAAAAGGTATCTGCGTCGCGGGGAATCGCCCAGGGCAAACAGTTGTCGTCTGTATTTCCGCACCTGCCTGTGCGATCTCACCTCAACAGCAAATCGGGCAAGCCCTGTCGCCCCGGTCGACCTAACCTACCACGCCTTGCCTTGCTCAACTTTATAAGTCTCACTCCCTCCAGCTCAGATTATCAAAATACGCTCGACTCTGCTCACTTGCTAACTAACCTCAGTGTCTGCCTGCCTGACTCAATTTCTCCAGCTGATCCGACCTCCCTCGGTAGTACATTAACCTCAATCGTGCCGTTCAACCAGCTATCCTGTACCTGACTTTCTCAGCTATGGCTTCCAGAGTTGCTCTAGCGCTCTTCGCGACCTCACTTCTCCTCACCTCAGCAGCTGCTGCTCAGTTCGCTCCCCGGCCGTCGCCTGACTCATTGCCCACAACGACGCCCAAACCGACGCTCAGCACCTTCTCACCGCCGGCGACAACGTTTCGCGCGGAGCTGAAGCAAGTGGCGGGCATCCTCGCGGCCCAGCCAGGCTACAGCCTTCCGGCCAAAGTTTTCTCCACTCTTAGTACGCCTTCTGTTCCGCTGTTCTCACTCGTTGGTACACTTCCTGTTCCGTTGTGCTCCTTCGTTAACACACTTTATGTTCCGGCGTGCTCACTCGTTACCTAGCCTGGTTGCAATTTATCTGACAAGAGTACGATCTTATCAGTCGTCGCAACTAGCATACTCTTTGTGATCAACTGTACCTTCGCGCTTTCGTCTTGCATTTTCTCTGCACCCTACCTCACACCCGCTCGAGTCGCCGCCTTTCCGTCAGCTGCGAATCGCTGGTTCGCACGCGGAAAGCAATCCTTGTTCTCATGCTTCCCCTCGCTGCTGCTCCTTTTCTCTCCCCTCCCCGTCCACACGCCCCCCGCCCCCCCGTCACCCGCGTCTCGCTGTTGTCCTGTCACTCGAGTCTTCCCCAGGCAACTTCCCGAACGACAAGCTGAAGCTCGTCGAAAACACCACCGTTCTCGTCCCCACCGATGCCGCCCTTGCGAAACTCGGCCTTCGCGCGCTCTTCAACCCCGCTATGGTTACCAAATTCGCCCGGTACAACATCATTCGCGGGCGCTTCTCCTTCAGCCAAATGAAGAACCTCCCCCGGGGCACCCAGCTTCGCTCCCTTTACAAGAACCGCCCGGTAGAGCGCAAGGCCGTGAGTCCCGCCGCGAAGGACTGGGTGATCAAGAATAAGGACCTTCTCGAGACCAACTTCTTCCAGAAGGTCGGGACGCAAGCCGCAAACGGCGCTATCAACAAGCTCCTCCCGCCTGCTGGCAACGAGGTGGGCTTCGGCCGGCCCAACTCTGGCCCGCTGTCGTGGGTGCGGGTAGCCAAGCCAGACCTGTTCAACGGTAACTTTATCAAAGTTCACGGAGTGGATAACCTTATCAGGCCGTCTGCTTAAAAGGGTGTTTCAGGGTCGACTTTAGGGTAAATCCCGTTGCATGTAGTGTTAGTAGATTCGAATTTTCCATTCCATTACAGCTCCGGCTGCTTAGATTCTGTGATGTGCATAGGAAGTCTTAATATTGTTGGGGCACAGCTCGTGCCTTGGTACGCTGTATCTAATGTTGATGTTGACCATATTCAAGCGTTGCTCGAAGCAGCCTGAACATTGGCCGCACAAGGAGCTTGATGCTGTCTTGAACATCATGCTATCTCATTGCACCTTGCGGTTTGTCGTGGTAGCAGGGGCTGTGGGGGTTCCATGACTTGCACACATCACAAGCTGCGCCTTGGGAGGCAGCAGGGGCTGTAGGGGTCACACATTACATGCTGTATCTGGGGATGTGCCATTCTAGGGGTTTGGACATCGTTCAGCAGATGACTAGCAGCAGAGCTGCAGAGGACGTTGGTGGTTATGCACGGATCGGTTGCTTGGGCTTGACCACAATTGTAGCATGCTTTGGATTCTGAATGCTGGAAATACGGTGTCTCAAGCATCGATATCCTGTTATGTTTTTTACAAACAAGGGTACTCACCAGGGCCCAAAATTGGTTTTGGGCCACTCTTGCAAATCAGGGTTCCAGGCCCCCAGTACCCTGACTGTAAGGATTTTTCCTTTATCCTTACCGGGGTTGACTGCTACGCGTACAACCCCGATTTTCGGACTTCGCACGTTCGGCCGACATCAACGATGCCGAGGCACCCCCGCGTCGCCTTCGGCATTCCGTCGCCAAACCTGCACCCAACCTCGTTTCCCGAGGTTCCCTCCTAGCTAGGACACTCACTATATAATCGCGTGCCTTCATTGTAATCGACAGTTCATTAAGTCACAACTTCGTTATTCGTTATTCCGCGCACTTGAATGGTGGCGCCACACTTTGGACACAGGGACTCCGACAGGTGTGACACATGCGGCAGACGGGACCTTGACATCGGCTAATCAAGGGGCAACCTCAATCTTCGGAGTGACCAAGATACGCACGTGGAAGGAGTGGGGCGCAGCCTTACGAGATCGCTTCGAGCACGTATCCGCTTCGGAGCAAGCTCGCATGAAGCTGCGTAACTGGTCGCAGATGGCATCTGTTCAAGACTACACGGCGTCGTTTATGGCCTTTGCTGACCAAGTGGACGACGTGGCGGAAGCAGAGCGGTTAGATAAATACATCAGCGGCCTGAAATACGAGATACAGTACGAGGTGCGCCGATGCCGCCCGACTTCATTCCTGGAAGCTATACGGTTGGCTGAGTCTACAGACGCGTTGATGTAGTATGCGAGGGCAGGTTCCCGGGAAGGAATCCGTCTTCGTGGACAGACCCAACGGGCCACAATCAACGTAGTCCACACACCAGACCGCCCCTTTACAGGGACGTGTTTTAAGTGTGGGAAGACGGGTCACTACGCAAGAGAATGCCCCAAGAAAACACCGGCGAAGGGGAACGACAGGAGGGAGCAGGGAAATGGGAAGAGTCAGTAATTTACGGGCCCCTTACTGACTATGCTTCGTCGCCCGAACACCAACATCCCCACCGAGTAGTGGTTCCGATTCATGCAATCGATCGCACTCGGCCGAATAACGGGGATACTCATGTGGATCACCCTGTGCTGGTCGTTGGCACAGTGTTAAAAATTACTCTGAAAATGTTCGTCGACGGAGGGGCCAGCCATAGCCTCTTCAACTTGGCGACAGCAAAAAAATGCAAGCTGCAACTTGACAGGTGTCTGCCCGAAATTGACGCTCGCCTCGTGGATGGGACGCCTCTGGCGATTTTAGAAGAAACACGGACGGTGAGGATCGAGTGCGGCGACATTTTCGGCTTCAGCATGAAGTTTCTCGCGACTACACTGGATGGCTGCGACGTGCTGCTGGGACGTGATTGGCTACGACGGCACAACCCCGTCATCGACTGGACAACGGGATCGTGCTGCATCAACAAGCACGAGGGGCTAGTTAAACTGCCTGCATGGACACCTGACTACATCCAAGCCCCGTGCGTCAAAGCTATCACTATAGCTCGCCACTTCAACAGGGGCGCGCAGCTATACGCTGTATGTTTGCGCGAGTTGGCAACCGACACCGACGGACAAGACATCGAGAAGCTGTGTGCAGCTGTACCGCCGGATTTAGCGGAGCTGATACGACCGTACCCGGACATTTTCCCCGACGACCTGCCACCTGGACTGCCACCCGAGCGACCCGAAGACCACAAAATACAGCTGGAACCTGGCGCGCAGCCGACTGTTCGTACACAGTGGCGGTTGACCCAACCGGAACTCGAGGAGCTGCGAAGCCAACTTGATGGCTTGTTGGAGAAGGGGTTTATCAGACCCAGTACGTCTCCCTACGCGGCCCCGATCCTGTTCACCCCGAAGAAGGACGGTGGGCTTCGCATGTGTATTGATTATCGCGCGCTCAACCGGGTTACAATCAAGTCTCGCTACCCGATCCCACGCACCGACGACCTCCTCGACCAACTTCGCGGCGCTCGCTACTTCTCAAAAATCGACTTACGTGGCGGTTACCATCAGATACGGGTCTTCGCAGACGATTGTTATAAGACCGCGTTTCGCACCCGCTACGGAAGCTACGAATTCCAAGTGATGCCGTTCGGCCTCACAAATGCGCCTTCGACTTTTCAACTGACCATGAACCGAGTTTTCAGGGAATTTCTTGACAAGTGTGTTATTGTCTACTTGGACGATATTTTGATTTTCAGCAGGACAAGAGAACAACACCTCCGCGACCTCGACGCAGTTTTTAAGCGGCTGCAGGAAAACCGCCTCATCACCAAGGGCTCTAAGTGCGAGTTTTTCAAGCAAGAGTTGGAGTTTTTGGGCCACGTCATCTCCTGCGACGGCATTAAAATCGACCCGGCAAAAAATCAAGGCTATACAGGAGTGGAAGTCCCCGACGAATATCACGGAACTTCAGAGTTTTCTGGGGTTCGTGAATTATGTCAGGAGGTTTATCCCGAATATGGCGGGGATAACCGGCCCGCTAACCGACCTGCTGCACAAGGACATCAATTTTGTGTGGGGGGAGGAAGCAGAGGCGGCTTTTCAGGAACTGAAGAATTTTCTGGTATCCCCTCCGGTTCTACGCATCGCCGACCCATCGAAGCCGTTCGAAGTCATCACCGACGCCTCAGATTTCGCCATCGGAGCTGTACTCCTCCAGGATTTCGGAGACGGGCTGCAGCCGATTGCCTACGAATCACGCAAGCTGCAGTCTGCCGAGCGCAACTATCCGATACATGACAAGGAGATGCTCGCAATTATACATGCGTTCAAACTATGGCGCTGCTACTTGGTAGGCGCCGACGTCACTGTTCGCACGGACCACAAGTCCCTACAGTACCTGCGAGCTCAGCCCAACCTCAACCCGCGACAAGTTCGTTGGCTCGATTACATGGAGAGCCACTTCACCTACCGCATCACGTACAAGAAAGGGGCGAATAACATCGCCGACGCCCTTACCCGACCAACCGTACAATCCGCTGCAGTACTCATCACCCACTCAAACCCACTACTTACAGGACTATTCACCCACGGCTACACTACGGACCCGTTCTTCACGACTGGAAATCACCAGCAAGCAACGACGCAGAAGGGGAACTATTACCTAAAAGCCGGAACGGACCGGATTTGGGTTCCCGCTTACCGACTGCTGCGTGAACTCCTTATCCAGGAGGTCCACGATTCCAACCTCTCCGGACATTTCGGGGTTGATAAAACCCAGAAACTGTTGCACCGTCAATATTACTGGCCTGATTCCTCTAACGACGTGCAGCGATATGTGTCCTCATGCAGGGTGTGCCAAGCCATGAAATCGACAAGACAGCGGCCAGCTGGATTGCTGCAACCACTGGAGCCACCCGAGCGACCATGGCAACATGTGACGATGGACTTCGTCACGGGGCTGCCAGCTGGGCCGTCCGGAAACGACGCTGTACTCGTCGTCGTCGATCGCTTCACGAAGATGGCACACTTCGCACCGTGTCGTACAACAATCACAATCGAAGAAACCGCGCGACTCTTCATCTCAACCGTCGTGCGACTACACGGGATCCCGTCGGCGATCGTCAGCGATAGGGATCCGAAGTTCACTTCCAGGTTTTGGAAAGAGACGTGGGCGCAGTACGGCACAAAGCTGCAGTTCTCATCAGCATATCATCCACAAACCGACGGGCAAACCGAGCGAACCAATCAGACGATGGAGCAGCTGATCAGGACAAACTGCCCCGACCCCACTCGCTGGGAAATGTCACTCGCCATGCTGGAGTTCGCGTTCAACAACGCACCGTCCAGCACGACTAATCACTCCCCGTTTTCCCTGAATTACGGGATGGACCCGGTGGTACCAACCACCACGACACTCGACAACCCGGTCCCACGGTCACAAACATTTGTGACAGAACTTCAAGAGATCCGCGAGAAAGCAGTCGACGCTATTCGCAAGGCGAATATTACTGCCCGGAAATACTCGGATCTTCTACGACGAGAAATCGTCATGACGCCTGGGCAACTAGTGCTACTCGACACAAAAAACCTACGCCTGCCCGGCTCGAACAAACTACGGCCACGATTTTGTGGGCCTTTCCGCATCATCCAGATGGTGACACCTGTCACTGCGAAGCTGCTACTACCCGACGACTGGCGTATACACGACGCCTTCCATGTCAGCCTCCTTCGCAAGTTCGTGCCTGCCACGACAGACATAGCGCGCCAGAACGCCGCCCCGACAGCTCGACCTGTCTCGGAACCGACCACCGACCCTTCGAAAATACTCGGACATCGGATACGGCTCGACGCCACTGGCCGCCACGTGGACTTTCTAGTCCGATGGACTGACCGCACCAGTGAGGACGACACATGGGTGCCATCCGCATCGCTTGAAGCATCCCCGCTTCTTGGTGATTATTTCGCCCGCAAGCGCGTTGCGGATATTGACCACCTTGCTTAAGGGGGGGGGGTAGTGTAAGGATTTTTCCTTTATCCTTACCGGGGTTGACTGCTACGCGTACAACCCCGATTTTCAGACTTCGCCCGTTCGGCCGACATCAACGATGCCGAGGCACCCCCGCGTCGCCTTCGGCATTCCGTCGCCAAACCTGCACCCAACCTCGTTTCCCGAGGTTCCCTCCTAGCTAGGACACTCACTATATAATCGCGTGCCTTCATTGTAATCGACAGTTCATTAAGTCACAGCTTCGTTATTCGTTATTCCGCGCACTCTCCATTACAACTCATAACACTGACCCCTAGGGTAATATTGGCAGCAGCCTAAAATTTCAGATACACTGTTTGTGTCGGTAAAATTGTTGATACACTTTTTTTAGTGTAAACTGTGATACATATTGACTGCATTGCACTGCAGCGCGGCATGTCTCAGCTGTTAGATGTTAGGCTAGGCGTCTAGAGATCGCAAGTTCGAATCTTGGCGGGTGTTGTAAGACTTTGCGCCTTCGCAAGGGAGGCCGGAAGTTTAGAATTTTATCTTTTGCCATAGCTATTGACTGCATTGTAGTGGCAGCGAGGTATGTCTCAGCTTGTTTGATGTTTGGCTAGGCGTCAAAAGATCGCGAGTTCGAATTCCGGTAGGGTTGATAATATTTTGCGGCTTCGCAAGGAAAATCCTCCCTACAGAGGATTCGGTATCAGTGTAATGTGCAGCGCACCCTGATACCGGCAGGGTAACCGAAATTGTATCAGTGTACTCCAAACCTTACCCTTTTTTCACTAGGGTAAAAATTTCCATAGGCTGATTTGGCAAGGGTAACCGGGAAAAAGCGGCCGCTCATCAGGGCGAACAGGGTATTTTACCCTGATAATTTGGGCCCTGGTACTCACTCGCGTTCAGATGCTCGTGTGCTGTATTCCGCAACGTTGGGAGGTGGATCATACTTGCTGTTTGTCTCGTGCAGTCTCGATGGCCTCACAGAAACCACTGGACTACATGTGGGTATCAACGTAAGGACAGAAATTTGATTACCCTAGCTGTTGCAGGATATGATGTCCCACACCACAGTTTCATGTTGTGTCGCATACGTTCGTTTCAGTAAAATATTAGCGATTTGCAACAGTTTTCAATAAATTTATCTTATTACTAGGAGAACTCTGTTATACCTGTTCGAGTTATTGCATTATGGAAAGGCTTTGTGTAAGGGTAAGAGAGTTATGCATGGGTGTTTTCGTGCTGTGATCGGAATGAAGCTATATTGAGGGAATCGCAGTTTTCATCCTTGTCGTCACGTTGAAGCTGCCGAACCAGCCTCGGTTTTCCCGAGAAACTGACAATCGGAAGCACAGGGATTGTCAGAATACTGCATTTAACCCACGAGTGGAAACTCGGCTACACGAATCTTACGGTGTTAGTCAGAGCTTTCTCAACTCGGTTTGCTTCTGCCTTCTCGCGCAAGAGCGCTTCTCGCGCAAACCCTTGTATATCATAGAAATACCTTCCGCATCCCTTACCTCCATTTCAAACCGCTGTTTTCCGAAGTGCTGGTATTGATTTACGCATGGATCGCTGTGCCTGGCTAAAAGCGCAGCCATGGCTCAAACCGCATGCGTCTCTGAACCGCAGCCGTGTTAGCGATCCTGACACCCCTATCAATGCTAACGAGCCTAACACCGAACCAGCTGGTTCGATCGCCGAACCAGCTAATCCTGCAAACCTTCCGTCTCCAGAGCCTAGCTGGGTCTTTAAAGGCTACGGAAGCTTCCACGTCAGTGCGTCGGAACAGTACGGATCGCAGTCCGTTGGAATGCTTTCGCAGCACCTTGAGCATGTCGGTTCACATCACAATGCGCTTTTCTCGAGGGAAACGCCATCTCGTCATGATAAGCCTCGGATGGATGAGCTGTTGGGTTTTCTCGCTCCCGACGCCATTCACCTCGAGTTTGCCGTGGACCATCGGAACCCTAACACCACGCTTTTTGTGAGTGCAATGGGTGTGAATGTATCGGTGTGAGTGCTGCAGGAGGCGTGTGGGTTGGGTGTTTGCTCCAGGCAGGAGGTTGAGATATTTTGAGGCCACTAACCCCACACATCTGGGGTAGGGGCATGTTAGTTAAGGCCATTACTCCTCGTTCTATATCTCTCATTCATTGTACTTCGTACTCTCGCTGTATCAGGGTGTCCGAGTGGGCTGCTGCGTGCTCCAGCCTGCCCTCACGTTTCTTGAGATGATTAGTCCTCACCGTGCTCTGTACTATATCTCTCATTCCATAAATCGCATTCATCATATTCCGTAATGCTCCTGTATCAGGGTGTCCGGGTGGGTTGCCTGATCCAGCCCGCCCTCACGTCAACTGATCACGTGCCTGCAGTGGCAACGTCAGCACCAGCGCCAGCAGCACCAGCAATGTCAGCAGCAGCAGCTGCAGCAGCAACAGCCTGTGCAGAGACACGAGCAGCAGGCATAGCCCCAGAATCGAAGTCCGCACCAGTTGCACGACGCAGGTATTATAACGGCCTGTCTGCCATTTTAATGCGTGTGTGGAAGAGAAAAATGGGAGTGGAATGGGGGAGACGGGATTGTGTTTTGCGTATGTCCGTATCTCTGTCTCGGTGTCTTGAATGGGTCTCGTCTGCTAAGAATTACCACGTACTCCCATTGTTTCAGGACTGTGCTCGATTTTGGGACAAATGGCGTTTTCCTATTGGACGCCACTGCCATCCGCCAGCTCATCAGAGGTACTCGGACGTTGCCATGCTCCACGTGTCATCAGCTGGAAGGGCGTTGCAACAAACGGCTTGGAAGCAACCGAAGGCGTGGTATCCAAGGCCTTGATGGTTACCAGCAGCACTGTAACCAAGGTCACCGTGGAAACAGTGATACTAACAGATGTCACAATGCCGAGGGCCGGGGTGTTCCTGGTGCTGGTGGTCTGAAAAGGAAACTCTTCCAGGAAAGCGAAGAGGCGGACAGGGGGAGCAGTAAGAAGAAAAGGAGAGGAAAGAAGGGGGATGCTGGAGTTTTAGATTGCGATCACGGAAAGGGGGTTGATTCAGGAGGGGCTGAGGGTGGGGATAGAAACGAAAGGATGGGAAGAGAAAGGAAGGGAGGGAGAATGGGAGCACGTATCAGAGGGAAACGGATGAAGGTTGCCAGGGCGCACAGCAGTCAACAGGGTAAGAAAGGAGCAGGGAGAGCAAGGAGAAAGCGAGGAGTGGGTGGAGTGTCAACGCGTCTTGCACTGAAGCGTGGGGTGGGTGGGAGAAGGGGAGGAGCACGGACGAGGAGGAGTAATCGGAGCAATGGGGCTTGTGGTCGGCTGGGTGGTGAAGAGGAGTTGGAAGGGGTGGAGGGTAGGGAGAAGGAGAGGGGGCAGAGGGAAGAGGAAGGGGAGGGAGGGGAGAGAGGAGAGGGAGAGGAAAGAATGGAGATGGGGAGACGTGTGGAGGAGGAGGATAGTGACGCCGTGCTTGTGGAGGGGCCTGGGGTGGGGAGGCTGGGCGAGGAGGAGAGGGAGGGGTGTACGGGTGTGGGGAGTGGTGCTGCGGGTGTGGGGAGCGATGAAGTGAGCAGGGCCTTGGATGCGTCTCAGAAAGCTGTTGGTGTTGGCAGTGAGGAGGGCGGTAAACGTCTGGAGTTGTCTCAAAGAGCTCTTGGTGTTGGGAGTGACGAGGGGAGTAAGGATTGGAAGGAGAGGAATGTGATCTGCACCCAGTATCCCACCAAAACGAATAACGAGGCACGTCATAACAGGGGTATGAACGTGTTCAGCACTCGGTTTTTTGTTATCGAGCCAAGGCGTGGAGTGGGGAGCGGAGAGGGGGAGGAGAGAGAGGAGGAGGAGGGGGAAGGAGAAGAAGAGGAGGTCGAGGAGATTATAATGGAGGAAAAGGAGGAAGTAGAGGAGTCTGAGGAGGAGTGGGAGGAGGGGGAAGAGGAGGGGGGAGAGGATGAGGAGGAAGAGGAGGAGGAGGAGGAAGAGGAGGAGGAGGAGGAGGAGGAGGAGGAGGAGGGGGAGGAGGAGGAGGAGGAAGAAGTGGAGGAGGAGGAAGCAGACGAAGACGAGGAAGGGGAGGATAACGAAGGAGAAAATGATGAGGCTGGAGGAGGGAACGAGTGGCGAGAGGTGGAGGAGGGGGGCACGGAGAACTATAATGGGCGTCCGCATTCCCGCACAGCCTGTGTGCATGCTGTGCCGTATGTCAGCCTGCTGCTGCCACATGTCACCTTTACGCTGCACGGGCTGTGTGGATCAGAGAAGCAAGAGGAGCAACGGGAGCAAGGGGAGCAATGGGAGCAAGGGGAGCAGGGAGAGCAAGGGGACCCAGGGCCAGACGTTGAAAGGTATGTGCCCCTCTTCTCCCTTTTGTGTTGTCGTGAATGTATGTGCCTCTTATTTTTCTTGTCTTGATTCTTTCCATATCTTCCATGTTTTCTTGCCCTTTCTAACCTCTCTGCAATGCAGTGTGGTTCTCACCGTAGCAGCTTCTATGGCAGCAGCGGCAGAAGCAGCAGCATCAACTGCGAACGCCTCAAGTGCCACCCTCCCTCCAGCCATGTCATCCGTCTCCTCCCTCTCGTCCCCTCTCTCCGCCTTCCACGGGTGGACATCAGCATGTGAGCGGTTGAGTGCAGCAGCAGTGGGGGCCACAGAGGCATGCGGGGCGGACAGCTGGCTCATGTCACACCTGCTGCTGCAATCAGTAAGTGTGAACGTGAAATGAAAGAAGAGAATAAGTGCTTTTGTGTCACTGCAGGTGTGTCTCCATATGTGCGCATCAGCGTGTGAGCGGTTGAGTGCGGCAGGAGTGGGGGCCACAGAGGCCTGCGGGGTGGACAGTTGGCTCATGTCACACCTGCTGCAGCAATCAGTAAGTCTGTAGTCTATACATAAAATCTATATACGCTTGAAATGTACATACATAATGTGTGCCTCCACTGGTGGGCATCAGCGTGTGAGCAGTTGAGTGCTCAGGGCCACAGAGCCCTGTGGGGCGGACAGCTGGCTCATGCGGCACAGCACATGCTGGAGCGAACAGTAGGAGTGTTACAAGCAAGGTCTCTGACGTTTTGGGATACCACCACTGTTGGTGTTGCTGTTTGCAACATGAAATTCTGCTGGTTGATGGGACTGACGTGCAATGTGCCATGTGCGACCCACCACTGACAGGCTCGTTTTTCATCTATTGGAGAGGTGGCACACGGAGAGCTGGTGGCAGGGGCTGCAGCGATACACAAGCAATATGCCAGTGCGCAGGTGAGAGCTCTATACAGAGAAAGGGAACTTGTTATGAGGCGCCTAAGAAACCAATGCACAGGTGAGTTGCTCTTTGGGAGCAAGGGAGCTGAAGGTGACTCTCTGTGTTTCCTTACACTTTCAGAGACTCTGCCCACATCGTGTGATGCAGGATGAAACGAAGGTGGGGACTTGGTGGTGATGTTCTGAGTCGACTCAGAAGAAACGAAGGCGTTGCACTGGCGGTATTTTCTAGTCTCCCCAAGCCAATTGAATCCGCCTCCTCCTGTATCCACTTTCGTTCCTATGTGACAGGTCGAGCAGAGACAGGCCAGCTGAATCCTCCCTCCCATGCTCATTTTCCATCCACTCCAATCCTCCCTCCCTCTCGTATCTGTTTTCTGTTTCTCTTTCTGACAGGACGAGCTGAGAAAGGCCCTGGAGCTCCTCCGATCACAGGCGTCCAGGCGCAGGGGCGCACCTCCGAGTCCTGCTGTGACGAAGGGCATGACGTCTTCCCATGTCCCTTTTCCCTTTTCCCTTTTCCTTCCTCTTTTGCAGGATGAGCTGAGAAAGGCCCTAGAGGTCCTCCGGTCGCAGGCATCTAGACGCAGGGGCGCACCCCTTAGCCCTGCTGCAACACAGAACACGGGTTCCCTGCTTGACAAGGTATGCTGTGATTGATGCGAAAGGCGAGTAGGAGAATTGTGCAAGTATCTGTGTGCAGGTGTCTAGACGCAGGGGTGCACCTCCTGATCCTGCTGCGATGACAAGGTATGCTGAAATTGTTGTGAAGGGTGCCACGTGACTGGGGGTGGGAGCAGTAGCGACTGTGCAGGCATCTGAACGCAGGGCCGCACCTTCTAGACCTGCTGCGATGGGAGATGTAAGCTCCCTACTTGACAAGGTATGCTGAGATTGATACGAAGGGTCGCATGTGTGAACCGGGAGTTGGAGCTATGTGCGTCACATTACAGTTTTGTATTCCAACGATGCCAATTCTACCCTTTCTGCCTTGCCTGTGCAGGTTGGAAGTCTTCAGAAGCAGCTGCTTCTTGTGAACATCTTTGGGAAAAAAGTTTGTTGAAGACTGATGTAGGACTGATGTAGTTTAGTTGAAGACTGATCTAGTTTTAATACCGCCAAAGTTTCGCCCAATATCGATATGGCATCGGGGATGTAGCTCAGATGGTAGAGCGCTCGCTTAGCATGCGAGAGGTATGGGGATCGATACCCCACTTCTCCACGTTTTCGTCTTGGCTTGCGATTTTTTCCCACCGTGAACCGATTTTGCATTCCTCTCATCGCCATTCCTTCCCCACGAAAGTCTTCCCACGCGCTAAAATTCCGTCGCCCGCGGCGCTAAGTATCTTGAGCAATTTTGTTGTTTTACCGGCTAGTTGACGGAGCTTGCTGTCAGATAGACGCGAGTTGGACATTTGCGTGTGGCGGCGGAAGCTGGCCTTAGGGGCGCGTTTGACTGACCTCTCTCTCTGTGGCGCCATGCACCATAAGCTAGCAATCTCGGTGACGTCGTGCCGACTCGAGGTGACGTAACCGGTCATCGATGTGACGTCAAGGATCGTCGAGGCGTCGTAACAAATTGCAGTCGTACGGGCCTTTCGCGATTGGAGCGGTAGCGAGGGCGGCTCTGGTAACCGTGACGGCGTATCGGGCCTCGTTACAACGCGTATGGAGCGGGACCGTCGCCGACCAGTCACCCGCGCGACTGTGGTGTTCGTCGCGTTCGGCACGCGAGGGGACGTGCAGCCGCTTGCGGTAGGCTCTTGCAAGTTCCCCCCTCCCCCTAATTACCTCCGCCCTTACCTTCCCCCGTACACCCGCCCCCTCCCCTCTCCCCCCCACTTCTCTTTCCCCACCCTGTTCGTCGCGTTCGGCACGCGGGGGAACGTGCAGCCGCTTGCGGCAGGCTCTTCCTCCTCGCCTCTCCCCTCCTCGCCTCTCCCCTCCTCGCCTCTCCCCTCCTCGCCTCTCCCCTCCTCGCCTCTCCCCTCCTCGCCTCTCCCCTCCTCCCCTCTCCCCTCCTCGCCTCTCCCCTCCTCGCCTCTCCCCTCCTCGCCTCTCCCCTCCTCGCCTCTCCCCTCCTCCCCTCTCCCCTCCTCCCCTCTCCCCTCCTCGCCTCTCCCCCTCCTCGCCTCTCCCCTCCTCCCCTCTCCCCTCCTCGCCTCTCCCCTCCTCGCCTCTCCCCTCCTCCCCTCTCCCCTCCTCGCCTTCCCCCTCCTCCCCTCTCCCCTCCTCGCCTCTCCCCTCCTCGCCTCTCCCCTCCTCCCCTCTCCCCTCCTCGCCTCTCCCCTCCTCCCCTCTCCCCTCCTCGCCTCTCCCCCTCCTCGCCTCTCCCCTCCTCGCCTCTCCCCTCCTCGCCTCTCCCCTCCTCGCCTCTCCCCTCCTCCCCTCTCCCCTCCTCGCCTTCCCCCTCCTCGCCTCTCCCCTCCTCGCCTCTCCCCTCCTCGCCTCTCCCCTCCTCGCCTCTCCCCTCCTCGCCTCTCCCCTCCTCCCCTCTCCCCTCCTCGCCTCTCCCCTCCTCGCCTCTCCCCTCCTCGCCTCTCCCCTCCTCGCCTCTCCCCTCCTCGCCTCTCCCCTCCTCGCCTCTCCCCCTCCTCGCCTCTCCCCCTCCTCGCCTTCCCCCTCCCCCGCCTCTCCCCTCCTCGCCTCTCCCCTCCTCGCCTCTCCCCTCCTCGCCTTCCCCCTCCTCGCCTTCCCCCTCCTCGCCTTCCCCCTCCTCGCCTTCCCCCTCCCCGCCTTCCCCCTCCTCGCCTTCCCCCTCCCCGCCTTCCCCCTCCCCGCCTTCCCCCTCCCCGCCTTCCCCCTCCCCGCCTTCCCCCTCCCCGCCTTCCCCCTCCCCGCCTTCCCCCTCCCCGCCTTCCCCCTCCCCGCCTTCCCCCTCCTCGCCTTCCCCCTCCCCGCCTTCCCCCTCCCCGCCTTCCCCCTCCTCGCCTCTCCCCTCCTCGCCTCTCCCCTCCCCGCCTCTCCCCTCCCCGCCCTTCCCCCTCCCCGCCTTCCCCCTCCCCGCCTTCCCCCTCCTCGCCCTTCCCCCTCCCCGCCTCTCCCCTCCCCGCCTCTCCCCTCCCCGCCTCTCCCCTCCTCCCCTCTCCCCTCCTCGCCTCTCCCCTCCTCGCCTCTCCCCTCCTCGCCTCTCCCCTCCTCCCCTCTCCCCTCCTCGCCTCTCCCCTCCTCGCCTCTCCCCTCCTCGCCTTCCCCCTCCCCGCCTTCCCCCTCCTCGCCTCTCCCCTCCTCGCCTTCCCCCTCCCCGCCTTCCCCCTCCCCGCCTTCCCCCTCCCCGCCTTCCCCCTCCCCGCCTTCCCCCTCCCCGCCTTCCCCCTCCCCGCCTTCCCCCTCCCCGCCTTCCCCCTCCTCGCCTTCCCCCTCCCCGCCTTCCCCCTCCCCGCCTTCCCCCTCCTCGCCTCTCCCCTCCTCGCCTCTCCCCTCCCCGCCTCTCCCCTCCCCGCCCTTCCCCCTCCCCGCCTTCCCCCTCCCCGCCTTCCCCCTCCCCGCCTTCCCCCTCCCCGCCTCTCCCCTCCCCGCCTCTCCCCTCCCCGCCTCTCCCCTCCTCCCCTCTCCCCTCCTCGCCTCTCCCCTCCTCGCCTCTCCCCTCCTCGCCTCTCCCCTCCTCCCCTCTCCCCTCCTCGCCTCTCCCCTCCTCGCCTCTCCCCTCCTCCCCTCTCCCCTCCTCGCCTCTCCCCTCCTCGCCTCTCCCCTCCTCGCCTCTCCCCTCCTCGCCTCTCCCCTCCCCGCCTCTCCCCTCCTCGCCTTCCCCCTCCTCGCCTCTCCCCTCCTCGCCTCTCCCCTCCTCGCCTTCCCCCTCCCCGCCTCTCCCCTCCTCGCCTTCCCCCTCCTCGCCTCTCCCCTCCTCGCCTCTCCCCTCCCCGCCTTCCCCCTCCCCGCCTTCCCCCTCCCCGCCTTCCCCCTCCCCGCCTTCCCCCTCCTCGCCTTCCCCCTCCCCGCCTTCCCCCTCCCCGCCTTCCCCTCCCCGCCTTCCCCCTCCCCGCCTTCCCCCTCCTCGCCTTCCCCCTCCCCGCCTTCCCCCTCCCCGCCTTCCCCCTCCCCGCCTTCCCCCTCCCCGCCTTCCCCCTCCCCGCCTTCCCCCTCCCCGCCTTCCCCCTCCCCGCCTTCCCCCTCCCCGCCTTCCCCCTCCCCGCCTTCCCCCTCCCCGCCTTCCCCCTCCCCGCCTTCCCCCTCCTCGCCTCTCCCCTCCCCGCCTTCCCCTCCTCGCCTTCCCCCTCCTCGCCCTCCCCCTCCTCGCCCTTCCCCCTCCTCGCCCTTCCCCCTCCCCGCCTTCCCCCTCCCCGCCTTCCCCCTCCTCGCCTTCCCCCTCCTCGCCTTCCCCCTCGCCACCTTCCCCCTCCTCGCCCTTCCCCCTCCCCGCCTTCCCCCTCCTCGCCTTCCCCCTCGCCACCTTCCCCCTCCCCGCCTCTCCCCTCCTCGCCTTCCCCCTCCTCGCCCTTCCCCCTCCTCGCCCTTCCCCCTCGTCACCTTTCCGTACCTTCCTCCTTATCTTCCTTTACCATCCGCCTTACCTTCCCCCCTTCCCCCATTTACCTTCAACCCCCTCCTTCCCCCCCTTTGCACCCCATTCCCCCACCTTCATTCCCCCTCCGTGTAGGTGCTAGCATCAGCACTCGCCGCAGGGGGGACTTTTGAGGCACCTCAAAAGTTCTTCCCCCTCTCTTGCACCCCCATTCCCCACCTTCATCCCCCCTCCGTGTAGGTGCTAGCATCAGCACTCGCCGCAGGGGAGGTCCAAGATGAGAGAGACAGGGGTGCAGGAGAAGTTTTGAGACGTCTCAAAACCCCCCCTTGCACCCCATTCCCCCACCTCCATTCTCCCTCCGTGTAGGTGCTAGCATCAGCACTCGCCGCACAGGGGGTACACGATGAGAGAGACAGGGGTGCAGGGGAAGAGGGGGAAGAGGGATGGGAGAAAGAGGGGGAAAAGCGTGGAGGGTACGGGGGAAAAGAGGTCAGGGGAAGGAGGGAGAGGAAAACGTCGATGGCAGTGTGGTTTGTGACGCATCAGGAGCACCAGGTGTGGTTTCCCCTTCAGATCTCTGTTTCCTCTTCAGGTCTCTGTTTCCTCTTCGGGTCTCTGTTTCCTCTTCAGGTCTCTGTTTCCTCTTCGGGTCTCTGTTTCCTCTTCGGGTCTCTGTTTCCTCTTCAGGTCTCTGTTTCCTCTTCAGGTCTCTGTTTCCTCTTCGGGTCTCTGTTTCCTCTTCAGGTCTCTGTTTCCTCTTCAGGTCTCTGTTTCCTCTTCAGGTCTCTGTTTCCTCTTCAGGTCTCTGTTTCCTCTTCAGGTCTCTGTTTCCTCTTCAGGTCTCTGTTTCCTCTTCAGGTCTCTGTTTCCTCTTCAGGTCTCTGTTACTGTTTCTCGAGGCCTGCAATTCTAAATACCACGTACGTTTCTTCAATGCGTCGCGTACGTTTCCGGTGAATAAAGATTTCGTTGTTCCACTCCCCTTTCTTCTCTGGTGTCCTGTCCCGTGCCTTACCTGCAGCGCAGCCTTGGGCCGAGCCTAACAACACACGGAGTGGGCTTTGTGGGAGTTACTTCTCCTGCCTTCAAGAAACGAGAGGTCCGGGAGAGGACAGAGGAGAAAGCAGAGCGGGACAAGGGGAGTGGAGAACCGTTAGAAACGAGAGAGGAGGAAGAGGGGATAGGGGAAGTTGGGAAGGGAGAGGGGATTGGGGAAGGCGAGGGAAGAGAGAGAGGGAAGGCAAAGGAGGGAGGGGAGATTGACCAGGCAAAGGAGGGAGGGGAGATTGACCAGGGAAAGGAGGGAGGGGAGATTGACCAGGCAAAGGAGGGAGGGGAGATTGACCAGGGAAAGGGGAGAAAGCGGAGGCGGATTATAAGCATGAGTGAAGGAAAAGAAGAAGAGAACGAAGGGGGGGATACAAACGATGACGAAGAGGAGGGATGGGGAGAAGAGGAGGAAGGGTGGGGAGAAGAGGAGGAGGGGTGGGGAGAAAACGAGGAGGGTCGGCATCGCAGGGAGTGCTTTGAAGCGTTACAAAAGTGCCTGGGGGAATGGAGTGAGGAGGGGGATGAGGTGGAGAAAACGGAGGGGGCTGAAGTGGCAGAGGGGGCGGAAGGGGCAGAGGGAGTGGAGAGAACAGGCAGGGGCAGCACGGGCGGCGATCCGCAAGAGACACGCAAGCTTATAGTCTTTAACCTGTTTGCCCTTGTAAGGTGCTCCTTCCTTCCTTCCCACCAGCACTGCTCCCACCGGCCCCCCCTGCAAATCTGGCCTGACCTGACATGAACTTTCGGTGCCATTGCAGTATGCCATTGCAGTATGCCATTGCAGTATGCCATTGCAGTATGCCATTGCAGTATCATCCCACGTGCCCTTTGGTGTGCCTCGGTAGTCCTGGCCTGGCCTGGCCTGACATAAGCTCTCCGTGATTCTTTTGATGCTTGGGATGTGTTGTGTTCCATGCGCCCGTATTCCTTGCCTGTGGTGCCTGCAGGAAGCATGGCACATAGCGGAGCATTTTGGAGTCAAGTGCATTGCTGCTGCGCCCTACGTCATGCCCTACAGGTCAGGCAGAGAAGCAGGCTAACTCAGTCACACATCATGTGTTTGCCACGATCGTTGCCCATCTCAGGGTGTTTTTGAGAATTCTCAAAAACACCCTGCAGGTCAGGCAGAGAAGCAGGCTAACTCACTCACACATCATGTGTTTGCCACGATCGTTGCCCATCTCAGGGTGTTTTTGAGAATTCTCAAAAACACCCTGCAGGTCAGGCAGAGAAGCAGGCTAACTCACTCACACATCATGTGTTTGCCACGATCGTTGCCCATCTCACTTCTGTGCTGTTTGTCTTTTCAGTTCACAACTTCGAGGATATAGCAGTTCTGCGTCTCGCTTCCCTCTTTCCCCGTCGCCACTCATCCCCTTTCCATCATCCGAGTCCTCCTTTGCTCTGCATCCCTCATTCGTCTTACAGCATTGCCCGCCTTATTAACATCGCCATTTCTGTCCCCACAGGCCTCCCCACCAGTTTCCTTCGCTCTTTGCTCGCCACCATCCATCCCGTCTTCCATCGATGAGATGTTTCCTTGTTATTATCTCTGGTTTCGTGTGTGCCTCCAACCCACCCTTGCCGCATCTCATTCTCCCCCCTGACACCCACAGGCCTCCCCACCAGTTTCCGTCGCTCTTTGCTCGCCGCCACCCATCCCTTTTCCGACGGCTGCGGCGAGCTGTCAGCCCACACGAGGTGAGTGCGCGAGCTACGCTCTCACAAGCACGAGGCGAGTGAAAAGACGTGAGTGAGGGGTTGAACGAGGTGAGTGAGAGGCCGAATGAGGTGAGTGGGTGCCACACCACACCCTCCTCCCCCTCCTCCCAGCGCGCAGCGGATGTGGTTACTCACTTCACTTGAATGATATGCCGCTTCTTCCCCTCACCCTCCCCACCCTTCCACCCTCCCTCCCAGCTATCATGGGCCGAGGTGGCCGAGTGGATGTTCTCCTCATATGTCCCCCTGCCCTCCTTGCCTCCTCCCGCCCTGATGTGCGCCCCTGCCCTGTCTCATGTGCCCCCTGCCCTTCCACCCTCTCTCCAGTTATCATGGGCCGAGGTGGCCGAGTGGATGTGGCCGCTGCTCTTCCCCTGCCACCGGTGGGCGCGGTGGAGGGAAGCTTCTCTGTGCCTTCCTCCCTGTGCTCTCCTGGTGCGTCCCCCCCCCACAACCTGTACCACTTCCATTCCTCTTTCCTGGTTTCTTCTTTTCCTCCTTACATCCTCTCTTACATCCTCTCTTACATCCTCGCTGCCAGAGAGTCTCTGGTAGGTTTACATCCTCTCTGCTGCATTCTCATGCTGGTGACCCCGCCCATCCCCCCCCTTCCCCCCATTCCCCCAACCCTTTCCCCAACTCCTCACTTCCCCCTTCTCTCCACCACTCCCATCTCTTTATCCCGCATCTATCTTGAAAGTATTGCTCTTGTCGTGCGTACAGGGTTTGCGCTTGTCAAGTGGTGTACAGGGTTTGACGTGACACCACTTGTACATGACAGACAATGTGTTTGCGCGTGTGCAGGATCCACGTGATTGAAGAAGTGTTTTGAGACGTCTCAAAACAATGTGTTTGCGCGAGTGCAGGATCCACGTGATTGAAGAAGTGTTTTGAGACGTCTCAAAACAATGTGTTTTGAGATGTCTAATGTGCGCTTGTGCAGGATCCGGTAACAGACGAGCCCACTCACGAGTGGTGAGACGCCTTAAAGCTCGATCTTGAGATATCTCAAAAGGAACTCCTGTGGTGCGTGTCTAATGTGCGCTTGTGCAGGATCCGGTAACAGACGAGCCGAGTTTTGAGGCGCCTTTTGAGGCAACTTTGAGGCGCCTCAAAAGGAACTCCTGTGGTGCGTGTCAAATGCGCTCTTGTGCAGGATCCGGTAACAGACGAGCCCACTCACGACTGGCCTGCACCTACCCCCTTGCTGTATGTGTTCTCTCATATGCACTCGCACGCACACACTCACACTCACTTTCTATGCACTCTCACACCCTCATGCCCATGCCGTGCAAACACAATCTCGCCTTGCTAATCTAGAGACTAAGTAAACTGTATGGTATTCCAGTTTAAAAAACATTTCTTCCTCCCAAAGAATCGTGTGTGGAGAACGAAACAAGTGGACACCTCAAAGCTCTTATTGGAACTTGTGGAAGCTCTGTCATCGAAGCATGAAAGTCCTTGCACACATCATGGCTCTGTGACATACCTTCTTTGCACTCCACCCCACTCCACTCCACTCCACTCCATTCCACTCCACTCCACTCCACTCCATTCCACTCCACTCCACTCCACTCCACTCCACTCCACTCCACTTCACTCCACTCCACTCCACTCCACTCCACTCCACTCCACTCCACTCTACTCTACTCTACTCAAGCTTTCACTGTAGGCTCCCTTGTCTCCCTTCCCTCCTAATGCCCCCATCCCATATCAGGTATGGCTTCAGCCCAGCTGTCGTCGAGTGCCCATGTGAGTGTGCATGCCATGCCATGTCAACCTTTCAAAACATTATTCTAAGGCACTTTTTCATTCTGAAGTATAGTGACCTTCAACTCTCAAAATGCTTAGAGGTGTCTCAAAAGTAACCCAGCAGACCGCCCTTCTTCCCCCCCCGCCCCCTCCCTTGCCTGTTCCTCCCCGGCAGCGTACTGGCCTGCATCTATCAAGGTCTGTGGCTTCTGGTTCCCTCCACCACACCAGGCCCTTCCATTAAGTTTGCCTCCTGCAGTCCCAGCAACAGCAGCAGCCGAGGCAGCAGCAGCCGCAGCAGCAGCAACAACGGCACGAGCAGCAGCATCAGAAGCAGCATCAGCAGCATCAGAAGCAGCATCAGCAGCATCAGAAGCAGCATCAGCAGCATCAGAAGCAGCATCAGCAGCATCAGAAGCAGCATCAGCAGCAACAGAGGCAGCATCAGAAGTGCCGGAAGAGGAAACAGAAACGCGAGTTCCGTTTAGGAGCCATATTGCCTCTGACAGTACTGAAGAGATGGTAAGGCGTTTCGAAATGCACCGCTGTCAACGATATGTATGTCTTTGGGTTTTCTGTTTCTCTGTTTCTTGGCATTGTGTTTTTTTTGGAGGTGGGGGGGGGGAGGGGAGGATATTTTTGCTTCTCTAGCGAAACAGTTATAGTTTCCACAGCGCCAAATCAGCTCGTATATTATTCTGTCAGTAAAAGCCACCTCGTGAAGCTCTTAAACACATGTAAGCTATTTAAGGTGAAGAGGTGGAGTTTAAACGCTCCTCAGAGACTGCCTTTCCTATTTGCCATCCATCCTGTTGCTTTACCGATGCATCTCCGCTCCCATACCCCTCTCCCATATCCCTCTCCCATATCCCTCTCCCATACCCCTCTCCCATTCTCACTCTTCTCTGTTTGCAGTTGCTCTTCCAGTACTTCCACCCTCCTCGTGTGCCTGGCGTACCGCGTAGCCAGAACAATGTGTTCTATGTGGGGTTCAGCTCCATGGGCAGGTGGGTGGGTGGTGGGCATAGGGGCGGGGGGTACTGTGCGAAGTGCAATATCGGTAGGCAATCCTCTCATGCGCCTGTCTGGCTCACCGCGTAGCCAGAACAATGTGTTCTATGTGGGGTCCAGCTCCATGGGCAGGTGGGTGGGTGGTGGGCAGGTGGGTGGGTGGGTGGGCATGTGAATGAGAGCAAGAGCTAGCGCAGGAGTAGAGCAAGACCCTCGTCCCTCAGACCCTCGTCTCCTTCAATCCCTCAGACCTTCTCCGTGGCCATCAAGTCCGCCTCGTGCCTCCTGCCTCCTGCCTCTGGCTAGCTCCCTTATGGCTGTGCTCGATACTGTTATCGGCTACACTCCAATGCAAATATTCTGTCTCGCATATCTCTGCTGTCAAGTATAGAAATGCGCGACAGCTGTCGAAGTTTCCTTGCCCCATCCTTCTCCTTCTCATTCTGTCCTCTGCTGCCCCAGGTGTGCTCATGGTGAATATGCCCGCGGAGGCGTTCTGTCTTCCTCAGATGCTGTTCTTGTGTATTGTCCTTGAGACCGTCCTTGCACGGTTTGTGAATGTTATGGGTCTCCTTGCCCCCTTCCGTGACCCGCTCGGCTCCTGCTGCGGGTCCTTAGGAACCTGATTCGACATTTTGCCCTTGGCGCGTGCCACCCTGCTTCGCTCCTGTCCTCCATCAACCCCGCAGCTAACCTCAATCTACAAGCTAATCTCCCCCCTCCACTCCTTCTGTCCCTCCCATAACAGCATGGGTCTGCTCCCCCGCCCTGCAACGCTCCTCGCCACCATCATTACCGCAGCTAAGGCCCTCAACCTGCGAGCCGTGGTCGTGACAAGTGGCGACAGCGCATTGGAGGAGGCGGTCGCTGCAGTGTGCAGGGACGAAAAGCAGCACGCGCAGGAGCAAGAGGAGGAGTGGCGAAAAAGAGCAACAGATTTGGTTGCAAGGGGCAGAGGCGAACTGCTGTCGGTGGATGAGAAACGGTGGCTGTTGTCTCGGCGACCATCCCAACCAACACCACCCCACTTGTCGACCTCACCGCTCTTGCCTCTCGGCCTTCCCAGGATGTTTGCGGGTGGGAGGGTCCTTGCCCTTCGGGGGTGAGTCGATACCTCGTTGCTGTTTGCTTGTCACATGCTTTTTGAGGCGAAGGCGCATCAGAATCGTCTTTGCTCGTCACATGCAACACATATGTCGGCAGGCTGAGTTTTGGGACGTCCCAAGACACCTCAAAATCGTCTTTGCTCGTCACATGCAACACACGTGTGACGTGTCAACACATATTGAACGATTCTGTTTCCTGTTCCATCTGTCTCACAACAGACAGACTAGTCACGTCATGGTCCGTCTGTTATGATTTTCGAAGCAACAAGATGGAAACACAGCTACTGTTGAAGTGTAGGCCACATGCCATTCTGTAAATTCTGATCGCTCCACATGAAAGCCGAGTTGCGTTGAGGCGTCTCAAGTCTTCGATACTGCCTTGATGCTTTGTGCCATTCCCCCCTTCACGCGTTTCCAGGCCTGTCTCTCACGAGTGGCTCTTCCCCCGCTGCTGCTTCGTGCTGCACCATGCCGGCAGGTGGGTGGCATGTGGGGGGGGAGGGATTTGGGAAGAGACGGGGGGGTGGTTGCGAGTAGATGAGGGTGAGGGTGGGGGGCTGTCTCTCACGAGTGGCTCTTCCCCCGCTGCTGCTTCGTGCTGCACCATGCCGGCAGGTGGGTAGCATGGGGTTGTGGGGGATGGGAAGGGGGGAGGGATGGAGAAGGGGTGGGGAAGGGGTGGGGGACGGGAGGGAGGAGGTTTGTGGGGGAGCGGTGGGGGAAGGGTGGAGAACGGATGATATCGGGCATTTCTACAGTTGGCTGGCGCTCCCCATGCGTCCGTGTTGCTTGACATGCTGTCTGCCCTTTTGCCCTTCGTTTTCGCCTCTGCACCCCCATGCACTCCACCCCCATGCAACTCCATGCACCCCTATGCATCCCCCTACACCCCCATGCACCCCCATGCAACCTCATACACCCGCATGCATACCCATGCACCCATCTGCACCCATCAGCGCCACCACAGCAGCAGCACTGCGAGCAGGGGTGGCGTAGCTCGTCTGTCCCTTCATCCCGTTCACCCCCCCATGCCCATATCTGTACCTTCACGCAACTCCTTGCACCCATCTCCACCCATCTGCACCCATCAGCGGCACCACAGCAGCAGCACTGCGGGCAGGCATCCCTCAGCTTCTCTGCCCCTTCATCCTGGACCAGCACTACTGGGCGCACCGCCTCTCCTACCTTGGTGTCGCACCACCCCCTCTCCATCCATTGGAACTCATGCCTCTAGAGTCGGCACACCATTCACCAGGTGAGAATGATTGCCCAGCCGGTTATTTTCCCCCTCAGCTCCTCTGCCCCTTCATCCTGGACCAGCACTACTGGGCGGATCGCCTCTGCTACCTCGGTGTCGCCCCTGCTCCTCTCCACCCATCCGACCTCATGCCTCTCGACCCGTCCCACCAGTCTCCAGGTGAGTGGCTGTCAGTTAGGGCTGAGGGAATCGGTACTGTGAGTGTCGACTCAAAGCGCTTGATTCTGCTCGCCCCAGCTCCTCTGCCCATTTATCCTGGACCAGCACTACTGGGCGGATCGCCTCTGCTACGTCGGTGTCGCCCCTGCTCCTCTCCACCCATCCGACCTCATGCCTCTCGAGTCGGTGCACCAGCCTCCAGGTGAGTGGCTGTCTGTGGAGGGTGAGAGAATTGGCATTCTGAGACGACTCAAATGCGCTTGATGTTGCGCAGATCGGCACCTCTGCCCCGTCCTCCTCGACCAACACTACTGGCCGCTCCGTACTGTGCAGATAGCTATCTGGGTGTTGCGCCCTTGCATTTACCCTTGATTTGTTCTATCTGCCGTTGCGCTTCGCAATCTGAATTCCACGTTCCACATTTCGTGTTTCATGCTTCTTGTGTCGTCGCTCTGTCTGTTTGTCTACCTGCAGCAACAACCACACCTGCAGGTACAGCAACTGTCGTGAGTCGCTTTGCTGCTGCACTGAGTGGTGGCATGAGGGAGCGAGCCCAGGAGCTCTCACGAGAGATACAGACAGAGGTGTGTCTTTTAAATGCCTCTTGGATGTCTCTTGGGTGTCTTGGGTGAGTCTTGGGTGGCTCTTGATGCTTGGGAGTCTCGAGGGTGACACTTAGGGTGTGGTTTGGGTAAAGAACCACAGAAATCTCATGGATGGTGGAGTGATGATGTTATGAGGCTTGCTCTATGCTGCGTGTGTGTGCTGCTGTGCCGCTCTGCTGCTCTGCCGCTCAGCCGCTGTGCTCCTGTGTTGCTGTGTTGTTGTTCTGCTGTGCCGCTCAGGATGGTGTCTCAGTAGCTCTGGCTGCGATTAGGGAGGAGCTCTTCAAGTGATGCCACAGGGTATGTACCCATATACCGCATATACTGGTAAAGTTATAGGAGAGCTCAGTAGGCCAAGAGTGGGGATCAAGCAGATTAACCAGCTAGTCAGCGTTGCAGGGAATTGTTTTACTCAATATTTTAGAAGCTGCTAGACAGTTGTTGGATTGTTTCCGTAAATTTGGCATAAGCAGCATAATTGCCCTCGTTTCATGCCTCGGGTATGTCCTTTACCGGTACTTTTAAGAACTACACCGAAGTCTCCAGCTTTGGCCAACATACATGCCTGCCGCATCTTCCAAGGCTCGTAAAAGCAAAACTTGAGGTGCATCACAAACCAGACCAACGCAGGCGTCCTGTCCGCTGAAAGACACCCTCTGTGACGCTCATGCCTTGTCCCCCTCGTCGTCCGAATCATCCCCCCTCTCCCTGAACCTCGGGTTCTTCTGCACACCACCACCACACAAGCATATGCATAGACAGAGGTATGAGATATCCGATGAACTCAATCCCAAAAGTGGGAGATCTCAGAAACTTGTGGTTGTTTCAACATTGAGTGAGGAACTGTTGTGGACAAGCAACGAGCAGCAGGCGTCGCGTTGCCAGTGGTTACGAAGGAAAAGGGCGGCATGGCAGCAGATGCATAAGGTGGTTAAAATGGAAAAGAAAAAGAAAGACACAAAAAGGGAAAGCCTGGCACCTTTGGGCCGTCAAACAATTTCTGAGACGCCTTGGAAATTGTCCCGATACAAAAAGAAAGCAAAAATAGTGGTGAAGAAAAGAAAAAGGGAAAGGCAGTAGGCACCTTTTGGTCATCAGCAGCCCCTTCAGCCCCCCCTTCTCCTCCTCCCTTTCCTCCTCCTTCCCCTCCTCCCCCTCCTGCCCCTCCTGCCCCTCCTGCCCCTCCCTCCCTACCACCTCTCCCCTCCCCTCCCTCCCCTCTTCTCTCCTCATACCGAGCTCGCCCCCCTCCGTCCCTTCCTCCCCCTCGCCTCTCCCCTCCCTCTTCCCTGCCCCCCCGTCCCTCCCTCCCTGCTTCTTCCATCTGCTCGTCGTCGTCTCTCCCTCTCTTGCGCATCCCACCGCCTCCTCCCCCACCCCCATCTGTGATTAGACGCGAAAAAGGGGGGGGGGGTGGGGGGGAGTGTTGAAGGGGAGGTGAGGAAGTGGGGGAGGACGGGGGAGTAAGGGGTGGGATTGGATAATTGTGCACTCTCTCTTGCCTCTCTGCCTCTCTTGCGCATCCCACCACCTCCTCCCCCACCTCCATATGTGATTAGGAGCGAGAGGGGGAGGGAGAAGTGGGGGTGTGTAACCGCCTCTGTTGGTGTCTGTCAATGTTCTCAAGGTAAATCTTCCATCACAATTATCACATGTCATCCCATACTTACGGTGACACACATTTTAAACCGAACTGCTTACCTCTGTAGCCGCCCTTCTGCCTGTCATCCCTTGAGTAGCGCTGTGCCCGCCCTGAGAGGGACAGACAGACAGAACAAAACGGATAGAATGAGATGGAGGAAGATGAGACGGAGGGATGAAAGGAGATCCAGGAATAAACGAGTGACAGCCGGGAGCGGGAGAGAAAGAGTTCAAGAGTATTTGCAGGGTATGACAAGTTGCTGGGCCTCCTGGTGCATGGGAGGGTCGCATTGGCTGTGGGGGCACAGAGGGCGAGAGCGACAGCTGTCTGCTCATGTTTGCCCATGCGCCATGGGGGGGAGGGGAGGGGAGGGGCGCATGGGCTGTGGGGCACAGAGGGCGAGACTCGAGAGCGATGACTTTTGAGTCGACTCGAAAGTTGCTGGGCCATGTGGTGGGGCATGGGCTGTGGGGGCACAGAGCGACAGCTGTCTGCTCATGTTTGCGAGTGTAGGCAAGACTATGCATGTACGGTGGCTTGCACATGGCTTGGCTTGCACATGCTTAGATAACTCACATGGTCCCTGCGGTGGCTCATGGGCTGGCGGGGCACCGAGTGCGAGTGGTCAAAGGAGAGGGGACCTCCCTCCCCCACAAGCATGCCTATGTCTACGTATGGTGACTTGCACATGCCATTGACTACTCACTGGGTCCCTGCTGCTTCCCCAGTCGCTGCGCCATGCAGTGGCTCATGGGCTGTCACGGCACTGAGGGCGAGTGACCAAAGGAAGGGGAACCGCCACCCAGGGGCATACCTATGCTTATGAATGGGAACTGGCACACGGCTAGGCTTGCACATGCCATTGATTACTCACTTGGTCCCTGCTGCTTCCCCAGTCGCTGCGCCATGCAGTGGCTCATGGGCTGCCCGGCCACTGAGGGCGAGTGACCAAAGGAGGGGGACCACCCCCAACCCCCCCTCGAGGGGTGTGTATGGTCGTGTGTGGATCTGTCAGTTGTGTCCAGACTTTCAATCACTCACTCGGTCCCTGTTGATTGCCCAGTCGCTGCTGCATGCGGTGACTCATGGGCTGCCGGGGCACAGAGGGCGAGTGGCCAAAGGAGGGGGGCATGCCTCCCGGACTCCCCCCCTCTCCCGGCATGAAGAGCGGCGCTCCGTACTGCTGAATGGCTGATATCTCCTTCTGTACTAGCTTGCCATACCCTCCTCGCCGTGCAGTAGGGGAGGAGATGGAGGGGAAGGGGGGCACAACGAGAGTGGGGGGAGGGGAGGGAAGGGGGGAAAATCAAGCTCCGTACTGCTGAATGGCTGCTATCTCCTTCCGCACCAGCTTGCCGTACCCCCCTCGCCGTGCAGTAAGGGAGGGGGAGGGAGGGGGAGGGAGGGGGAGGGAGGGGGAGGGAGGGGGAGGGAGGGGGAGGGAGGGGGAGGGAGGGGGAGGGAGGGGGAGGGAGAGCACGGAGGGAGGCGGGAAAGTGCAGGAGGAACAATCATGGGCATGCTGCATGCACACTGCACTGCACAGACCGGCTGAACAGTGGTGCTCCGTACTGCTGGATGGCTGCTGTCTCCTTCTGCACTAACTTGCCGTAACCCAAGCGCACATAAAGCTAGTAACAGGGCGAGAGAGGCACATATCTGGGTCATAGTCGGTTCGATACTCCTCCCCCGCCCCCCCTGACTTGCCCTCCACTCCTCCCCCGCCCCCCCTGACATGCCCTCCACTCCTCCCCCGCCCCCCCCTCCCCCCCCCCCCCCCCCTTAACCCCCCCTCCCCTTCAGGCACACCCTCCAAACACGCACATAAAGCTAGTAAGAGGGCAAAAGAGGCACATATCTGGGTCATAGTCGGTTCGGTATTCGTCCCTGACTTGCCCTCCGCTTCTCCCCCGCCCCCACTGCCGCCCGTCCTCGTAGCCCCAGTCAAAGTCCACTCTGATTGGCCGGTCGTCCAGGATCGTGCTGCTGACGTACTTGACCGCGTCCTCCGCGTCCTCCCTCACGTAGTACCTGCACCACAAAACGACAAAGGAGAAAGGAAGTGGGGCGGCGGGGGTTGGATTGTGTGCTGTCTTGCTCAAATTGCACCTGCATTGCAAGACGCGCACTAACAGGGGAGGCTGAAAGGAGAGGAGGGAGGGGGTGAGAGAGGCAGAGAGTGGGGGAGGGGAGGGGGTTGGGGAGAGGGGAAGGAGAGAAGAGGGGCCGGTATGGTGGAGGTGTGGGAAGGAGTAAGGTTGGGGGTTGTGGGGGTTGGCAGGGAAAGGGGAAGGAAATGAAAGGCTAGGATGGTTGGAGGGACGGGAGAGAGAGGGAGGACGAGGGGGAAGTGGGGGAGAGAGAGGGGGGAGGTGGCGGCGAGGAGGTAAGAAGAAGGGTCAGAGACAATGCAACTCGCACCGCATGGCGTCACCAACAGGTAGAGCTACTCACGCAACGAAGCAGAAGCCGCAGGGCGTCATTGTATTCTTATCGAGTCCCATTACAATGCGTCGGATCTCGCCCGCCTTGGAAAACACCTCGTAGATCTGCTCCTCCGTGGTGTAAAACGACAAGTTACCCACGTAAACCGTGGTAGATGCCTTCAGCGCCTGCTCGAACTCCTCCTGCGTGCCGCGGAATCGACGGTCGCGATACGCCGAGATCTGCTCTTTCTGTTTGGGGAATCGGCGCGCAGAGATGATATGAGAGGAAATTGCGCAATGGAACGCGGTTAAGGATGATATACGCTTGCCCCCCTCTCCCTTCCGACGGTAGGGTGGGATCGTGGGTGGGTAGGGGGTTGCGCGGTGGATGATGGAAAGATGAATGGGTGCGATCGAGGAGAAAACGTCGGGTTTTAGAGCAGGGGGAAAGGCGGCGGGCGAATGGTTTTGGCGTCTGTACAAGACGCATGCTGTGAGTCCGCTATTGAGAAATCGAACTCGTGATTTCCTTCTGAGTATTCTGCGAGTCCTTCTGCCCAACCACACGTTGACAGTCTGCGGTGATAGGGTCAAAATAGGGTTCCTGTACGCGATATTGAGTGAGTACACTGCCTTATACGGGTAAGTCAGTCGACATCGCCTCTTACGATAAGTACTCGGAAAGCCCTATTTCTGTAAAATTACCTTGAATAACCGCGACATGGCGGCAACTGAATCGGTTCCTCGCTCGCAACACTCTTGCAACACGAAAACCAGCGGATGTGGCGGTGGGAATGCTTCCCACTTATCAAGTTGCTACGACCAAGCAATTCAGCAAGGTACTATCTAGGGACGTCCAAGGAGTTAATTTTGAGCGGGGGTATATCAATCATGTTCTGAGAGAGGAGTAGCGAAACCGCTTCTCATCGCACAGCATCGTTCTCAAATGAGATGCCCTGGAGCTGAAAGTTCAAATGCGGATTGAGAACAGGGGAGGGGTCGGAGGGTGGGGAGGGATGAGCGAACAAATCGAGTCTCAACGAAGCTGGATACAGAATGCTGACGAAACCTTGACGACTAAAACATTTCATAGTGGCAAAGCGAACGAAAGTTGAGAGAAGACGAGAATCCGTGGCCCTGTTCTGCTGGCGCACAGGCCATTCGCAGCTGCCGCACAGGTACTGCGGACAGCGTTTTCCTCGAAAGGAATAGAGGGCCTGCAGCCTCGTCGAAGGGTTTACTAATCGACAAAATTACGAACTTTTTTCTCCCGTGTGCCCGAAGAAATGTTGTTACACACTGCCCTGGCACTCTTCCAAAGTCAAAATTTCGCGAACTGATGCACTGGATGTGGCATTCTTACTGGCGCGCCGTTGGATTGTTTTTCGGGTGAGTATTCCACCAAAACAGTACCCCAAAACGGGCGTTTATATCTGCCCGTTATTTGTTGTGCGCCTCTTCAATCCCCACTCGACGAGCGCATAGGGCTCGCACAGGCCATGCGGGAAAATTGCCTGTGAAACCAAGCTCGTGGAATTTTCTCAGCGCACAGAGAGTTATGCGTTCTTGCGCACGCGTGAATAATGCGCGCACAACTCCCGCACCAGAGGTTCGGGAGACAATAACGAATTGGGAGGCTCGACGTGGGCTTTAATCCTTGTTATGCGCATTCCGAGAATGTTCAGCGTTAGGGCTGAGCACCCCTTATGCGCCAACAGAACAGGGCCCGTATGTTTTCGCCTCCTCTGACGAAACAGCACAGATGATTCGTCAGGTCTCAAGCAATGTGAGATGTTACCCGTCAACGGCTCGCTGAGATTGGTCCCCAGATCATCATTCCTGATCTAGAGATTATCTCTGATCAGTTTGCTGTGTACCGTCGTTGTTACCGCTAGAAACGTGATCCACGACAGGAACGGACATGTCAGTATCAGTCGATTTCTGGCTCCCTGACTAACATAAGCCAGACGTCGTCGTAATGCAGAATCAAGAATTAAGACTTATGTCTGACTCCTGACTCGTCACTCCAGCCATGGATGCTCCTAGACACTACACCTGTCCCACAGGACCTCCTGCTCACTTGTTTGCGATAACAACCTAGAACGGCGCGTCTATCGGCGACAAGAGATCTTAGCCGCGACATTCGCTGATAGTGCGTTTTCTTTACGTGACTTGCGGATAGATTCCAAACTGTTCAGGGGAAATGTCGCTGTTTGGAGGGTTCAAGCCTTCCACTCCGGCCACCGCGGGAACCCAAACTTCCGCTTTAAGCACACCCGCAACCAGCACTCCGTCTACTCTACAACAGCAGCAGCAACAGCAGCAGCAACAACAACAGCAACAACAGCAGCAGCAACAGCAGCAGCAGCAGCAACAGCAGCAGCAGCAGCAACAGCAGTTAACCCTAGCAATTCAGCAGGGTCAAGCGCATCTGCTGACGAATAACGACCCCAGTAGAGGGGGTCCGCAGCCGGCGGGATTTGATACTAAGTTCAGCGAGCTACACCCGGACAGCCAGAAGATCCTCACGCACATAGAGTGAGTGCATTCCGATTGATCCATTTGGATCACATCCATCCATTCTGTTATAGAGGCGTCGCCATTGCTGTACCTTAGGAACAAGGCGGGTGAATCTCGCACAGCGAATCAGGGATTCGGGTAGAAAGCTTGTTCATTTTCGTTCCTCTTTCTCCCTTTTCATGACCTAATACCTATTCTCCCTGCTTTTGTGGCGCCTCAAAATTCGTTCCTCTTTTCTCCCTTTTCCTGACCCAATATCTATTCTCCCTGCTCGAGGAGCACGACGTGGGATCTCGGCTCGTCGAATTAGCGAGTAGGAGGGTGTTGGAATAAGGCTATACTTTTCATTTGTTTTTATTCCAATTCCTCGTCTCCCTGCCGTCAGGAGCAAGGTATTGGAGCTGCGAGCGGAGAGCCAGAGGCTGGGGCAGTCAAGTCGGCTGCATGATGGCTCGCAATTGGCAGACAACCCGTTTGAGCGGCAGGCAGCTAGAGTCAGCCAGGTGGGCAGCGATTATGTGCGGTTGACTTGTGTAGCTGTATTTGTGGCTGACAGATGGCTCACACTTGGTGGAAAATGCGGTTGAGTGGCAGGCGGCTAGAATCAGCCAGGTGGGCAGCGGTTGTGTGCAAACGTGTGGCTGACAGATGCTCACAAGTGGCTGGCAATACGATTGAGTGGCAGGCAGCCACCTGGCTGGTTTGGGCTGGTCCGCATAGCTGACGTGGACGGCTGTTGCATATGGCTGAGGTGGGTGGTCGACTTGGGTTTTGGAGTAGTGCTTTTCTCCTCCGCTTCTCCCTTCCTAACCGCCCACCATTCCCTCTGCATATCCCCCCCCTTCTCTCTCCCCCTCTCTCTACCCCTCCTCTCCCTCCTCCCGCCCTCTCCCTCCCTCCCTCTCCCCCCTCTCCAGAGCCTCTCCCATGTGGCATCAAGGGTCGACACAGAGAGAGCATCCCTCCACCACATGCTGCACTTGGCGCAGCACCTGCTGCACACAGCGCAGCACCTGCTGCACCACAGCGACCTGACTGGTTCTATCCCCCATCTCTTCCCCCATTTACCACTCTGCAGAGCCTCTCGCACGTGGCATCACGGGTGGACACAGAGCGGGCGTCCCTCCACCACATGCTGCACACGGCGCAGCACCTGCTGCACCACAGCGACCTGGCAGTGCGCTCCTTCTCCCTCCTCCGCTCCAGATTCCCCCACCTCCCCGGAGCAGACTCACTCGCACCAGGTGAGTCCAGTCTTCGGACTCCTGCTGTATCTTGATTTGACTTGCGCACCGATTCCCCTCTTTCCCTGCGCTGACTGACCCAGCTGCACCGAATAATTCCAGTCTTCAGACTCCCGCTGTGTTATGGTTCAATTCGAAAAGGTGATGGATATCCCCCCACCTTCCCCTCCCTATCCTTCCCTTTCCCCCTGCCATGAGCCCCAAGGCAAGCAGACATTTTCGAGGGCGTCCCCTGCCGGGTGTTTCTGAGAATTCTCAAAAACACCCTGTAACATCATGGGCGTCCTCTGCCTTTTGAGTAATCTCAAAAGTCAATCTGCCCTCTCCCCCTCCCCCCTGCCCCGGGCTCCACCCCAGGGCAAGCAGGCATGTACTGGGGCGTCCCCTGCCTTTTGAGCTGACTCAGTAACCCTGCCCCATCCCTTTCTCCTTCCCCTTTGCCATGGGCGCCACCCCAGGCCAAGCGGACATCTACCGGGGGGTGCCCTGCCTGCCCTCCCCTTTCCTCATCGACACGGTCGCTCGCTTTGAAGTCAAGATGGCAGAGTACCGCCACAAGCTCACCGAGCTCCAGGCAGCCATTGAACCAGCCCTGGCAGAATCCAGGTTCGGCGTTGGCTACTCCCGAGCCGCATCGGCAGCTTCGGCGGCAGCAGCGGTCGAGGCTCTGCCCGTGATTATAAAGAATCTGCATGATTTTTTCATACACGTGGCGGCTCAGGTGGAGAGGGTGCATGAGAGGGTGGATGCGGCTAGGAATGCGTTTCTGGCGGAGAGACGGAGGAGGGGCGACCGGAGCAACCCGTTTGCAGAGGCAGACAGGATCGAAGCTGCTGCTGCAGCCAGCAAGAAACCGTCTCTGCTTGGCTCTGCTTCTGGCGCTGGTACTGGTGCTGCTGGTGCTGCTGCTGGTGCCGCTGGTGCTGCTGGTGCAGGAGGTACAGGCAGTGGAATCCTCTCCTCTCCGCTCTCCCTCCTCCCCGGAACCACCACTCCCGGCACCTCCTCCCCTTTCCTCTCGAACCCCACCGGACTCTTCCCCTCCGCCACCACCACCACACCATCCCTCTTCGGCTCCACCACCCCAGCCACCGCCACCACCCCCGGTCTCTCCCTCTTCGGCACTCCTCCCGCCTCTGCCGCAGCAGGGAGCTCTCCAGGCACCTCTCTCTTTGGCACCCCCACTTCGTCGCTCTTCGGCAGTGCCACTCCTGGTGCCGCCGCTGCTGCATCCTCTCCTGGGCTTTCTTTCGGCAACCCTGCCACGCCTGCCATGGGCACCACGTCTCTCTTCGGCACTCCGAACCCGGCAGCAGCAGGCTCGGTCCCAGGTTCCTCTCTCTTCGGAAACACCTCGGCTTTCGGCGGTGGTGCATCTCCCTTTGGAGCAACCCCATCTGCAGCAGGGAGCACCCCCTCGCTCTTTGGGTCCCCAGCTGGTCCCACTACCGGGGGTCTGTTCGGAGCGACACCAGCAGCAGCGTCGCCTTTCGGCGCTCCTGCTGCTTCGCCCTTTGGTGCTGCTGGGGCCGCCTCGCCATCGCCGTTTGGAGCAGCGGCGCCGGCTCCTGCCACGTCGCTGTTTGGTGCTCCTGCTGGGGGTGCTGCACCTGGGTCTGGCGGCTTGTTTGGTATGTAACAACTGGTAATTGGCGGCGGTTGCTGTTTTTCAGGGATCATTGACTTTTGTGCCTCTTTGTGCGTGGCATATAAGACTTCAGATTTTGTATGTCAATGCTGTTTGTCTCTTTTCTTTTGTCCACAGGTGCTCCTGCCGCTCCAACACTCCAGCCGGCTGCCCCAATGCCGTTTGGTTTTGGCAACACAAGTCAACCGGTGAGCTCATACGCAGTGAACTCTTTTCTGCACGTGTTGTCGTGGTGCTACAGTAAGTGATTGCAGATGTGTTCTTAAACATGTTCTCCTGTTTTTTTCGTCTCTTCCCTTGCAGACCACTACTCGTTCAAAGTCGCGGGGCTCATCTAGAAGACGCTAAGCCGACACCAAGATTTCTAGTGACAGTCAATTTGCTAGTGCGTTGCAGAATATGTTTTATTCACTATTTCTGCTTTTACATGTACCGGATGTCTAATTTCGAGGCAGTGACTGGGGGAGCAACTGCTTGGTTCACTTTGCCACCAAGTCTTTCACACGAGGTTTATGCGGGCAGGGCACGAATAACTCAGCCCCCTGATGTGGGGGGGATGTGCTAAAAGCGTGTACTTGTGACGTGGCGTGAAGGCCCTTGTCGTGTGACTGGTCGCCACGATACATTGAGGATGCGTACAGTAAAATACTTGGGTCGTTGCCTGTTTTTTTCAGGGTCAACTCGAAACCCGCTCGTGGTAGTTTTCTGTCCAATCCAAATTGTGCAATCGAAACCCAATCCCGGAAGGTAGTTATCTGCTCGTGGTAGTTTTCCTAGACAGTTCTCTAGGGGTCATCCGCGCAAACCCAATCCCCAGGCTCATTTTCGCACATGACTTGTGTGGCTTCTGCCCTGCTTCCCCATTTCTAGTTCACATTCACCCTTCGCTACAGCGACACCCCAACCACAATCACATCACATCACAAAGAGAGCCAGAGAAGACACCGTACTGAATCACACAATACCGAAGTAATAGCAGCGAAACCATATGATAGCACACTATACCACACCACGCACCGCACCATGCTGTTGAGAGCAAACTCAGTAGTCCCTAGATACTACGGGGCGTTTATCCATCTTCCTTCCACATCATTACGTCACATCTCCGTTAGGCAACCCTAAATTACGCCTTACACCACGCTTTGTAAGCGTAGGTGATTCATGCTGCTCCTGCGCTAGCCGTTGGCCTTGTGCTATGCACTTCTAGAATCTAGGGACGCTGCCTGCTAATATTCTTCGTACATACGTAATACTCTCGCTTCCTGTGCTATGACGAGCTTGCTTAGCACCGGGATTTGCGGTCCGCCAAGAGTGCATAGCAGACAAGCCTCCGATATTTTTTCCGATCTTCACAAACGGTTAGCCTGCGCGAGAGCGACGCGTCCGTTTCCCCGATGCGCCTCGACGCGCGGGGTCCTTAGAATCCTCTGCACCGCCGATAGAAGCGGCGACGCCTCCCCGCCAGATGATTCCCCCGAGCCTGTTCCCGCGTCGTGCGGTTCGTTCTCCGCGAATTCCGCGAATATTCCCGCTTCTCGGGTCATCCTGGTGCAATCCAGTTCCGTAGGAAACGCCAACGCGTCGGACGGCGAAGCTCCTTCGGGAGCTTCGAATCCCGAAGCCAGCGGCTTACGTCCGCAGCAACAGGACCCGAAACAGACTAACTCGCAGCAGCATCAGCAGCAGCAGCTCTCACAGATCCAGAAAGGGAATCTAAGTCCAGCCGGGTCGAAAAGCGACAAGGCGACGTCCGACGGAAGAAAAGCGCAAGGCACACCTTCGAAATCAAATGGCGCGGGGAAGGACGGAAGGCGAGGGTCGCAGCGGCCGTCGCGGCGAGGCAGCGACGACAGTTCCCCATGGTGGCGGAAACTAATATTGGGAATCCTCCCAGATCTGAAGCTTCTCACTTTCCTGGTGACGAATCTGGTGGTTCTGATGCTCTCTGCTCGGATCCTCAGCTCGCACCCGCTCGTCGTGAAACGCGCTGCGCGCCGGTTCGGGTTATTACCGAAGACCGTCGTTGTAACCCTGGAAAAGTGGGGGTTACCGGCGAATACCGTGGTGTCTGAGGAGGCGGCGTCTGCCGGTGCTGATGCTGGCGGTGCGGGTTTGGATGGGAAGGAGCGGCAGCAGCGGCAGCAGCTGCAGAAGCAGCAGCAGGAGCAGCAGGAGACGACTCGAATTTCGTTCTCCATCACGGTCCCGTTTTCCGAGTTCCTTTACCACGTGAAGAAGGATAATATCGTGTCGATTACTGTAGACGGCGACAAGGTGTCGTTCGTCCTGCGACGCCCCGAGTTCGCAAAAGGGCACAAGGCGACGGAGTTACAACCCATGATTCGCCAAGTGGAAAGAATGGCAGAGAGCAAGTGGAAGGAAGCTGGGGAAGTTTCTGGGAAGAAGGTGGGGAAGATGCCACCTGTCCAGGTGCAGCTGACCACGGTGAAGCCTGCTGACGTGGCGGTCCCGTACGCGGAGCTGATGTCACGCCACGTGGAGTTTGGTGCTCCGGATAAGGCATCGTTTAAACTCGTGAATACGATCTCGGTGAGTAGTAATGGGGAGAAGGGGAGACGGGGTGAATCTAGTGAGGATATGGGAGTGAGGGGAGAGGGGGAGACGGGGGGAAGTACAGTGAGGATATGGGAGTGAGGGGAGAAGGGGAGACGGGGGACGGGTGCTCCAGATAAGGCGTCTTTCAAACTCGGGAACACCATCTAGAAATACAATTGCCCCACTCCTTCCCCTGCGTGCCTTCCCCCCAAAACGCCCTCGCAACTGCGCCCCTGCGTGTTTCTCGTTGCCAGTCCACTCTGTTATACGCGGGGATAGCAGCCGTTGTGCTCTCACGCCTGCAGATGAAGCTCCCTCAGGTTAGTGAGCAGTTGACATGCGAGGTGGGTGCGAGGGGGTGCGATTTTCAGGGGATTGAATCCGCAAGGGGGCATTTGATGCATTCCGTTCCACTCTGCTGCGTGGTCGTTATCAGTTTTTGAGGGCCTCCAAATTCGTCTCATGTCCTGCGGTTTCTATTTGAGGCGTTTCAAAATTGCAAGGGGGAATTTGATGCACCCCACTCTGCTGCTGGCTCTTATAAGTGCCATCTCGTTTGCTTTCACTCATCCTCCCATCCTCCCATCCGCCCATCCACCGTCCATTTACATTCTGTCCTTTTATTCGCCCATGTGTCATGTTATCCAAACTCTGTCCATCCTTTCATCCACGTGGCATGTCCGAAGTTTGGGGGTAAGACGCGCAGTCAGAAGGGCAAGGCGCCGCCAGTGCTGTTTGCTGATGTGGCAGGGGTGGATGAGGCGAAAGAGGAATTGGAGGAGATTGTGGTAAGTGGGGCGAGTGTGGGTGAGAGGGAAGGGGGGGAGAGGGGGGGGGGGGGGGGGGGGGGGGGGGTGTAGGTATGCGCAATAGAGGGCTGGGGGGAGTAAAGGGAGGGGGGGCTCTAAGCGGAAAGTGCAGTGCAGAGGCCCTGTTGCATGCCAAGGCCGTTACCTCTTCGCACTCTACCGTTTCTGCTTCCCTTTTTCCTCTTCCATTTCCCTCCTCTTCCCCCTCATCTCCTGTTCCCCCACCCCACTTGTTTTCCCCCGCTAAACACGTGGCCAAGCTTTACCGACCAACTTAATCTCTTGTTCATCTTTCTTCTCTCCTCCTCGCCTCGTCACTCAAGTGGTACCTATTCTTTTTATTTGCTTTCGTTCTTGCCTCTCTCCTCCCTGTCTCACCACCCCAGGAGTACCTCCGCACGCCTGAACGTTTCACTCGACTGGGAGCTCGACCGCCCAGAGGAGTGCTGCTGGTGAGTGCGTGTGGTGCCTGTTGGGTGATTGTTTCCTCACACAATGCTGCTTGCTTACATGCTTTTCTACTTTCGGTTTCGTGGTTTCAAAGGTGATGCTTTCGAGTGGGTCCTGCTCATTGTTATGGCTGCTTAGGAGCCCAACCTAGTATTAAATAAACTAGCAAACGCCGTAGTTTCCTCGGCTGAAGCTCCTCTGGCCTTCCTTCCTTGTTTGCCGAGCCTGCCTCTCAGGTTGGGCCGCCAGGCACAGGAAAGACGATGCTGGCGAAGGCAGTGGCAGGGGAGGCGGACGTACCCTTTATAAGCTGCAGCGGTAGCGAGTTTGTGGAGCTGTATGTGGGGCTGGGGGCGTCGCGAGTGAGAGACCTGTTCGCTCAGGCAAAGAAGGACTCGCCCTCCATTGTCTTTATTGATGAGGTGAGCTTTTAGCTGGATGATTAAGCTTTTTGGGTTAATCCTGAAGACGACATGGCTTGTGACTTTACTGGACAGCTGTTCGCCCAGGCAAAGATGGATTTTTCACGTGTTCATTCATGAGGCGCGCTTGTAACAGCTAGGGATGGGGTGAGTCAAGACTCAAGAGTATATATGAGTTGATTCAAGAGTCGTTTTGTTTGCACTGGCCAAGAAGGACTGGCCGTCCATTTTGTTCAAGAGTCGTTTTGTTTGCACTGGCCAAGAAGGACTGGCCGTCCATTTTGTTCAAGAGTCGTTTTGTTTGCCTTGAGCTGATTCAACATCCTCCCCCCCTGTCCTTGCCTTCTGTCATCCGTCTCTTTGGCAGATTGATGCAGTGGCCAAGGTGCGGGATGGGCGCATGCGCAGTGTGGGCAACGACGAGAGGGAGCAGACCCTGAACCAGCTGCTCACGGTGAGTGAGTGGTTGGTTGGGAGGGAAGGTAGGTGCGTGTACATGTCTGTATGTGTGTGTGGAGTGTGTCTGTGCTTGTGTGCACGTGGCCGCATGCGCAGTGTGGGGAACGACGAGAGGGAGCAGACCCTGAACCAGCTGCTCATGGTGAGTGGGTGGTTGCATGGGTGAGTGGGGGTCTGCATGTATGTGTATATGTCTGTATGTTCGTTGTATGTGTGTGCGTGCAAGTATGTGCGCAGTGTGGGCAGTGACGAGAGGGAATAGACCCTGAACCAGCTGCTCACGGTGGGTGGGTAGGTGGCTAGGTCTGAATGTGCTCATGTATGTAAGTCAACCTGCTCACAGGACTCTCAACCGTACAGGGCGTGCTTGTGCGCCGGTTGACCTGTGTATGTGCCTCCTTTTGCTTTCAATGCACCCTTGCATCCCTTCACTCCTTCACCGCAGGAGATGGACGGGTTCGACAGCAGCACGGCCCTTCCACCTTTGCTTTGCCTCCTTGCCTTATGGCATCCGTGCCTTTCTGCATCCTGTGCACCCTTCACCACAGGAGATGGACGGGTTTGACAGCAGCACGGCGGTCATAGTGCTCGCAGCCACCAACAGAGCAGACGTCATCGACCCCGCCCTGCGCCGCCCTTGCACCCCTGCTTTGCCTACCCATGCGTCCCTGCACCCTTCTCTACAGGAGATGGACGGGTTTGACAGCAGCACGGCAGTGATCGTGCTCGCAGCCACCAACAGGGCGGATGTCATTGACACCGCCCTGCGCTGCCCTTACAACCTTGCTTTGTGTATGCGCTACCATCCTCCCATTTTGCACACTGCAGGAGATGGATGGATTCGACAGCAGCACGGCGGTGATCGTCCTGGCAGCCACCAACAGAGCTGACGTCATCGACCCCGCCCTGCGCCGCCCGGGGCGATTTGACCGGATCGTAGCGGTGAGGAACGGTGGGGGGTGGTGATGCGTGTCTGCGGATGGGCCCACCGTGGTCAACATTGAGGAACGACGGGGGGGGGATGCTCAAAAGTGGTTTTTGAGAATTCTCAAAAGTACTGTGTGTTTGTGGTGATAGAGCGTGATGGGCCTGTGGTAGCATTCTGATGAGGAGCGGCTTTTGAGAATTCGCAAACCGGTGGGGACCGGCTGTACTGTGTGCTGAGCTGCTTGCTGATGTATATCCACACACACACGCACACGCACACGCACACGCACACGCACACGCACACGCACACACACACACACACACACACACACACACACAGGTGGAGCCACCGGATCGCAAGGGGCGGCAGGCGATACTGAGCGTGCACGTGGAGCAGAAGGAGCTGCTGCAGCAACTAATGATCCCATCTCTTCCTATACCTTCTCCCACACACACCCATCTTCCCCCCTCCCACCCCCCCGGCCCCACACACTCACATCTTCCCCCCTCCCAACCCCCCTACCACACACACTCGTCTCCCCCCCTCCCACCCCCCACACACACCCATCCACAGGTGGAGCCTCCGGATCGCAAGGGGAGGGAGGCGATACTGACAGAGCATGTGGAGCAGAAGGAGCTGCCACACTGCCACCCTATCCCATCCCTCTTTCCCCGTCTCACCTCCCCATAACCAACCTCCCGCAACCACACCCACAGGTGGAGCCTCCGGATCGCAAGGGGAGGGAGGCGATTCTGACGGTGCACATGGAGCAGAAGGAGCTGCCTCTGAGCACCGATGTGAATATTCAGGAGATTGCCGTTGCCACCAGTGGATTTACAGGGTACGTGTTTGTGTTGAGAGCGGTTGAGATGGGTCGATATCTGTTGAGATGGGTTGGCTACATGTGGAGCAGAAGGAGCTGCCTCTGAGCACCGATGTGGATATTCAGGAGATCACTGTCGCTACGAGTGGATTTACAGGGTATGTGGATGTGAGAGGGGTTGAGCCGGGTTGAGATGGGTTTACATGGATTGGCTGCACATGGAGCAGAAGGAACGATCTCTGAGCCGTGATGTGGGCATTCAGGAGATTGCTTTTTCCACGAGTGGATTCACGGGGTGAGTCATGGGTTCAGATGGGTTCATATGGGCTGAGATGGGTCGACGCGTGGAACAAAAGGAACGACCTATGAGCAGTGATGTGGACATTCAAGAGATTGCAGTCGCCACGAGTGGATTTACAGGGTACGTGTATGTGTTGAGAGTGGTTGAGAAGGGTTGAGGTTGGATGAGATGGGTTTACGCATGGAGCAAGAGGAACGGCCTTTGAGCCGTGATGTGGACATTCAGGAGATTGCTGTTACCACGAGTGGGTTCGCAGGTGAGTGTATGCGTTGAGATAGGTGGAGATGGGTTGGGAGGATTTGGCATGAGTTAGAGGGGGTTTGGCAGGTAGGTATGAGATTAGGACTTGCTGCATGCCTCTGGGGGAACAAAAGTCGCCCTTTCCTTGCAGCGAATGGGAAGCAGGAGGGGCCAGCTGACCGCACTCGCCCAGTAGCTCGCTTGCTCACTCACTCGCCCCTCCTGGTTCCCCAGCGAAGGGGAACTCAGTAGCTCGCTTGCTCACTCACTCGCCCCTCCTGGTTCCCCAGCGAAGGGGAACTCAGTAGCTCGCTTGCTCACTCACTCGCCCCTCCTGGTTCCCCAGCGAAGGGGAACTCAGTAGCTCGCTTGCTCACTCACTCGCCCACATGACCATGCTGCATCTGTTCCTGTCTTCGATACCTTTTGAGGCGCCTCAAAAGCCACTCAGGAGCTCGCTTGCTCACTCACTCGCCCACTTGACCATGCTGCATCTGTACCTGTCTTCGACCCTGCTCCTCTCCCCTCCCTCCTTTTCCCAGGGCTGATTTGGCCAATCTGGTGAACGAAGCAGCACTGCTGGCAGCGAGGAGGGACCATGAGGAGGAGTGCTGATCTTTACTCCTTCACTGTCATGCTGTACCCATACCTTGCTTCCTCATCACTCATTTCCACTCTTCCTCTTCCCTCCCATTCCAGGGCTGATTTGGCCAATCTGGTGAATGAAGCAGCGCTGCTGGCAGCGAGGAGGGACCATGAGGTGGTGATGAAGCAGGACTTTGACAGCGCTGTGGAGCGGGCACTTGCGGTGAGTGTGGTTGATGGGAGAATATAATCATAGGGAGTGTTGAAGATGTGAGATTTACAGCAAGGAGGGACCATGAGGAGGTGACGAAGCAGGTGATGCATGATACTCATGTGATGAGATGTATAATATTTTGTTGTTTAATCGCGTGCGTTCGTTGTTTCCCCTTGTTCACAGGGAATTGAGAAGAAACGGTCAGCTTTGGGTCGGGCAGAAAAGGCCGTGGTAGCACGGCACGAAGCAGGCCATGCGCTGCTGGGGGCAGCCATTGCAAAGGTTTTACCTGACCAGCGGGTAGTCCAAAAAATCTCCATCGTACCTCGGTCGGGCGGCGCGTTAGGATTCGCCTACATGCCGCCCCCAGCGGACGGCGAGGAGCGTCTTCTAGTTTTTGTGGACGAGCTTCGGGGCCAGCTCGCCGTCCTCCTCGGGGGTCGGGCGGCAGAAGACGTCTGTTTCGGCGGGAGAATCTCTACAGGAGCAGTAGACGATATTCGGCGTGCTACAGACATGGCCTATAAGGCTGTAGCGGAATACGGGCTGAGTGGGACCATAGGGCCAATGTCAGTGGGTACCCTGGCGGGAGGGGGGTTGGATGGAGGGGGAGGGTTTGCCTGGGGGGGGAAGGACCAGGGGAGGCTGTCGGATCAGGTGCAGGATGAGGTTCAGCAGCTGCTGCAGGCGGCTCTAGAGGTGGCGCGGGCCGTGCTGGTGTGCAACAGAGGGCTTCTGGAAGACCTGGGAAGGACACTGCAAGGTGAGATCGAGGTGGCTCAAAATTGCAAGGTGGGATGTCAGATGTCTTGAGTGGATTTTGGTCGGATTCCTTGCTCTGTTAGTCCTTGGTTGTATGCTATCTTCCGTTTTCTATGCATATATCCCACAAACATTCTTCCTCCTCTCTGCATGTTTTCCTGCATTGTTGCTGTGCACCAGAGAATGAGACGGTGGAAGGAGCAGTTTTGAGCACTTGGCTTGCGCAAGTTGAGGTGCCGCCGCTGCTTAGAACCTTTGTGTATGGCCGGGCAGTAGACCTGCCCCTGCTCCCAGCTGAGAGCAGTGAAGAAGATGCATGATTAATCTTTGCCCTACATGGATGGTGGGAGGGGCTGCTTGCCTCCTTCAGTCCTTGACGCATTTCATTCAGTGCTTGACACGCAATGCATCACTGGAGTGTACAGTACAGTGGGTTCGTTTTAGATTGTTATTGTATTCAACATTCGCGTGTATATATTTTTATTGGTGAATAAGCCAATCTTTCTTGTATGTTAGGGGTCCGCTGTACTGAGATGCATCTATGGCTCTGTAATTGCCTAAAATGCATACGGTATCGTACTGTGGTGGACATAAGTGAGCGAGAGAAGTACACGAAACAAAACCTTTCGACAATCTCGAGAGACCCACACACGCGAATTTGTCGTCAAAGCCTCCGATTCCGATCGGAGGCACACAGCCGTTCGATTCACTTCAGCCCCACTAACAACGCGTTCCGCACCGTTCGGTTCGACGGAAGCTGCGAGCTTCCCAAGAAGGCTGGTCACCCTTCTCAACCGTGTGAATGTGTCTCACAATGACACTCTAAACGCATAGCATCGCATTCCAACGCAAATGAGATAGACTTGCCACCCGTCCTGATGTTGCTCTAAGTACCCACAATCCAGATACTATTTCTCAGATTAGGAGTAGCTTCAGGAGGGTTTGCAACTTATTCTGTGAACCGTACCTACCTTACTAGTTAGCATCGCGGGCAACTGAAGCCGTCACGATGTTGGACCATTTCTCGATCTTTACGCGCGGCGGGCTGGTCCTCTGGACGTTCCAGATGACGGCCATGAAAGGCTCGCCGATCGACGCGCTGATTCAAAACTGCCTGCTGCAGGAGCGGTCCGGCGAGAAGACGTTCCAGTACAACGCCAAGGACCAGTCGGCTTATACGTTAAAGTGGTCCTTCCATAACGAGTTAGGTTTGGTGTTTGTCGCGGTGTATCAGCGTATGCTCCAGCTGCTTTATGTGGATGATCTGTTAACGGCTGTTAGGGATGAGTTTGCGGATGGACACTACGATCCGAAGAAAACGACTTACCCGGATTTCGACGACGTTTTTAAACAGCTGCTTCGTGAATCTGAACAGCATGCGAACGAGTTGAAGCGGCCGAAGCAGGTTACCAATTTCGGCGAGACGAAAAAGGGTAAAGGCATGAATAAGGCCACGGGAGCGGGGAAAGGGAAAGGAACAGGAGCCAATCAGAGGAAGGGAGGCGTGGCGAAAGATGGCGGAGACAGTGGGAGCGACGATACCGGCGATGAGGACGGAGCGGCTAACAGCGAGGCCGAGCAGCCAGCTAGCCGTCCCAGCAGCAGCTCCGCCGTCTCCTCCGCCGGCGCGTTTGACGTCTCGAAGCTGCGTAACCGCGCGAACCGCAGCAAGCAGGCTTCGGCGAAGAAAACCGGTAACGGGCTTTTCGATTTCCCCCTGAATCCCGCAAAGGGCATCGGGAAATCCGACGGAAAAACTGACGGAAGCGCGTCGGAAAGCGAGTCGAAGAAACCGAAGAAGCAGATGAGGAAGTGGGATAACGACGGGCCGGCTCTGGAGCGGCAGGACTTCTCGGAAGCTTCGGATCATGACACTGACGTGGAGGTTGTCGACGTGGCAAAGGTGGGGAAGAGCATGATGGACCGAGAGGCTGAGCTGGAGGAAGAGGAGGATGCGGAGTGGGGGGCGGAGGACGAGGATGAGGAGTCGGAGGAGGAAGGGGGGACGGAGCGGAAGGGGTCGCGCAGACACGTGGGCCGCGGGGATGATGGCGGTGAGGGGAAGAAGACCGGCTGGCTTGCTTCGGTTTTCCAGAGGTATGAAGGAAGGGGAGGTGGGAAGCGGGAGAGGTGGTTATTGTAGCGTAGTGGGCAAGGCGGCCCAGTAGCTGGGCACATTCTTTACATCCAAATCACCCCACACCTTCCCTTTCTCGCCCTCTCCTCCACTCTTTCCCCTCCCCCACCTCCTCCCCCCCCTCCCCCCTTCATCACCTATCCCACCCGTCTCCCACCCTTCCCCCTTTCCCTCCCTCTCCTGCATCTCCCCCACCCCCCTGCCGCTTCTCCCAGCGTGGTGGGCAAGGCCTCTCTGGAGCTGGCAGACAAAGAGCCATTCACACTACTCTCCCCCGCATCTCTCCCATTTCTCCCCCCGTGCCGCTTCTCGCAGCGTGGTGGGCAAGGCGTCGCTGGAGCTGGCGGACATAGAGCCGTCGCTCAAGGTGCTCAAGGACAGACTCATGACCAAGAACGTGGTGAGCTATCGCCCCCTGTCATGCTGCCATCCGCTCCTCCATCCCCTCCTGCCACGCCCTCCTGTCATCCTACTGCCATCCTGTTTTGCCCTTTCTCTCATTGTCTGCTTCCAATCCCTTCTGTCCAGCTCCAACTTCCAGTCCATTTTCCCTGCTTTTATTGACCTTGGTTTTTTCCGTTTTTTTTTTTTCAACCCGACCACACCAGGCGGAGGAGATAGCGGAGAAGCTGTGCCGTTCAGTGGCGTCGAGCCTGGTGGGCAGCAAGCACGCGTCCTTCACGCGCATCTCCTCCACCGTGCAGGCCGCCATGGAGGACGCCCTCACGCGCATCCTCACGCCCAAACGCTCCATCGACATTCTGAGAGATGTACAGGTGAGCAGCGCTGCAAACTACCCATCACCGCTCGGCCAGGCGTGCAGTGTAGGTCAGAGGTGGGCAAGTCCACCAACCTGGCCAAGGTGGCGCACTGGCTGTCACAACCCAGCCTTTTACTTGCTTCAGACTCACCCTCTCTCTCTTCCCCTCTCACCCTCTCCCCTGCTCTCTCCCCGCAGGCTGCCAAGGAAGCAAACCGTCCCTACGTGGTGGTGTTTGTGGGGGTGAACGGGGTGGGCAAGTCCACCAACCTGGCCAAGGTGGCCTACTGGCTGTCACAGCACGACATCAAGGTGATGGTGGCGGCGTGCGACACCTTCCGAGCTGGGGCGGTGGAGCAGCTTCGAACTCATGCTAGGAGGCTGCAGGTGCGTATGCCTCTGTGCCTCTGTGCTTTCAGGTGCGTGCGCTTGTGTAGGGATGCGAGGTGGCAAGGTGGCCTACTGGCTGTCACAGCACGACATCAAGGTGATGGTGGCGGCGTGCGACACCTTCCGTGCCGGAGCTGTGGAGCAGTTGAGGACACACGCGAGGAGGCTGCAGGTGCGTTCAGAGCCCCTGCCTATCTAGTGTGGTAGTGTGAGGTGCAGCCTGCATGACTGGCTGTCACAGCACGACATCAAGGTGATGGTGGCGGCGTGTGACACCTTCCGAGCTGGGGCGGTGGAGCAGCTCCGAACACACGCCAGGAGGCTGCAGGTGGGCTCAACTCAAAGACAATATCTACCTATCTAGTGTGTGATATGAGGTGCACGGCCCTGTGTGGCCTACTGGCTGTCACAGCACGACATCAAGGTGATGGTGGCGGCGTGTGACACCTTCCGCGCCGGAGCAGTGGAGCAGCTCCGCACTCACGCCAGGAGGCTGCAGGTGCGTGCGTGTACCTCTATGCCCTCAGGCTTTCTTGTGCATGCCATTGTGTCCTCAGGTGCGTGCCTCTGTGCCCTCGGGTGTGTGTTTCCTCAGGGACGCCCATTTCCTCTCTCCCTGTCTCTATACTGTTCACTCCCCTCCTTCTTTTTCTCCAGATCCCTCTGTTTGAGCGGGGGTACGAGAAGGACCCGGCGGTGGTGGCAAAGGAGGCGATCAGGGAGGCGACGCGCACCAAGATGGATGCAGTGCTGGTGGACACGGCGGGACGCATGCAGGACAACGAGCCCCTCATGCGGGCGCTCTCCAAACTGATTAACATCAACGAGCCTGACCTGGTGGGTGTGTGTGGTGGTTGTGTGCGGCTGTGTGCGGTTGTGTGCGGCCATCTGTGGCCATATGTGGGTGTAGCTAGGATCAGCCCAGGCAGACAGCCTGGCCTGGTGCATATGGTTGTGTTGAATCCTCCTGAGGCGACTGAAAGAGGATGGCAGTGGCACCAAGATGGATGCAGTGCTGGTGGACACGGCGGGGCGCATGCAGGACAACGAGCCGCTCATGCGGGCGCTCTCCAAACTGATTAACATCAACGAGCCTGACCTGGTGAGCCATCTAATAGGCCCATGGGCTTATAAAAATATTTGATTATAATCCCACCCAGCGATTTTCCGTCATTATACAAGCCCGGGCTTGTATTCAGGGGATGACGGTATTGGCTGGTTCATACCAACCTGTGTGTGTGGTGTGTGTATGTACCCATCCCATGCCCTGGGTCTGGGCACAACAGGTTCTGTTTGTGGGGGAGGCACTGGTGGATCAGTCGACCTTTATTGAGGCGCTTCATGAATCAGCCTATGTATGTGATGTGATACGCTTACCCATCCATCCCATCCACCATGCCCGTGAGCAGGTTCTGTTTGTGGGGGAGGCACTGGTGGGCAACGATGCAGTGGATCAGCTGACCAAGTTCAACCAGCGCCTGGCTGATCTCTCCTCAGCGCCCACTCCCCATGCCATTGACGGCATTTTACTCACCAAGTTTGACACTATTGATGATAAGGTGAGCTCTAATTGTCAAATTTCAGAGATAAGGTTGAATTTGCTCGTATTCTAACAAAAAAGGGGCATTTGGCCATGTTTTGGTTTAGTATTAGCAGATATAATTTATGGATTTTCTGCTTTTTATTTGTGCGCAGGTTGGTGCTGCCCTGTCCATGGTGTATGTATCTGGGGCGCCCATAATTTTTGTCGGCTGTGGTCAGATGTACACTGACCTGCGCCGCCTCAATGTGAAGCACATTATCCGTGCGCTGCTGCAGTAGACAGCAGTAATATGCACAAACAAGCGGCAGTATCTGTATCACTAGTACGGATTCAACTCTTGACTAATGCTCAGCTAGTTCTACATAATGCCAGATAGGTCTGATCTCTGTTTGATGGATCCTTGTTATTGCTTATTGGATACTTCTTCTTGTGCTACGAATTTTTGGGCTAATGGGCTACACCGATTCCTCACTTTTTATGCTCTTCGACAGCGAGCTCATCTCTTAGCGAACTAAATATATTGGGCGCCAACATTTTGAATTCTGACAAGCAGTTTCTGACTGACACGGCATTTCCAAGGTCTGACGCGATGCGACCTGGAACACCCAAGAGCAGAGAGACGAAACACAGCAGGTAGACCAGGGAAAATGAATCCTCCTCATCTCCCTCTCTCTGCTGCAATCAAGCTCGCTGTTCTCTTAGTCACAGAATCTTAGGGAGTAAAGTCACGGAATTTGTGTAACGTCCTAGGAACAGCAGTTTAGGCTGCTGACTAATAGTGCTCTGGCTTGTGATCTACGACCAGCATAGCGTGTGCGTTAGAATCAAGTGCGATTGTCTTATAAGGTCTAGGCTGACTAGAGTGGGCTTGGACGTAATGGCGTCCAACACTGAAAAAGGAGTAAATGTCCAAGTATTATTGCGTTGCAGGTAAATATTCTCGATGGTGGTTTCGGTTTAGCTATTAGGAATCTAATTAACGATTACTGATCGTCGCCGCCTTCTTGATCAGGCCATTATCCTCGGACGATGTGCGGCTGCGAGCACAACAGGTGGTTAGATGCAATGAATCCCGCAAGGAAGTCATGGTCGCCCATAACGTCGCGGGGAAGTCGAGCGAAAAGGCGTTCAGCTTTGATAGAGTAAGCTTCATGCAATGAAATAGCAAGGTCAATTCAGTTTTCAAGTAGAGGTCGCGTTCGCTAAGAGCTTGACGGATGTCCTCTGCAGGTATTTGGACCGACGTCGAAGCAGCAGCACCTTTACAAGCTCGCGATCGCACCTATTGTGGAGGAGGTCCTCGAAGGTTTCAACTGTACGATCTTCGCTTACGGCCAAACTGGGACGGGGAAGACCTTTACTATGCAAGGAGACGTAAACCGAGCCGGAGTAAGTGCCGAACCGCGTTCTGAATCCCAATTTGGCATTTTCCCTGCCGTACTGACAGCGTGTCTGATTCTTTTGCAGGAGAATGGCCAACTTCCGGAAGGAGCAGGAGTTATTCCACGGTCTATCAAGCATATCTTCGACACCCTTGATAGTCAAGGAGCCGAGTACAACATCAAAGTAACTTACCTGGAGCTTTACAACGAAGAGATAACCGACCTTCTGGCTCCAAACGACGTCCTTGTGGCATCCGAGTCAAAGAAGCCTGTCGCCTTGATGGAAGATGGTAAAGGAGGAGTGGTTGTACGTGGCCTTGAAGAAGAGGTTGTCAACAACTCGTCTGACATTTTCACGCTATTGGAAAGGGGGACGGCCAAGAGACGCACAGCAGAGACGATGCTGAACAAGCAATCCAGGTTCGTTTGCATCGTTTCCTCATGCTTGCATGTTATTGTAGTTTTATGACAGCCTGAACGAATCTGTATCTGCTGTGTTTATATCCTTTCAAGTGCAGCCGCTCCCACTCCGTCTTCACTATCACTATTCACATCAAGGAGTCAACTCCGGAGGGTGTAGAACTGATCAAGTGCGGAAAGTTGAACCTGGTCGACCTTGCTGGTTCGGAGTGCATAGGAAGATCCGGCGCCAAAGAAGTAAGTTCTGTAACGTGCAGCCTTATGGATGGTTCTTTTCAGCAATCTAATGCTTCCATGCTTCTTTCCAGGGACGCGCACGAGAAGCTGGTGAAATCAACAAGAGCCTCCTGACTTTGGGACGAGTTATCACAGCCCTTGTAGACCACAGCGGTCACATTCCTTACAGGTAAGATCAGTCAGTGGTGTGACCTCAGTAATAGATGGATCTTAACATTGGGTTGACACTGATTGCAACGTGGAATTACATCATGCAGGGACAGCAAGCTCACAAGGTTGCTTCGTGACTCTCTTGGAGGCCGGACAAAGACTTGCATTATTGCAACAGTCTCTCCTGTCGCACCTTGTTTGGAAGAGACCTTGAACACGCTAGAGTATGCTCAGCGTGCTAAGAATATCAAGAACAAGCCAGAGGTGAGCACGGCAAACCAACTACTTCTGGCTTTCAGAAACCGCGATGGAGTCTGACATTTGACTTATTTTTCCAGGTTAACCAAAGGACGACGAAGTCAAAGCTACTGAAGGACATGGCAGGAGAAGTCGAGAGGTTGAAGCAAGGTATGTAACTGCTGGCATGTCTGTTGTTATCTTCTACTCATTTTCCTGCTGTAACTCGAGTGGCCTATTTATGTTTCAGAGTTGAAGGCTCAGCGCGAGAAGGATGGTGTTCATCTAACAGTTCAGCAGCACGAGAACCTGCTAAAGCAGGTGCAGTCCCTCAAGGACCTCACTGGCCAAAACAGTGACGAGCTCGAACAGAAGGCGGAGGTAAGAACTGTTCTGCACATTCAACGTAATTCTTCTTGGTCTCATAGCAGCACCTGAAAATGAGTGTTGCCATGTCCAGGAAATTAAGGAACTCACTGAGCAACTGGAGGTATTTTCGGGCCGAGTGGAAGATTTGACGAAGGAAAGGGATGGACTTCAGGTAACTGAAACCGCTGAGTGACGTCATGTGGTTCCCTGCTGAAAAGAATCGTACAGAGTATCTCTTATCATTGATGTGTTGAGATTCTCAAATCTTGTGTTTTTCCAGGGACAAGTTGACTCGCTTTCCCAAAGCTTGGAGAAGACTGAAGCTGATCTTCGAGAAGCAGTATCAACTATTGAAAGCATGACTCAAGCTGGTAAGTCTTATGTGTTTGGTTGTATTTGTGTACTGGAGTTTCTCAGCCTCCCACTCTCTTTACTGGGTCAATGTGATTCAATTTGTTCAGCATCTTTCTCATTCCTAAGTGATTCTCCTTGCGGCCCTGTACTTGATGGCAGAGTTACAGCTGGTTGTCACCTGCAATGGCCTTCGACAAATGCTCATCAACGTCAATCACGATAATACTCGACTGTTCGAAAAGATTGGTGAGCTTGGTTCCTAGAACTTGCGTCGTTTCTATCCAGAGTCCGTGTTGGTTAGAAAGACTAGTACTGACATTTGCTCTTTGATCAGAGAGAATGCAGGAGACTTCAGTCCACAACCAGGTTGCAGCTACCAGTTTGAAGCAGCAAATGGACAGTCAAGTCGATAGTGTTCGGGCCTTCATAGTAAAGCACATGGAGATTCTTGCTTCCCAAGAGCAGCAAGCATCACAGGGCCTTGAAGGCGTCCTCAGCCAGTCAACTAAGGTATTTTCCAGACAGTGGCTCTTCATCTTCTTAATCTCCAGCATTTTTGCCTTTTGAGCAATGATTTACTGACTGTGTAATCCATTTGATGCAGGATTTGGGCCAAGTGACGGAGGAGGTATCTCAGTTGCAGCAGAAGGTGTTGGGTGTGACACGACTCATGAAGGAGCGTGTGCAACAGTTTGTGGATAAGAACAACAGTTCCCTCCAGTCCTTGGTGGACGGTCTCGGCCCACAGCAGGAGGAGATGGAGAAGGTTCGTAAGAACAACAATGTTATTCCCACTTATATTTTCCCATATACTGTGCAGATTTTGCTCATGCAAGGTTATCGTTTCCCTGCAGCTACTTGAAGAAGCTTCTGCCTCATCCAAAGCATCACTTCAGCAAATCCAAAGTTTGCTGACCTGTCTCTCAGCTGGATGGGACAACGTGCAAGGGTGGTGGAATCAGGTGGGCACGGTAGACTTGCTAGGGTTGTAAGCATCCAACTTTCGTTCTCCTAATCCATTGTCGCTTGGATATTGCAGTATTCGGAGAAACGCAGAGCAGAGTCATCCTCTGCCCTGACGTCCTTGGAAGCCTTTATTGAACGATTGTATGAAGAGACAACTGCTTGGTCTGAGATGATAGCTCATCACACGGAGAGTCATGAAGAGGAAATGAGCAGCCTAGAGAAGGGGGTGATGGTAAGTCGCAAGTGGGGTTTGCATCCGTGTTTGAAGGTGAAAGATGTATCTCATTGGCTTACATTTCTGTGTTTGCAGGAGATTGAAATGCAGAAGGCCAAGAGGATTCTAGAGGCAGTGACCGAAATTGTACAGCAAGGGATGAACGACACCAAGGACGAGGTGTGTGAGCAAATAACGTGATTCAGCCTGTCGTTTCTTGATCCAATGTTACCTAATGCATGTTTGCTTGCCATTTTTAGGTCAAGGGACGGATTGCACGCATGTCAGCCAGTGTGAAGACTTTACGCTCCGCAACGGATGATAAAAGGCGTGCTGTGGAGGGTGTTTATTCTAACATTTCAAGCGGCATTGCTGATCTTCGAGAAAAGGAAGCCACGGCTGACACTGAGGCCTCAGATGAAGTTGCACTCAAGAAGTCAGAAGCTGGCGAGATGGTAGCTTCGTGGTAGGCATCTTCCTCAGCCTCTTACAACCTCCATCTGTTCCTTTTGTTCCCTCCTCTGTACGCTTTCCACCTTTTCACTGTGCTCCTCTCCGCTTTATATTTCTGGAGCCATTGTGAATGCATTGAGTTGCACATGCACGTACACACACGCACACACAGTTTCCTCATCCTCAACTTCCTCTGTGTTCCCTAATGCAGTGCGGATTGCGTGGAAAGGATGGATGTAGATGGCAGTGAACAACGTTCACTTCTTGCATCACGGTCCAAAACTCATTGTGACCGCATGAAAAAAAGCATCGGGTAAGCCTACTGAAAGAGAGATTCAATCCGCATCAGTTTTGAATTCTGAGTGCCTTTTTCCTCAGAGGAAAATAAATAATTAAATTGGTGTACCTTTGCAGGGAGCGCAATCTCGAGTCAACCAGCCTTGGCAACAGTACAACAGCTGACCAGGAGCAGGCTGAGGCAATGTGCAACGAAGGAGCTGACAAGCTCGTCGCTATGATTTCAGGTAAACCATGAGCTCGTATCTTCACATTTCCGTCAAAACCACCTTGCATGGTATGAACATTTGTTCTTCATTTCGCTCCCCCCCTTGCAGGAAGTCATGGTGCGCGGCAGCGGAAGCTAACGAGTATCGCATCCTCGCTTTCTGAGTCATCTCATTCTGTGCCACTGGCACTGGACCACCACAAGCAGCAAGTTGACGATGTGAAGGGAGGCATGAAGAGATACGTGGAGGAGGATCTGAAGGTAATTATAGTCAAACCCTTTATTGTTTCGTCAGCATGGGATTCTGTGGGGTATCATGTTGACATGAGTGTGCTTTGTCAATGCAGCCGGATGCACATACGTCAAGGACGCCAAAGAAGAGGCGATTTGAGATTCCAACAGAGGAAGACATTTTGCGGATGTGTCATCGGCCCAATCAAGCCCACGGGTCTGTGCCAGTGTCTCTCCCTGCAAAAGCAGCGCCATCGCCCAAGCGAGGCGCTCCTTCCCCTGGGAAACTTAAAGCTTCACTTCAGAAGTCTGGGGTCCCTCGGGGTGCTCGGGGACCGCTGTTCACCATTTCCCAGAACTGATGCATAAGTGAAGTATCTACACTTCGCACCAGAGGATATATAGCAGATAGGTTGTTAGCATAAGAGTCTAGGTTGTTGACTTTTCTAGTAGGCGACTGACGCTTCCTTTGTCTTCTCGGCAAAGGATACAGGCTGACATAGTACTTACCTCTATTATGTACTGCAGGTAGTAAGAGATAACTTTGCATAAACATTTGCACAAAAATATTCAAGCAAAGCAAACATACAAATACCATACCACATACATAAAAAGCTGGAAGTGAAGTACACCTGCACTGCACTGCCCACCTTCTACTAACCTAACCTGCTGCAAGCCCCTGACCAACTCTTATTATTTCCTTCCTGCTACCACCACGGCCGCCTCAGCCTCCTCCTTCCTCCACCAAAGAACATGTGTGTATCTGGATACAGAGATTCCAAGCTGGCATCTGCACTCCTGTGAGCCTCAGAATACTGCGACAGATTGACATACTCTTGAGGCCCCCCCTCGTCCTCATAACCATCACTGTCAGAATCCATGTCATGGTGTGCCCTAGCCCTGTGCGCAGTGCTTCCATCCCCCCACGGAGCCCTGCACCAAACGCACGTCACCATGCCGCCCCTCTTGGCAGCCTTCCAACGCGAGAAGCAGTCTGAATGAACGTTGTTGCCACACCGCTGGCAGAACACCACCGCCTCTGCTGCCTTCCCACTGCCGCGCTTCCCTGCTCCCGCTCCTCCCAGAGGTTCGTAGCAGATGGGGCAGTCCCCCTCAATCGGCCGCTGCTTTGGCCTCTGATCCGTCTCCCCCACTGCAGCCTGACTGCCACCTTCATTCCTAGAACCAGAATCAGTCAATCCCAGAGCACCAGAACCAGGCGCCCCCCCTGCAATGCGTGCAAACTGCTCCCTTACAGCCGGACTCGCTAGAATCTCCTCGCCCTCCGCAGCAGCAGCAAGAGTTCTTCTCTCCAGCGCGTCTATCCTATCCAGGAGCTCGTTTAGCTCGGTAGAAAGCAGCGAGCGCTGCCACACGCGCGGATCCTCCTCGCCCACGCGCAGCACGCGCAGCAGCACAAAGAGCACGTGCTTGCAGAGGTTGCCGTTGCCGTAGTCTGGGCACGTGCATGAGGGCTGCTGCGAAATGGTAACCGTGTATACGTTACCGGTTGCTCCGAGCACGTGGAAGTTACAGGAACATGGGCGGAGCGGGGAGGTGGAGGGAGGGGGGGTGGAGGCGGGGGTGTGGGGGGAGGAGAGAGCGCGAGTGGGGGAACTGGCGAGAGTGGGAGTGGGGGGAGAGGAAATAGCGAGAGCACTTGGTGGTGTGCCAAGGGGGGAGGCGGGGGACAGAGAGGATTGCGGAGGCGGAAGGTTGTGGGGAAGAGGGGTGCGCGGAGGCGGAAGGGTCAAAGCGAGACCAGCATCGCCTGCGCCACCCGCGCCACCCGCGCCAGGCGAAGCAGTTCCCCCGCTCGCGCCCCCCCCAGCTGCCCCCGCGCGAGCGGCTCCTCCGCCAGTTCCGCGGGGCGCGCGCGGCCAGTCGAAGCCGATTAAGTACAGACGATGCACGTAGGCGCGCTCTATTCGGTCTAGAACCGCGCGCGACGGATGCGGAAGGAAACGCGTTAAGCGCTTCTCCACCACTGGCTTCGCGGCTCGGCCTCGCGACCCTCGCGAGGCTCTCACGGCTCGCGAAGGTGAGGGAGTCGATCCAACGGCTGAAATTGCGAGAGCCGTTTCCGTTGCTTGGCGCTTCCGCCCGTGACTTGCGCCGGACTCTGCCAGGCCTATCAAAGTTTCCCCCGGGTCTATCACCGTTTCCCCCAAGTCTATTGCGGTTTCCGCCGTTGCGCCAATCGTTCCGCGCGCCCTTCCCAGACCTGCCGCGGTCGTTCCCCAGCGACCCGTTTCCGCCAAGACTATCGCGGTTTGAGGAGTGCTACCTCCCGTAAAAGCGGGAGTAATTAAGTCTATCGCGGTCGCGCGAGTGCTCCCAATCCCAATGGCGGGAGTGCTTTCAAATAGCACAGCAGTTCTCCCGATCACGGTCGCGGGAGGGCTATCAGATAGCGCAACATTGCTCCCACCAATCGCGGTCGCGGGAGGGATTCCAGATAGCGCTTCTTGAGAAGGCGCTTCGGACAGAAGGCCGCTATCCGCGTGGGTAGTTAATGCTAACCGCCTCTTTCGCGAACCGCTAGCCATTGACGGGAAAGGGGCAGCTTTGTGAATAAAGAGGAGGAAAAGCGCGGGAAGCGAGAAACGGAGGGGAAATATTTTGAGGCGCTTCAAAAGGGGCAGCTTGTGAATAAAGAGGAGGAAGTGAGTTATAACGGAGTGGCTACCAACATAATGTATAATAACGAAGTCTTCAATAACGAAGAGAGGAGAGTGCCAATGGAGACTAACCACCAATATTCGCTGCCTTCAAAGCGCCCTTGACCCAATGTGAGGAGACGAGATAGACTACATATAAAGCAGCACTATTCGCTGACACTGCAACGCAAATGCAGCAGACGGCACAGCTCGCAAGCAAGAATTGGAACTGACCAGGTGATCGGGGGTAGGTGGCGGAGAGGTCGTTGGTCGTGCAGTAAAGGGAGGGAACTGACCAGAAAAACGCAAAAAACAGGTTTTGAACCTGACGTGAATCGAACACGCAACCTTCTGATCTGGAGTCTGACGCGCTACCATTGCGCCACAGATCCGTGACGAGCATAACCATCAATTTTATTTGACCAATGAAAAACTAAACTCCAAATTGCCCTCATTTGTTTCGTCATCGATTGTATCGCCATGGCGGCCATTGCAAGCAGCACGAGGGCGTCACTGCCGCCGCTCACCCACGCCACGCAACAACCGCCAACCGCTCAGCTCAGTCTAGATTCATCCATTGCACCTCGCGCTTCGTTCGCGCGGCTGTTTCGCTCGAAAGGGTCTCATGAGACGAGATTAGGACCGTTGCGGCAATTAAGGTCCACCATAGTACCTCACGTCTTCGCGGTCGCAGAATCACGGAATCCGGCACGAAGCTTCTCTTATTCTCCCTCTACCTCTCCTCCAGAGACCGCCGATTCGCTACATTCCGAGAATGCCACATCCCTGCTCGCTATTCCCACCCTCGCTACAGTCACAGCCTTGAGTGCTCTTGTCGCCCCTTCAGCGGTTGCTGCGGTTACCGGTGCTGACGTCAGCTCGGTAGCAGAAGCAGCAGCAGCAGCAGGCGCCGCGGCGGGGACAGCTGGCGATGGCGCATTGGCGAGTCTGAGTCAGATGTTGCTCCTTGGCGCGCTCTCATTGGCTGACGAGCCCTCCAACGCGCTGTCGCTGCCCACGTGGATCATCCACGTGGCAAGCGTGGTCGAATGGTGAGCGCGAATCTAAACAGGCGCGGCTCGGGCAGGTGGATGTCAGGGGATTAACACGGGTAGGCAGGCACCATTTTTGTTTTTTCCCTCCCCCTCTTTCCTACCTCCCTTTCCTCTCAGGGTGTTGGCCATGGCACTGGTGTGGGAGTGCGGTGCGGCGGAGAGCAGGCGGGCATGGAGGGTATTTGGTGGATGCTTCATGCATCCCTTTGTCTCTCACTTCCCCCTTTCGTACTCTCCTCCTCCTCCCAGTCCCCCAGGGTGGTAGCGATGGCATTGGTATGGCAGTACGGGGCAGCGCGCAGCAGGCGGAGTGGAGGGGGTTGATGGTTCACTCATCTCACAGTGATATCATCTTGTGCCGCTCGCTCACTCACCCTCGTTCCTCCCCTTCCTCCCCTTCCTCCCCATCCTCTCCCTCTCCCTCTCAGGGTGGTGGCCATGGCTCTGGTGTGGCAGTACGGGGCAGCGGAGAGCAGGCGTAGGGAGTGGAGGGAGTGGGGGAGGGGGTTCGTGCGTCACACACCTCGTCTGGTGTCTTTCTTTCCCCTCCCCTACTTTCCTTTTCCCTTTCCCCCCAGGGTGGTGGCGATGGCCCTGGTGTGGCGATGGCCCTGGTGTGGCGATGGCGCTGGTGTGGCAGTACGGAGCAGCGGAGAGCAGGCAGCCATGGAGGGGAGGGGGTTGATGCGTCAATCATCCCTTAACGCTCAATCCCCCCTTTCCACCCACCTCTCCTCCCCCTCCTTCTCAGGGTGGTGGCGATGGCGCTGGTGTGGCAATACGGGGCAGCGGAGAGCAGGCGGGCATGGAGGGGGCTGGCATGGGGGATGGTGCCTCTTCTCATGGGCGCCATGTGTGCGTGCACGTGGCATTTCTTCTATAATTCGCCGCAGCTAGAGGTAATACAGGGCTACAACTGGCTGTAAGTAGGGGTCTGTCTGTCTGTCTGTCTGTGATGGCGTGGAGGGGGCTCGCATGGGGCATGGTGCCTGTCCTTATGGGCGCCATGTGCGCGTGCACGTGGCACTTCTTCTATAATTCCCCTCAACTAGAGCTAAGGGAGTGCTACAGCTGGCTGCACGTACGGTTCTGTCTGTGATGGCGTGGAGGGGCCTGGCATGGGGGATGGTGCCTCTTCTCATGGGCGCCATGTGTGCGTGCACGTGGCATTTCTTCTACAACTCGCTGCAGCTAGAGGTGTGCTACTCACTCACACTCACATCCCCCCATGGTGCCTGTCCTTATGGGCGCCATGCGCGCGTGCACGTGGCACTTCCTCTACAACTCGCCGCAACTAGAGGTCAGTGATGTGATGCGCATGCTTGCTTGCATGCGTGATGGGTCGTGCCTCCATCCATGGTGGCTTTTGAGTCGACTCAGAGGTGTGTGTGTGATGCATATGCAGGCATGTGGCACCCAGAGGTGTGTGATGCACATGCAGGCATGTGGCACCCAGAGGTGTGTGATGCACATGCAGGCATGTGGCACCCAGAGGTGTGTGATGCACATGCAGGCATGCAGGCATGTGGCACTCAAGCTTTCACATTCTTGGTGAGAGACCAACGTCTGCTGGTGCTCCTCTCCTTCATAACCCTCCTTGGAACCCGCCTGCTCTATACGGAATGTATTCACTCCTGCTGTCTTGTAACTCTCGAAACACTCCTCTCCCTCCTCTGTCTGCCCCCATGAAACTCTGTTGCTGCTTTAGTCCTTCATGACCAGTGTTGGGAACTGGACCATTGCTTAAAACCCGCGGGCCAAGAAAGCCCAAATTGGTTCAACCTTCCTAACTCCGGTTGAGTGTGACCCTGGCACCCAGAATCTTGGCCAATTGCATTGCTTGCCCCAACCAACCTTCCTAAGGTTGAACTTCTTGGCCCGCGGGTTTTAAGCAGAGTACAGATGCTCTCTGTGTCTTTTCATTTTTTAGCACTCCTCTCCCTCCTCTCCCTCCTCTCCCTCCTCTCCCTCCTCTCCCTCCTCTTCTTCCCCCATCTGTCGTGTTTTCAGGGTCTCGTGGCGTTACAGTCCTTCACGGCCCTCCTTGGCAACTGCATTCACAAGTTTTGAGAGGAATAAAAGTACACCTGAAGTCTTAACCATTCTTGTGGTGCACCTCCTATCCCTCCTCTGTATACCCTCCCATCAGGGTCTCGTGGTGCTACAGTCCTTCATGACCCTCCTTGGCAACTGCACTCTCAACTTTTGAGTGGAGTGAAAGTGCACCTGGTGTGTCTGAAGACTTAAACATTCTCCTTTGTCTCCCTCCTCTGTATACCCTTCCATCAGGGTCTCGTTGTGCTACAGTCCTTCATGACCCTCCTTGGAAACTGCACCGTCTGCTTTGCTGCCTTCCGCATTTACCAGGCATCCACCAAGGCTGCTCCATAGGGCGTCTATAGTGTTTACAACAGTTCACAACCGTTGCAGGTGCTTTAAACATAGCATTTCGTACAAATCAGTTGGTACAGTTTCACCTTGGGGTGCTATTTTTTTTTTAGCACAATTGTATCTACTGTACCTCGTAAACTTTTTTCTCATCGTTCAATCATCAAGCAACCGTCAGCATATTTGACTCACATTACACACCTTCCTTCGCAGTGTCACTTATCCTCTAATCAAGCAAGATGGTAACACTCACGTCTGGCAGTTGATTTGTTCAGGAACGATAATGAAATAATATACCGGCATTCAGCGGTTATTATTGGCACCACAAAAAATCACAACCACCTACTGTGCCTTTATCACACTTTCTTTAGACATACCACCTACTGTGCCTACTGGGTGACTAGAACTCTGCTGACTAGTAAATCAAGCGCCCAATCGCCTGCTACAGGCACATTGGCTATGCACTCGTTAGTAGCAGCTTGCTTAGAAGCACAGCCGTCACAGGAACAGATATGTTGTCATCGATGTACCAGTTCACAGGCAACGATTCAACTACAGTAGCTCCCAAGTTTATTAGGAAGACCCGGAGGAGAGGGTGGGAGGGAATGGGGCAGGAGAAGAAGCCGAGGAAAAAGAAGAACCATAAATAGCTGTTGGGTGGGGTTGGAATTGGGGCAAGGGACGGGAAGTGGGGTTCGGAAGAAAGATAATGATGGGGGAAAAGTGAGGACCCTTAAAATAGTGCAATCAGGGGGCATTCATATCATGAAAGTGCAGAGAGGAATTAAGACAGCAGGTGAGAAGGATCTGAGACACTCCACTAATCAGAGCAATGTTCAAATCACCTACATTAATGAGAGAGCAAATCCGCACAGCAGCATGGCAGCACTGCCAGCCCAGCTTTTCTGCTCATTCCACGGAAGCTTCCAGGAACCACACCGCCGCCCGACAATGTCCGCCACACCTGAAGGGAGGGGTTAGAGCAATGCTCTGGATTAGACTCGGGTGGTGCGGACAGGTGAAGCGCTAGGTATGGAAGCGCTGCGTCAGAGATGCTTCACAGATGCGTCAGAGTTGGGTCAGAGATGGAGGAGGAGGTTGGAGGATCACATTGGCAAGCCCATGCTGACTCAGACCATGCTGACTCACACTCATGCTGCTTCACACCCATACCGATTCATGCCCATGCTGATTCACGACACCTATGCTGACTCACGCCCATGCTGGCTCACGCCCATGCTGACTCACCATCTCCACCACACATGATGACGAGAGCAAGCATTCCCACAGGAGACGTTCTCCAGTACACCACAGTCATGAGCATGATGGTAACCGCATAACACAAAGGCCCGCTTAACAGTTCACTGCATACATCGCAATGAAAGCAAGGGTTAGAAAAGGGAGAATACATTAAGGGCAAGAGCAGATAATTTCGTGACATAACATGGGTATGACCAATTTGCAGTTATTCCCTTCCTTGCACTTTACACGACCAATTTGCATAACAGATTCATAAATCCAGTCCCTCGGTCTGCGTCACGCCCGCACCCCAGCAGCGCAACCAGTCTGTCGAAAGTACAGGCGCATGGGAAAGTCCTCACTCGCGCGCCCTTCTTCCTTGCGCCCGACCCCTTCCCCCACTTTGCCTGAACCTTTCCCCCACCACGCCCGAACCTTTCCCCCAACTTGCCGCTTGCGCCCGGACCTTCCGCTTCCGCCGTGACTCTTGCGCGCTCCTTCCCCTTGCGTGGTGGGGTGATCTCGGGCGAGGTGGGGGAAGGGGTCGGGCGCAAGGAGGCGCGCTCCTTCCCCTTGCGTTCAACCCTCACCCCCCTCACCTCGCGCCTTCCATCCGAAATCGATGCAAATTCCCAGACGAATTTCGAGGCGATTTTCGAGGAGCAACACTCATCTCGCCCCTTCCTCCCCCAACCCTCGCTCCCCTCACGTCGCGCCTTCCGTCCAACCCCGACCCTCACCTCTTTTTTCCATTGCCGCGCAAAGACCTAACGATGCCATCTCTGCGCGTGACCCCCAGCCCCAGCATCACCTGTTCCGCCCGGAAAATCATTCCCCCCTAGCGCTTCCCCCTTACTTCCGACCCTTCCCGCTCTTTCCCCTTTGCTTTCTAGAATCTACTCGAGGCGCATCAGAAACCAGCCCATTTCCGCATTGCGCCCACCCCTTCCTCACCTCTTGCTGCCACTGCGGCTCATGGACTTGACGATCCCCATCGCTGCGTGTGATCCCCAGCCTCAGCACCGCTAGTTCCGTTCTCTCTTCCCGCTTGCTTCCCCTTCCCTCACCTCTTGCTGCCGCTGCGCCTCATCGACTTGACGATGCCGTCGCTGCGCGTCACGCCCAGCTCCACTCCAGCAGCACCCCTTCGCTCGGAAATCCCTTTCCCGCTCCACTCTTTCCGTTGCCCCAGCTGTTCCCTCACCTTTTGCTGCCGCTGCGGCTCATGGACTTGACGATGCCGTCGCTGCGCGTCACGCCCAGCCCCAGCAGCGCTAGTTCCCCCTTGCGCCCACCCCTTTCCTCACCTCTTGTTGCCACTGCGGCTCATAGATTTGACGATCCCATCGCTGCGCGTGACGCCCAGCCCCAGCAGCAAGAGCTGCACCGCCGTCGTCACAGGGGCCGCCGCTGCAAAAAATCGCGCCTGCGGATACGCGCTGGGGGAAGGGGAAGGGGGACGGCGGAAGAGGGCAGGCGAATGGGGAAGGGGAAGTTGAAAAGCGGACCTGAGAAGCGGCAAGAAGAAGGCGACGAAGAGGCCGTACCTGAGGGGCGGTCGTACCTGAGGGGCGGTCGTACCTGAGGGGCGGCCGTACCTGAGGGGCGGTCGTACCTGAAAAGTGGCCAACAGACCAAGACGAAGAAGAGACCGATGGTGATGTGTAGGACCTTGCGACTCAGCTTCTGCGAGACACGGGGTGAGTTCTGAGTTGACGAAGAAGTCCCGATGGTGATGTGGAGGTTTTCACGACGCGGCTTCTGCGAGACGACGGGGGATGGGGGATGGGGGATGGGACGAAGGCGACGAAGTTTGAAGACCTCGGCGGGGACAAGAGGCGTCTCTTGGGTTGGGAGACGTCGCATGGGGTGTGAGGGGTGTGAGCTGCGACACGTCGCACCGAGTGGGAGTTGCGACGTCGCACGGGATGGGAGTTGCGCGACGTCGCACGGGATTCATCCGCGCCCACTACGCGGCGCATGCTACTGAAGTTCGCGAAAGACCGTCACAAGATGGGGACAGGAGGTGTCGTTAGAGTCGACGACGAAGAGCCAGATGGTGATGTGGAGGATCTTGCGACTCGGCTTCTTTGCTCGACGAAAGGCGACGAAAAGGTAGTAACAAGCCAAAGTCGTTTCAATGGGCAAAATTCTGCGACGCGCACAAGATAGTACGAAGGTTGATGCGGCACTAGGCGAGCAAGATTTTCCATTCATAAAATAGGCGACGTGAACTGAAAGAAAGAAAGAAAGAAAGAAAGAAAAAAATGGGGGCAGGTAAAGGAGCGTGAGGAATCTCACCCGCTCGACCAAGTTTCGTCGCGCGAGCAGGTCGAAGAGCCTCAACCATGCGACGACGAGCCCCGTCGTCAGCACTGTTGCACACACGTCGCGTGAAAGGCCGGGGTAGTGCAGCGTGTCGTGCAGGCCGCGCCAGACGGAGCCATCGGAAAAGAATGAAAGATGAGTTCCAAGGACGATTTCGCGCCAGAAGGACCCCTCAAAAAAAGGATCGCCTCTCGATAGGAGATTAGCTCCCGAATACATGCCATGGTGTAGCCGACCCGTCAGTAGAAAGTTACTGTCATTTCCCACGCCGCCGCTGCCGTTCAGCGCTTTTAGCGGGGATGGTGACAGCTGGCGGAGGAGTTGCGGTAAGCTGGCGACCGTGAGGTCCCAGACCCCCGAAGTCGCGTCCATGGCTCCGCCCATCTCGGCTGGCAGATACTCTTGAGTAAACTTCCTGCTTTTCTTCAATAAGAGTTGGCTGTGTGGCGTAGCGCAATGGGATTCGCGCGGAGCTGCCAGCGTAAACGGTCCGCGGCTGACGCGTGGGTTTTGTTAACTGGGCACGGATTCAGGACTGCGCTTTTCTGTAAGCAGTGTCCGACACTGAGGCGAAGTTGCACGTGTTCGCCAAGACCGAGTAGGCCGAGTATCAGACTTCAGGGAGGAGCTCTAAATAGAGAGGACCAAGTATGTAGACTAGGGTGAGCCTGGTTCTTAGCTATGGGTCGAACCACGCCGCTGGTGGCTCGCGTCACGTGAAAGCAGCCTAGAGTGTGAAGCCACAACAGTATCAGGGTGTGCTTGTAACAATCTGGCGAATGAGGTATTCTCACTTGCGGACGGCGACGGCACGTAGCAGTTTCCCTATAAGTTCAAAATGAACGTGCAAGGGCGTGGTGTCTAGGCTAGAAACTCATGGCAAAGCGCCTACCTAGACAGCTCCTATGAACAGGTAGGTTTGGGAGTCGTGACCTGCAGTGAAAGCCAGGCCTGGGACTCCCAGGCCGGGAGGGAGGATCATGTGGGGGCGCCAACGAAGGAGCAAGAAGAACGCGCACGAAGAATGGCGGCTGCCATGCCATGCCAGCACTGCATCCTTTCGTGACGGTTCGAGATTCGTCGAACCGTCCGTGACCGAGACCAATGCCACACGGAACGAAGCTCATGCGCGCCCCTTTGTTTTCTGGTATGGGCTGTTCGGGACAAAATCCCTGAATAAAAAAGGTACATTCCACAATGTTTGAGAAATTGCTGAGAGGCCGAAGTGTATCTAATGGATGGTCTTTTGTTAGGCTAACTCTTGCTCTAAACGCATACGTGATAAATTCTCAAGATTGAAAATTAATGGAATGCAGACTGGCAAAATTCAACATCGCCTCTTGGGCAGAGCGGCTTGCGCGATAGGGTCCTGCTGGGGTCGGGCGCGTCACAGCGATGTGTCGGGTGGTTGGTGAGGAGGGGAAGGGAGGGGAGAGGGGGAGTGAAGCAGCCATGGCGCCTCAGCTGATAGGGTGTACACTCGAGCGGATGCGACACGAGACGCTTCAACCCAAAGCAAGCATTACGGACGAATCAGGAAAGGACAATCGGCGCTCAGCACAGATTCCATCATCCCGTTCCACGTCGTCCAGCGCCTATATTACTGGCGTTAACAGATCGTGGGAAACCTCTATTGGCCAGGACCTACAGCAGTTAGGTCCGGAGGGGCTGCCAAACCAAACAAGGTTTCTTGACTCCCCCCACGTGTCGGTGACCCTAGGCAGCTCGAGCGTTTAGGCGCACGTCACAGGAATACGGGTTACCTGAGGCGTGTGTCGCAAAGGACACGGGTGCGCGAAGCAACGAATCGCAAGTGTCACATATACGAATGTGCTCACAGCGAATCAACAAACCATGTGTAGCCACTTGGCACAACAGTTAGGGCTTACGTGGCCCAATATCCTCGCACATCAACAGCCAAGTCACTCTCTTCCGCGAGGGCAACCTCATCCAGAACGCGGGCCAACCTTTTGGGCGCCCGCGCCCCTTTCCCCCATCCCCTCTTGCGCACGTGCCCTCCTTATGCGCCACTTTCAGACTCAAACCTTTCCCCCGTGACTGTCCCCATCACCGCCATTCACGCGCATGAACTCTTGATCAACCGTAAACTCCGATCAACTTCAAAGTTTTTTTGCGGTATACTATGTTTCAGAACGTTATACGACGGTACAGTTCGGTAACCGTCAGAGACAAAAAAAAATCAATTTTGTACAGAAAGTGTTTGGATTTACCACAGGCAGTTCGGTAGCCCTGAGACGCTAGTCTTTCTCCCAAAGGTTTCTCCTAAACCCTCTTGCTTTAGCGTAGAGGGAAGTTCGTGTGTACGGCACTCCTAAGCGCATCTACGTCGTGAGTCTGCCGTCCCACTCGTGCCACCATGGCTGCCGTCACTGCATTGTCAGTTAAAGCAGTTTCTGCGCCCACACAGGCAAGATTCTTCCAGCTCTTCTAACTTTCTTCATTACTTTCCAGTATGACGCCATACAGTGAAGGAACTGTTGTTTTTTTTTCACTTGTGTTCGTTCCCTTTCCTGCTGCGCTGTTTGTATTGATGAACCATACCCTTACTCACTGTAACTACTTCGTTCCCAGCCTTGAACTAGCCGCTGACAACTATGATCAGAAAAAGGTCCCCTTTCCAGATGGTAAGCTTCCCCCTACTAACCCTAGTTTTTACCCCCATCCTTTCAGGGAGCTTTGAAATCCAGCTTCCTCTCCGGAGAGGGTTCGTCGCCGTGCCAGCTAGCCACCGGCGGTTTCGCCAAGCGGTCGCTGCTGGCGGCGGCTTCCGCATCCCCCTCCGCGCGCCTACACCGCCGCGTGGTCGCCGCCTCCGCCGCCACGCAATCAGCCGCCGCTGCTGTCGCAGCTCCGGTGCGTGCCAGAAAATGCCCTCCTGTCGAAGCAGTGTAGCTCGACTAATCGCACCAAGGGGTTAAGAATCACGATTTTTGAGTGATTAGAGGGATTCTAGTCGATTTTTAGGGCGCCTCAAGAAAGGAAGGGGTTTCGCGATGGTGGGAAAGGAGCAGGTGGCTAAAGGGAGTCTGACAAGTCGGGGGGGGTTGGAGGGGGGTCGTGGTCGGAGGGATCGTGTCGCGCTGTGTGGGCAGTCAGCGTAAAGGGACGGGATTCGTTGTGTTCTGGGCATTGTGGGATTCGTGCGACGGGGTTCGGCTGAATAAGATCGTGTGACAGGACTCGTTGTGCACGGGAAGCGTCGGACGGACGAGGCGGGACTTGGAGCACGTTTCAGTGGCTGGGCTCGTGAGGGCTTGCCTGGCTGCAATGGCTGTTTTTCCGCATGAGCTGTAGCGCGACTCGCATTGGGGAAACCGAGGTTAAGAAAGCTCAAGGGTCCGGAGCAGGGGAATAGAAGCAGTCGGGGATAACATTGGAAGTTTGCTGATGGAAAGTTGTCAGATTTGGAGGCTTTTCCAGCTCGCGTGACAGAGAGTTACCTGAATGCTGTAGTTCCTATTGACTGGGGGTTACAGAGGGAGGTGGATGACAGACGGAGGGTGACTGACGGATGGGAGAAAGACGGAGCGGGACAGACGGAGGGGGGACAGATGAAGGGGGATAGACGGAGGGGCATAGATCGAGGGGAATAGACGGAGGGGACAGATGAAGGGGAACAGACGGAGGGGACAGATGAAGGGGAACAGACGGAGGGGACAGATGAAGGGGAGCAGCGGAGGAGGACAGGCGAAGGGGGGACTAATGGATGGAACAAGACGGTCGTGGACAGACGAAAAGGGTCAAGCGATGGGGGACAGACGGATTGGAAAGAGACGGATGTGGACAGACTGAGTGGGGCAGACGGAGGCGGACAGACATGGTTTCTAGATGGAGAAGAAGAGAGCCTTCAAACGCTACATTTTGGCGTTGGGGTCATTTAGAATGCACGCGAAGCATCTCCCGCTTGCGCTGTCCATCCATCCATTGCTCACCAGAGCGTCCCCTTGTCCCCACCTGCTTCTGATGGCCTCTTCAGCTTCAAATGCATCCTTGCAATGGTACCCAATAGCAGTATTAGAATCCTTAAAATACTCCTACATTATATATAGTTTTTAACCATCTCCCTTTCCCCATAACCTTCCCTCATTCAGGCTGTCCAGAAGCAGAGAATCCGCATCAAGCTCAAGTCGTACCAGGTGCCTCAACTGGAGGCAGCTTCCCAGCAGATTCTTGAAGTGGCGAAGGAGACGGGAGCAGGCATCATGGGGCCGGTGCGTCTGCCAACGCACATCCGTAAGTACTGTGTGCTGCGCAGCCCTCACGTGGACAAGGACTCGCGGGAGCACTTTGAGATTCGCACACACAAGAGGCTGATTGATCTGGAGAACCCGACCGCGACCACCATTGATGCGCTGATGCAGCTGGAGCTGCCGTATGGTGTGGAGGTTGATGTGAAGCTGTCGTAAATGTTTGTGAAATTGTGGGGGTGGGAACGAAGTTATATAAGAAGGCATTCTATAGGATGCTAGTGCTGATGTAAAGCAGTCTGTGACATACATGTTCATTCAATCACTAATCACTGTAAAACCTGCATGGCTGAGAAGGTGCTGGTTGAAGATCAGTGGGATCTTATTATTAAAACGTCACTTGGAAGCCAATTCTTTCATAACTATCAATTCTCTTTAAGTGTACTCGTCTTTCATGTTTGTGGAATTCACCCACCCTGTCTCTGGTCCTGACTGTCAATGAACAAGAAAGCCTTGGTTTTGGCTTCGGGGCTTCCCCTGATGGTTAGCGCTAGAGTATCGGGTAGCTGACAGGCACACGCCGAGTGCAAGGCATCCTGGGATTGCCGCTTCGATCATAACCGCGTCGCACCCCTCCGCGATCCGAGTGGCAGGCTTTCCATGACTTTTATCCACTTGCGAGATTGTCAGCCCCCTCGTTGACGAATCAGAACGCGAGACCGTGTACATCCACGTCAGAGCGATGAGTATTGTGCGACACTCTGATCACCTCTCTGATCCATTGATGGGTAAAGCAGAATCCTGGTTCCATCCACCGAGAATCTCGGTTACAGTACCTAGAAGTCATTTCGTGGGCTCTCCCGAATTGGTCTGCCACGAAAGTCCCGCTCTGCATTCTTCAGGCGTCTGTTTGAAATGATTCAGCTGTAAGTTTCTGCCAGATTGGCCTTCACCCGATAGCACATCCATTAACAAAAACAGATTTCTCGTCTGAGCTACAGAATTAGTAGTCTGTTTCCATTAGAGACTATTACGGGATAATATCATGACGATTTCTGTTCCGCACTGTCAACTGACAGACATTATTAGCTTCCAACCCAGGGTCTCGTCAGCAGGCTATTCCTCAAACAGTCTAGCATGGCCTCGGTCACGCTGTCGTCCATACGCTTACAGAACACAACTGAAACATCTGACTTTGAAACTAAGCTCTGTTACAGCCTCCTTCGAAGTCCCAGCAGCAACAGCAGCAGCCGAATCCGCGATAACTGCTGCTCCAAAACTCGTTACAGGGCTTGGGAGATCCGCAATTGAGTCGCTTCAGGCACCAACGTCGTTCTTCCACCTGCAACCGTCGACTTTTCACCCTGTACTGACCGATGTTGGAACTAGCTTTTCATCCGGGAACGCTGGGATTGTCGCTCTAGCCTCTGGCTTGCTACCGTTAGCAGGTTCATGGCAGCAAGACATAGCTGCGACGCTTTTCACCCTCTTAGGCTCGGTGGTTTGGGTCCGCGTGTTTGATGAGCTGGCCAGACGGGATGTCCTGGATCAGGTAAGGAAAAGTTGCTTCAATATTTCGCTGCGCTGTTGTTCCTCCTTGTGAAGAAACTTCTCATGACCAAGTTCTGCTACTTCGAAATACTTCCTGTTCCTCCTTCCATGATGGTTCTTCCACAGTTCATGGACGTTTGTTCTCTTTGTTGCTGTTTCTTCCACAGAAACTGAGTCGCAAGATTGTGCACATCACCACAGGGCTGCTCTTCATGCTCTCCTGGCCTCTCTTCAGGTGAGGCCTTTCAAAGAAACTTAATGTGAATGTGAGTTATTGAATGTGACTTTAACTTCCAAGTTTTTTTCTTGATTGACTCCTGAGACACCTTGCGGCTCATATACAGATCACGCTGGTCCTTACAAGTCCCTCCTGTCAACCTTGTCCTGTGCTGCATGTCTGCCTGTGTTCAGCCCCAACCCAGCAGCGAGGTTCCTCGCCGTTGCTGTGCCAGTGGCGAACGTTGTCCGGATCCTGCTGCTGGGCACGGGCATCACGAAGAACGAGGGAGTGGTGAAGTCTATCAGCAGAGAAGGCAGTGCCAGGTGAGGCAGTTCGTGGTGAGGCTTTGTGTAAACTCACCCGTCATGCAGATGGCTTGGCAAAAAAAGGTCCCTCATGCTCCATTCACGTTGTCTTTCCTGTTTTCGGGAGTATTATGCAGGGTTATGAATTCCTTTCCCCATACCACAGCTCCATAGCTTTAATGATCCGTTGCCCCTTCTTATTTCTCTACAATAAGGAGTTCTGGGTCTTCAGCTCCGTTCCCTTTCCTCTGCTGTCTTGCCTGCTCTTCCTGCTATCCTCCAGTGAGCTGCTTCGGGGGCCTCTGTACTATGTGCTCACCATCGTGCTAGTCACAACCATCTTCTGGCGCAGCTCCCCCATTGGAGGCATAGCGCTGGTGCTCATGTGTGCTGGGGACGGTGCGTACGTCCCCTACTCATGCGTGCTCATGTGTGGTGCTCAGGGCGCTGATGCTACGTCTGGTCTCGTCCTTCTTAGAGATCTGCTTCTGATCAAACAAACTTTTTGCACGGACTACCTTACATCATGCATTTTCATTGACGTATTTCTCCTATTTCTTGTGCAGGAATGGCTGACATTGTTGGTAGACGAGTGGGTTCGGCAAAGCTTCCCTGGAACAGTCGCAAGAGCTGGGCTGGGAGCATTGCCATGCTGCTCTGCGGCTCTCTGTTCTCAATAACGTAAGCATATTCTGTTCAGCATATTCTGTTCGAGTAGCCTGTGCTGCTTCTGTGTGGAAGCTTCTCAACGATTTGGTCAAACCACTAGAGAGACCACCTTCTAAGCATCGCTTCCCACCCTCCCCTGCAGGTTTCTCTATATATTTTGCTCGTTTGGATTCTTCCACACCCAGTGGTGGTCTACGGATATTTGCTTCAGAATTTTCCTGATAGCTGCTGGAGCAACGTTGATGGAATCGTGTCCCATAAGCGAGAAGCTAGATGACAATTTCACGGTCCCTTTTTCAGCTGTGCTGTTGGGACGCTTGTTGCTTCCAATGATGTAATTTCATGTTTTATGTTGCTGCCTCAAGTGGCTTAGTTGTCATATGTTTCATTTTCCCCTACTAATCTAATTTTCCACCACTCAATCGCGTCTCAGCAGCAGTGCTATACAAAGGAAAATGGCATGCATTGCCACATATTTACAGGTACTGCAGACAAGCATGCAACATCATACTCTACACCTTCATTTCTTACTTCCACCAATCCCCCCCTCCCATCCCTTGCTATTCCCTGCACTTGTCCCACTTACCATCAGCAACTGCCCCACCCCTATCCTCTACGCTCGTTTCCTCCATCCCTCAGTCAGCCTTGGTCCAGCCGAGCCTTCGTCCAACCCTTTCGACCAGCCGAGCCTTTATCCAGCCGAGCCTTTGTCCAGACGAGCCTTCGTCCAGACGAGCCTTCGTACAGACGAGCCTTCGTCCAGCCGAGCCCTTGTCCAGACGAGCCATCAAGCATCCGAATCTTCGTGCAGACGAAGTTCTCATGCCGCCAGCATATGCATCTGCCTCTCCAATGCTTTAGCCATGTCCTCCTGCGCCCCTCTCAGCTCCCCTCTTGCTTCTTCCACCAGCCGTGCACTCTCCTCCACGCTCATCGGCTCATCCACCTCCTCATCCCCCCATCCCGTCACATTTTCTCCCATCTCCCCTGATGCATTCACATCCAACCCACCCCCTGATTCGTTCACAGCCCCCTCTTCTCCCACTGGTTGAGCCACACCCCCTTCCTGAGCCACATCCCCTCCCCCTTCCTCGGACCTACTGCATCTTGCCAGCCCAGCCCACCCTGTTTGTTTTCCAAGCTTTTCTGGAATCCCTGACACACTTTCTCCTGGCAGCTCGGACGTACCCACTTCTGGGGTTTCAGGGGTACCTAGTGGCATGTCAGACACTCTCTCCCCAGGAATCCAGCCAGATGCCACTTCAGACGGCTCTGCTGCCTTTCCACCGAGCATTGTCTCCTTGGGAGTGCCGCTCGTTTCCTGTGCAGCCACGTTGCTCCAATCCACGCCAGACATTATGCTCTCAAGAAATCTTGTGTGCAGGCCCTTGGTCGGACCTGCACTCTTCCCTCCTGCAGACAGGCCCTCAGTTGCGCCTTCACCCTTCCCAGCAGGCATCTCTTCAACTCCCTGCTTCCCTTCTTCTCCATGACTTGGAAAACTTTGTGCCGTTTGAACTTCAGGAGGCTGCGTGTCCTCCTCTTGGGTCTCCTGCATCTTCAGCAGCTGCTGCGGCTGCATCTTCTGATGCTGCTGCTGCTGCTGCACCTCGCTTGCCTCCTCCTCGGTCACTACTCCCGCTCCTCTCTCTGTGCCCTTCGCAGGGGAGAGCCAGGAAGGGAGCGCAGCTGCTGCAAGAACAGCCGTGCTCCAAGGCTGCTTCCCCCGCTCTCCTCCCTCCACTCCCTCTTCAGCATTGTCACTTCGTCCAATCTGCTGCTCGACCTGTTCCTGTTCCTCCTCCTCCTGCCAACCCTGCTGGTGCTTCTTCTGCTGCTGCTGCTCCCGCTGCTGCTCCTCCTCCTGTTTCCCCTCCCGCCCGGTGAACCCAGCCTGCTCCTCCCGCTGCTCCTCCTCTGCCTCTGCCAGCATCTCCGCCTCCCCCTCTCGTCTCGTGCTTGCCTCGCCCTCACCTTCTAACCCCAGCATACGCACCACCGTCGAGGGTAGCATAGCTGCAACCACGGTGCCAAGTGTTGGCGCCTCCTCATCTGCTGGCGCCTCTTTTGCTACCTCTGCAACATCAGTCGTCCCTGCCTCTTCTGCAGCAAAAGCAGCAGGCGTTTTATCCCCCTCCTCCGCAGCAGTAACAACTGCAGGCACCTCCCCCTCCTCTGCAGCAGCAGTAGCAGCAGTAGCAGCAATATCAGCAGCAGCAGGCACTTTGGTCTCCTCCTCAGCAGTGTCACTTGGGCCAAATTGTTGCTCCACCTGTTCCTGCTCCTCTTCCTGCTGCCAAGCCTGCTGCTGCTGCTTCTTCTCCTCCCGCCCCTTCCACCCTGCCTGCTCCTCCCGCTGCTCCTCCTCTGCCCGCATCTCCTCCCCCTCTCGCCCCTTGCTTGCCTCGCCCTCACCTTCCAACCCCAACATACGCACCACTGTCGTCGGTAGCATAGCTGCAACCATGGTACCAAGTGTTGGCGCCTCATCTGCCGGTACGTCTCTCGCTGCCTCTGCAACAACAGCCACCTCTCCCTCTTCTGCAGTAGAAGCAGCAGGCACCTTTCCCTCCTCAGCAGTGGCAATATAGGAAGCACCAACACCACTGGCCGCCGGTCCCTCTTCTGCAGCAAAAGCAGTAGGCACAACTTCCTCCTCTGCAGCAAAAGCAGCAGGCACAACTTCCTCCTCTGCAGCAACAGCAGTAGCAGGCACCTCTCCCTCCTCAGCAGCAGCAGCACCACCGCCACGATCACCCAGCACCTCTCCCTCCGCAATAGCAGCACCAATACCAGCAAGCACCTCTCGCTCCTCCCCAATAGCAGCACCAATACCAGCAAGCACCTCTCCCTCCTCCGCAATAGCAGCAGCAATACCAGCAAGCACCTCTCCCTCCTCCGCAACAGCACCTGCTGCAGGTACATCTCCCTCCAAGACACCCGCTTCCTGTGCTGTCCCAGCCCCATCCTGATCTCCATCCTCGTCTCCCTCCATATCCCCTTCCACAATCGCTCCAAGAACTGCCCTCCTCCCCTCCCCGCCCACCTGATTGCCAGAGAACCCACCTTCAGCGCCTGGACCCAGCTTCTCAGCTTCCTTTTCCGCTTCACTTTCCACTTCCCTTTCCGCTACCACTTCCACTTCCCTTTCTGCTCCCTGTTCTGCTTCCGCTTGCAGTTCCCTTTCGAAGGGGTCCCTCTCCACCTCTTCCTCAATCACCCCTTCCCGTTCAGAGCCTCCCCCTTCCTCTCCTTCCCCCATAGTCCGTGCTCCCAGCCTTCCTCCTTTTGTCCCCACCGATCCGCCCTGCTTTCCCCATCCCGCGCTCTCCGCTTTCTTCTCCGCTTTAGGCACCTCAGACATAGACCCCCCTCCCTCCTCCCCTGCTATCCCCTTATCCCCAACGCCTATCATCTCCTCCACCTCGCTCAGCTGCTTTCTCCTTGCACCAGCCGGTGAACCCTCCTGTGACTGGCTGCTCCATTCACTTGCTGCGTTCTCCACCCCCCTCACGCCACCTGTACCACCCATAGCACCCATGCCACCCATGCCACCTAGATCATCCATGCCACCCATGCCACCCATGCCACCCATGCCACCCATGCCACCCATGCCACCCATGCCACCCGTGCCACCTGGAGTCCTTATGCCAGGGCTGCTGGTTCCTTCGGCACCCTTGCCTCCTCCTGCCATGCTTGCAGCAGCACGTGCGCCTGCTGCCGCCATCACAGCATGAACCATGGAAACACGCTCCTCTGCACCACCAGTACCACCACCACCGTCATCAGTAACAGTACCAGCAGCAGCAGCAACACCAGTAGCATGAGCATCATCAGCAGCACCTTCGGCACCAATAGCAGCACCAGTTGGTAAAGGTGGCAATTCAGCAGCAGGTAATTTTGCCGCCCCTCCTTCCATTCCTTTCCCAACACCCTTGGCTCCACCTTCTCCTGCTTGTGCTCCTGCTATAGCCTGTGCTCCTGCTATAGCCTGTGCTCCTGCTACAGCCTGTGCTCCTGCTATAGCCTGTGCTCCTGCTATAGCCTGTGCTCCTGCTACAGCCACCACTGCTAGAGCCACTGCAAGCCTCTGCCTCTCTGTTTCCCGTTCACTGTCAATGATAGTGGCCCCTGCTGACTCAGCAGTAGCAGCACCAGGGCCTGCTGACTCAGCAGCAACAACATCCGGACCTGATGACTGAGCAGTTGCAACAGCAATTGACGGCTTTGCTGACTCAGCAGCAGCAGGGGAGAGCACATCAGTTGCAAGTTTCCCTGTTGCACCTGCTGCAGCTGGGAGAACACCAGCGGCAGCAGGAGCAGCAGCAGAAGTAGCTGCCGCTGGTACAGTTGCAGCAAGCAGCTCAGTTGAACTGAGTTGGAGGGAAGCAGAGGGTGCAACCTCCTCTGCTTTCTCTGTTGACTGTAGGGGGGGTGCTGCTGAGGCCACACCCGGAGCAGCAGTTGCAGCAGGAACAGCAGGAGCAGCAGCAGCAGGCAGCTCAGTTGAAGTGGATGGAAGGGGAAGGGGTGCAGCAGCTGCTGTTTCTGGTGATTGTGGAGGGCGTGATTCAACAGGGGGGGCCACAATGGGAAAGAGTGGGAGCGCAGCAGCGATGGGAGGCTGGGATGATGGAAGTGACTCTAATGAAGGTTCTGATTCTGAAGTCTCCTCGTGTGGCAGCTGCCACAGACCAGGTGGCGTTCCAGCCTCAGGTAACGCTTCAGGTGATTCTTCAGGTGCCGCCTCAGGCTCGTCTCTGGTTACCACAGGCCCCTCTATGGTTACCACAGGCTCCTCTCTGGTTACTGCAGGCTCTTCCCCAGATACTGCAGGCCCCTCCCCGCCTAAAACAGGCCCCTCCCTGATTTCTACATGCCCTTTCCCCTTCATCCCCTCCGTTATAGCCCCTGTGATAGCTTCGTGCACGGCCACCCTCAGATTCTCCTGCTCTGCAGCATCCATTGGCCCATAGAACGACACTTCGGCATCATAGAACACTTCGTCCGACCCCTCACTCCCACTCCCCTCCCTCGCCCTCCCACCTCCCACACCCTCCATCCTGTCTCCTGACTCTGCAGCCCCCACACCACCCCCACCTTTGATTGCCTCTCCTGTCTCTCGACCCTCCACACCTGCTCCTTCCAGAGCCTTGTTCCTCGTCATTGCCCTCGTTCCTGCCTCTCCCGTTTCTGTTATTTCTCCCTCCCTGTTTTCCACCTCCACTAATGCCTCCGCAGCCTCTTCCGCCTCTGACTCACTCACCCCCTTCAGTATAAGCTCTTCTGCTACTGCCCTCAGCCGTGCCACGTCACCCCCTTCCCCTCCTGCCACGTCACCAGTTGTTCCCGCTTGCATTGCTCCCGCACTCGACGGTGCGGATGCATCCAAGCTCTCCACGTCAGCAGGAGACGGAGGGGGCGTGGCAGGAAGCGGAGGGGTAGGCGGGACGCGCTTTTCCAGGGCTTCAGGAGCGTTTCTCGCTGCTCTTTTGTGTGCGGTGGGGATGTTGGGCGCACTGCGCGCTCTGGTGAGCCATGAAGGTGGTGTTACCGCTGCTGCTGTTGCTGCTGCTCCTCTAAAACCTTCACCAAAGCTCATTCGTGTTCCTGATGCTGGTTCGTCCACTCCTTCATGCCTTTTGCTTGTTCCCTCTCCTCCTCCTTTTGCCCTTCCCACCGCCCCCAAGCTTTTCATTTTGGGAAAAGGTGGCTTGGCCGCGGCTCCTGACACGGCAGCGGCTGCTGCCTCGGTCGCTGCTTCTCTCTCCTCCTCCGCAGCTGTTCTCGCTGCATCAGCAGCTGCTGCTTCGGTCGCTGCTTCTCTCTCCTCCTCCGCAGCTGTTCTCGCTGCATCAGCAGCTGCTGCCTCGGTCGCTGCTTCTCTCTCCTCCTCCGCAGCTGTTCTCGCTGCATCAGCAGCTGCTGCTTCCATCGCTGCTGCCTCGCCAGGAGTGAGTGGGCGAAAGGAGGGGGGGGATGGGGATGGGCTGGCTCGTGCCACATGGACGACCTGTGCTGCTGGCGAGGGCTCTCTCACCCCTAGTGCCCTGTTCTTGTCTTCTCCCTCCCTCACACCCATAAACCCCCTCTCGCTGCCTCCCGCGCTCTCACCCTCTCCCCCTTTCGCACCCACAGCCCCCCACTCTCCCTCTCCCCCCACTCCTCCTGCCACCCTCCTCTCTCCCGCTCCCCCCACTCCTCCTGCCACCAATCTTTCTCCCTCTCCCCCCATTCCTCCTGCCACCCCCCTCTGTTCCCCAACCTCCCTTTCGAAACGGCTTGCTGCAGCGGGAGAGCGAGGGGTGAGCATGGGACTACCACCGCTGCTGGAGGGTGTGTGCATGCCACTGAGGTCCAGCTGAAAGAGAGAAGGGGAGAAGCGAGAAGAGATAAGAGAAAGGAGAGGAGATAGTCGGCACAATGATACAGGAAGGTGAGATCACAGGGGCGACGGGTGTAGCATGGGAATGCGGCCGCTGCTAGATGGTGTGTTCAAACCGCTGAGGTCCAGCTGAAAGAGAAGAGAAAAAGGGAGGCGAGAGAGGGCACAAAGACACAGGAAGGTGAGGTTGAAGTGTGGGGAAGGGATGAGCATGGGGCTGTCAATGCTGCTGAATCATGTGTTGTGTGCATGCTACAGAAATCCCGCTGAGACGAGCGAAGAGGGAAGAGGGGGAGCACAGAGAGGAGGAGCACAGATGAGAGGGAAAGGACAGGGGAAGAAGGGGGAGTATACAGAAGTGGGGTTGAGATCGAAAGGGAGAGCATGGAGAGGATACAGGGGAATTCTAGTCTGAATTTTAGCTGTTGCAGGCATAAACAAACCACCAATGCCTTGTTCTTAACATATGTGATCCCCTCCATATACCTTGCGACTCCTGCCAGGCCGGCGGTGCGGGTGCAGCGCCCCTTTCACCCTCTCCCTCATCCTCCTCACGAATCCACCTCTCGGGCTTCTTGTCCCCTGTGCCATACCCTCCTCCTCCCTCCTACCCATACCTTGCAGGCCCCTACTGCCTCCCGAGTCCACCAATCTGCCCTCCTCTTCGCCCTCCTCCCCCCTCTCCTCCACTTCCCCCATTCCAACAGTCACGCTACGGTCTCCTGAGTGTTCTTCCTGCCTGCCACCCCTGTTCTCCCTCCCTCCCACGCCCACCCTGCCCACACCCAACGCTTCAGCAGGCCTTGCTGCTTCTGGCGCAGTTGCTTTCCCCTTCTGCTGCTGCTGCTGCTGCTGCTGCTGCTGCTCTTGCAGTTGCGGTTCCGTCTGTGCCTGCTGCGGCCTCTCCCCTTCTGCTGCCTCCACGTGGACCTGCCTGATTGGCTCCTGCCGCTGCTGCCGGGGGCTGCGATGCATCCTCTCCTCCACCTTTTCCAGGAAGCTTTTCACATGCCCAAGCGGCCCTCGCCTCGCCTTCCTCCCACCCTTAAAGCTCGCGTCTCATATTTCTGCCATCCAACCAAGTGTTAAACGGTTGGAATCCGGTAACAGCAGAGTTTGTCGCGAAGCACACCAAAGCAAGGGGTGGTTGGGAAAGTTGGCTGTCGCACACTTCCCCGTGCACACCAAGTGTTTACAACTGCCGAAAATGAGACTCTGAACTGAACGTTGACAGAACCCAGGACCAAACCTGTCACCCTTGCCTCGGTTTCCCCCCAAACCAACCCACCCTGGTTTGTTTTGGCCTCGATCTTTTGGAGTTCGCTGTGTTTTTTTCGCCCACTCGTCAAATATTTCGACTTTCGTTACCCAATCAAACCCTTGCAAACCCAACCAAGTGTTAAACGGTTGGAAATTAGAGACGCGAGCTTTAACACCGCCCGCCACACCCTCTCCTCCTCCTCCCTCTGCAATCCCTTCACCAACACCACTCCTCCCTCCTCCTTCTTCGGCCCTTCTGCCCGAGAAACCACCACCTTGCGTTAATTGTTGTTTTGGTAGGTTTGCTGCAACAGACCCTTGATCTGGTCGCTGAGCTGTCTGGGCAGCGGCAATACCAGATGCAAGAGGGCCTGAAAGATCCTGTTCGGTGGTGAAGACTGTGTGTCCGCCAGTGGGCTTGGAAGGCATTCCCAGATGTAAGCGCTCTGCAGCGGCTGTATCACCATGGTGTTTCACATCTTGAGATGCTCATAGGGGATCCGTGGATGGAAGCTCCTCCTCCTGCTTTGCCACTTCCATTATGCTTTCATCTGCACAAAGAGCGGAGGATGAGAAGAATTTCAAGGAAATATATTTCGCCCTAGCAGGGGCTTTACATGGCAATTGTTGAGGAGATTTGATTCCTAATCGAATTACTTATTTTCTTCCCATTTTGCTCACCATGTATTGCAGGCGGAGGGCGCATGAGCTTCCTGTTCCGGTCATCCACGGACGGATCCATCCAATCAGGACACGTGGACATTGTGCCGGGCAGCAGGTAAGGAAGGAAGTGCTAAGACCAGGACTAGTACGGTGATATGGACAGAAGCGGCGTCAGCAGGTAAGTCTGTCAGTCGCCTAGTTAAGTCCGGTTGCTGGTAGAGCTACGTGCGCAAGATCTGCTGGTAGTGGTGCGACGATATTTAACGCCAATGCTGCTGGTCTCGTGCGAGTCGAAGGAGGAGGGAGGGAGGAGTAGGGGAGGGGCGTGCGGTGCAAAGAAAGGCAGACTGGCATGGGCGCCGTTTTGGGGAAAAAACAGACGAACTGGGGTGGGAGTGAAAGGGAGGTGGCAAAGAAGGGGCAAAATTGAGAGGGCGGAATTTGGCTGGATGAGTGAAGTTATCGCGTCGCACATTTGGGAGCGATTCGCATGTGCATGGTTTGTTTGCGCGTGAGCGCAAACCTCGGAAGGTGACGCGTGGCGGGCTGTCACTGGCAGCATGTTTCGACATTCGAGAAATAGCCAGGCATTTCCATTTCATTTATAGCAACTAGAAATGGGCAGTTGCAGTGAGGACAGTATCTAAATCGAGTTAGTCTATGAGCGTACGAAATGGAAGTGCTATTTCTTGAAATTACTTCCACCAGCCAGCCTGTCGCCAGCTTTTCTTCACGTCCGTACTAGTCGACGCCAGATCAGCGCGTGCTCACAAGAGCAAGCACTACGTGGCAGCTCGTCCCTCCGGCGGCCCGCTTTTGCAGCTGAGTCAGTTTTGCGTCGCTCCGCGCGTCGATATATCTCGCGCAGCATTGAGGTGCCTCGTCTGCGCAATCGCCCCCGCGAATCTTTCCCCGTTTTCCCCGCGTGGCGCCGTTAGCCTGCGCGCACAGTACTCCGCGAATTTCCCTTCACGTTCCGCCACTGTAGCTTCGTTTCGCTAGTAACGCCCCCTTGCTCCGCTCGCTGCTGGCGAATGTCACAGGGTTACCGCTGTCATTAGGCGGACGCGTGGCGGTTTATTCGTCGAGTTACAAACGTTACCAGGTCTAATAGCGGTTGCGCATTTCGTGCTCACACGTTGTTCTCTCACAACGCCTTGAATATCAGGCTCTAAATCCTCCGTTTATGACAACTATTTTCGTTTTAACCAGTTTCGTTACTGGTTTGCGTCATGTCGTGGAGCATCATTAGAGACTTGCCGTTTAGCCTCCTGTCCATCGGCAAAGGGAGCGGAGATGCTAATAAAGAGACTGGGGAAGCTCCTGTAGCGAGTGATTCAAGCGCTGTGACTGTAGCGAATGAAGTTGTTGCAAAAGTTACTGTTGAGGAAGTTTCGCGAGCAGGTTCTGCTGACGTAACGGCAGCAGCAGAGTCGAGTTGTTGTCCGGCACCAGGGATTGACTTGACGGATGGTCGTGATAAGTTGACTGACGGTGGTGAAAACCCGACGGATGTGACAGCCAATGGCAGCAGGACACGTGGAAAGAAGGAGGGGGGAAGGAGGGCAGGGGGGTGGGAGAGGCTTGATGAGATCGAGGGTGGTGCAGAGGGGAGCGGAGAGGGGGAGGGCGGAAGGGGAGGAGTGGAGGCGGGCAGGGGGGGGGAAGGATTGGGGGAGAGCGGGAAGGTGGGAGAAGGGGGAGATTCACCTATGATTACGTCAATCAAAGCCGGGTCTGGGGAGGAAGAGTCAGAAGTGCGGGCAGGTGAAAGGGCAGCAGGAACCGCAGAGGTGTTGGAAGCAAGTATTGACGACGAAATGAGTGCAGCAGCAGCAGCAGCTGCAGCAACGTTGGGAAGCCCTGGTTGCACGAGCAGTGTTGCAGACAAGCAGACAAGCGTTGGGAACGGGGAGAATGGGGCAGCACCGTTGGGCAGCGCTGGTTGCTTGATCAGTGCTGCTGTTAAGGAGAAGGAGACAAGTGCTGCAGAGGAGACGAGTGCAGCAGCAGCAGCACTGCCAGAAGTAGCAGCAGCAGCAGCAGCAGCAGCAGCAGCAGCAGCATTGGGAGGCGCTGGTTGCACGAGCAGTGTTGCAGACAAGCAGCCGACAAGTGCTGTGATGGGGGCGAGCCTGTCAGGCCGGCAAGTACCTGATATGGTATGCTAGTCTTTTATTCAACTGCTGATGTGGGCCTCTTCTTGTGTATGTTGGTTTTTGCTTCAGTGTGGTGTTCCTGTGTCTGCTTTCTAGCCTTTTCCAGGCGACTTTCCGCCCTCCCACACCAGCAACCCCATTCCGTTACCCTTTTTCGTTCTCGGTTTCTTCCCCCTCTCGATCTCTCCGATCCCCTATCCACACCCCTCCTCCCTCTGACCAATCAGAAGCTTTCCCACAGCCTCAGCTCTCCCAGTTTTGGCAGAACCGGTACAATCCATAATGCTGACGTCAGCAGCAGCTCAGAACACCCGCCACGTCATCAGCACACGTGTCCTGAGTCACACATCTATCGTAGTTCCTTCCAGTCCACGTCAGCAAGCAACCCATCCTCCCCCAGACCTGACGACCACGATCGGGAGAGAGGAGGAGGACCAGTTGCACCAGTGGAATTAGACTCCCATTCGACAGAATCGCATCTAGCAGAATCACACTCGATACAGTCACATTTTTACTCGGAAGCGGATTTGGTACAGATGGCGAAGGAAGGGTGGCTGCGACAAAAAGAGGAGAAGCAGAGGCAGCAGCAGCAACAGCAGCAGGCTGTGGGTGCGGTACCGCTCCTCTCAATGTCCTGGCAAAGGTACTGTTAGGTGCTGTCCGTTCCTGTGAGGTACTGTGAGGTACTGTGAGGTACTGCAAGGCAGTGTGAGATTCTTCAAGGTTCTGCCCTCCCTGCTTTGACTGATGCAGCATCCTCTTCCCTTTTTAACTCTCTCTTCTGTGCCGCCAGGCTTGTGGGAGGCGTGGAGGCGCTTTTGAAAGGCTCTTCTGACGACATTGGGTGGCTGAAAATGGACCCTGCGCTCCCTCCTGTGTCTGACGTGACCGACAACTACGAGGCGATTCTGGAGTGTGTCATGTGAGTGATGTTGTGAGTCATGCAAGCTATTTAATCGCATTGCAGCAACTGGAGTTTGATTGAGTGTAACCACTACTTTCATTGGGTGGCTGAGAAAGGACCCTGCGCTCCCTCCTGTGACTGACGTCACAGACAATTACGAGGCGATATTGGAGTGTATCATGTGAGTTGCACTGTAGCAAGTGAGAAATATTCAGATGCTTAGAAATAAATAAACCCTCACACACACACACACACCCGCACACACTCACACACACACACACACACACACACACACACACACACACACACACACACATACACACATTTTGCAGTGTCTTGGATGCGTGGCGTTGTAGTGATTGAGTTTCAAACAGCGACTCGGTAAGATATTGCGACCACTATATTTATCATACAAGAAATTGAAGTTTTTTTCTGATCATTTTTTCCTTGTTTTCCAGGAGTGGCGTCCACGCGCTGCCCGACAACCTGGTCTACCTTTTAATTCCAGGGTTATTCAGCAATCTTAGCCCGCTCTACCTGTTTGACACCAAAAAACATTTTTCCTCCATCGGCCTCGTCTGTCACATAGCCAAGATCCACAGCCAGGTGGGCGTCAGGTGGTTGTCAGGTGGGTGTCAGGTGGGTGTCAGGTGGGTGTCAGGTGGGTGTCAGGCGGGTGTCAGGTGGGTGGTGGGGTTGGAATGCTAATGCTCTATTTTGCACTGGGCTCTTCTCATTCCTTCAATCCACACCTCCCCATTCCTTCTCCTTCCCCCTCCTCTCCACCCTCCCTTCCTCCACACCCCCCCTCCCTCGGGTTACCCGCACCTACTCCCCTCCAGGACCCCACATAAGCCAATGCCTTAGTCATCCGTGACTATATCGAAGAGGCCTTTTGCACCACAAAATCTGATCCCCCTTTCTTCACTCTCCTCCCCCCTCCCTTCAACTCCCTCCCCATTTTCCCTCCCTCCCACACTCCCCCATTTTCATCTCTCTTCGGGGCCACAAATCTGATCCTCTTTTCTCCACTCCTCCTTCCCTCCTCCCCTCCCCTTCTCCCCTCGTGCCCCGCAGGCCCCCATAGAAGCCAACACCATAGCCATACGTGATTTTGAAGATATTTTCTGGGCCACAAAGGCTTATCCTTCTTTCTCCACTCCTCCTTCCATCCTCCCCTTCCCTCCCCTCCCTTTGTGCCCCACAGGCCCCCATAGAAGCCAACGCTATAGCCATCGGTGACTATATCGAGGAGCTATTTTGGGCCACAAAAAAGAAGGTTCTCATTCTGGGCCACAGCAAGGGCGCCATGGATGCAGCAGCAGCGCTCTCCCTCTACCAACCCCTCCTGCTCGACAAAGCCTCTATAGGGGGAAGAGCTTTTCTCGGACACAAATTCTGATCGTTCTCTCCCCATTTCCCCCCCCCCCCCCTTCCTCCTCCCTTGTGCCCTGCAGGCCCCCATAGAGGCCAACGCCATAGCCATCCGTGACTATATCGAGGAGCTCTTCTGGGCGACAAAAAAGAAGGTCCTAATCCTGGGGCACAGCAAGGGCGCCATGGATGCAGCAGCAGCGCTCTCCCTCTACCAACCCCTCCTGCTCGACAAAGTCGCCGGTCTCGTTTTCATCCAGAGCCCCTACGGGGGAAGCCCTGTGGCTTCTGATTTGCTACGGGAAGGCCAGTGGGGTGACGTGGCATCTCGCACGATCCTCGGGATTCTTATGGATAAGATCTTCGGGGGGGATATCGGGTGTTTGGACGATTTAACCCACGCGAAGAGACGGGCGTTTCTCGCGAAGCACCCGTTTCCTGTGGGGGAAATTCCGATACTGTCCTTCCATACGGAGGCGAGTAAGGCGGCAGCGGTGGTGGCGTCTCTGTCGACTGTGGCGCATACAGAAGTGCCGTGGCTGGCGCAGCAGAATGCAAAGCTGGCCGTTGGATTCCCACTGTCGGCCGGGCTCGCGATCATGGCCGTCCATCTGGAATACAGGTATGAGATTGGATGCTGTGGGGCTCTTTGGGTTGTGCCTTGGCTCCCTCACCACACCACCCCGCTTCACCCCTCTCCACTCCTATCTATCTAGAGGTGGTGCAGAGCAGACAGGAACTTAGTGCTGCTTGTACCCCTTACCCCTTCCCACCCCTCTCCATCCCTATCTACCCCTCTTCACACCTCTCCACCCTGTTGAGGTACGGAGCTGCAAGCGATGGCCTGGTGACTCGTGCAGATGCAGAGGTGCCGGGGTCAGTGGTGGTGCGGAGCAGACGGAAATTGGATCATGCCTTTATGGTGTTCCCCCCCACCAGCGGAGTGGGGGGAGGGGGAGGGGGAGGGGGAGGGGGAGGAGGGAGCGGTGGAGGGGGGAGCGGTGGCAGGGGGAGCGGGGGAGGGGGGAGTGGGGGAGGGGGAAGTGGGGAGGGGGAAGTTGGGCCAGCATGTGTGCATGAGGCGAGTGCTGCCGGGATGTGTGAGGCCCTGGCGACCACACTGCTGGCAACACTGCAGATGCGGCCAAAAGAGGCCACCCCATGACGCAACACTGCAGATGCTGCCAAAGTGGGCCATCCATGACATGACGGCGGCAATGGGCCACACCATGACACAACGCTGCAGATGCTGCCGAAACAGGCCATTATATGAGGCCCTGCTGCATATACTGGGAAGAAGGCAAGGTTGCTCATGCGCTTGACAACAGGCCCAAAGAGCAGGAGGGATCTGCGTTACAATGGTGACTGTACAGGTTGTCACGTATAGGCCTGCAAGGAATAAAGTACTGTTAGGTACATTCATTCGTGGTTAAAGCAGTTGCCTTATGCTGTTATGATTTGCTTCCTTTTTAACTGGTACCGTATCATCTATCTGTTGCTGAAGCGATTCTGGCACACCTCTCCAGGTTTGAATAGACGCCAGAGAAAACAACAAAGTCTACCGTTTCACCTAAAAGGTCACTCTAGTCAAGAAAATCACTACAAGGCAAATATGCTCCTAGGCTATGTCGAATTGCTGGCATAGCCATAAACATATTGCCTCTAGGCGTGAATTGCGCCTCTTTGAATGCAGACAAGTCCAGGCGGAGCAAAGCTTCCTCTTCACCACCCTCCCTTCACCCAGAGAGGCGGAAATGAAAGCGAAAGCGACAGCGACAGCGAAGGTGGTATCCTGTCCTTTCGTCTGCCCCGACCCCCCCTCCTCCGCCTCCTCCTGCCGTTCCCTCTGCCCCCCGATCCTCCACCTCCTCCGCCTGAAGCATAGCGGGGAGCGTCGTAAGCAAACCTCGGAACCTCAGACGGGTGGTGAAATGGACGGTGGGGATACGAACCTTTGCCAGTCAAAGCGGCATCTGCGGCGGCCTTTGCGTCGGCCATTCCGGAAGCGTGTACGGCTGGGGGTGTGCCATCTGCCCTGCAATTGGCCGAGCCTACACCAGCAGGTTCGGGCCAAACCTTGGGGTTGTGATCCTCGGTATAAGGTTCCTCTTTAACAGTGTTCACAGCCCGTGCGTAGTGCGTGCGCTTCCCGTGGTGCGTGCGCTCCCCGTAATGCGTGCGCTCCCCGTAATGCGTGCGCTCCCCGTAATGCGTGCGCTCCCCGTAGCGCGTGCGCTCCCCGTAGCGCGTGCGCTCCCCGTGGTGCGTGCGCTCCCCGCCATGCGTGCGCTCCCCGTGTCGCGTGCACTCCCCGTGTCGCGCGCGCTCCTCGTGCCACGACATGCTATTGCTGCTGGGCGCCGTCTCCGCTGGAGAGACACGCCCTGAAACATGCGCCGGGCCAGGCGGCGGAAACTGCGGCGCCCTTTCCGCGACAGATTGATCAACCTCAACGACGATTTGCCTCTGAGATGAGATTCGAGCCCGACGCGCCGCTGCCTGCCGAGTCGCAGCCTCGGCACGACGGGCCTGACGGTTTTTCTGCGCCAAGATGCTTCGGAAGCGCTCGTCCATCGATTTCGGCTCAAGATATTCATCCAGACGCTCCATTGGAGGATGCGCCAAGAAGATGTTACGATACGAGATAGGGTTTCTTTTTTCCCAGATGGGAAACTGTATGTGTTTCTGACAAGTAGGGCGAATGTGAAATGGAAGGAATGGCGAGAACAACCAGTATGGAACAATGTCTCTCTGAATTCTGGGACTTCGAAGTCGCAAATGTAGCATTCTTGAGTTGGGTGAATGTGCAAATGTGCTCTGCACGTCGGAGGAATTTCAAATGCATCGCGAATCGCGAATACAGCGCTATTTCCTCTTGTTCAATTATGAAATCTCAACCGTCCACACTAAAGCACCTCCACACAGCGCCAGTTGCGCCCGAACCATTCAATTCGGAATTTCCGTTGGAGCCCGCGGAAATCGTTCGTTGGCGACGATCGCGAACAAAAAAAAAAAGTTTTCCCTCACAATTCGCCCGCATGCCCGTTACAGCTCGATAGGTTATAACGAATGTCAATCTAGCGCGGTTCTACATTACCAGTTGATTGCCACCATAGGACATATCCTACTCGAATGAATTGCTGGAAAAGTACATAGACTTGCAAAATATGGTACACATCAAGGCTAAATTCAATCAAGCTTACACAATAATACGTGGGCACCCTCTCACTTGCCCACCCTCCCTCCTAAACACCCTTCCACCTTCCTTTCCCCCAACCGTTGCAAAATTCAGAGCAACCATCCTTCCTCTTCCACCTCCAAACACCACATCATCATCTCCCTCCCTTTCCCTGATACTTCTCAGCCATATAAAGACTCTCTTAAAATAGGCTAGGAGACAAGTGTCGAGAGTGATGATTGAGTAAGGAGAGACAAGGAGATACAAATGTCGACCTAAAGTGTTGTACCCTTTAGAGGGCAACTCACTGTAGCCTATCTAACAACATATAGAATATATAAACATTTGACACACCCCCATAGGCTAAGTGAGGGGCATCAAAACAACCAACGGAAACAAAGGGTCACAAGACCAGTCAAGAACAAGCATAAAAAACAAAGCTCAGGGTGGCGCTCAGAGTCACCACACACTCCGAGCACAAGCAAGTGGCCACAAGGCCAGTTCAAGACTTTACTAGTATATATATAGAAGCACAACAAGTAGAGCAAACAGCAAGTCTACAGCAACCGAGGGCCTACCTCAACAAGCCCCAACTGCACACAGAACCTGTGGTGGTCACCAGGCGCCAAGGCCTTGGTGAAGACGTCGGCAGTGTTGGCCTGTGAGGCCACAAAGTCCAAGCGTGCCTGGCCGCGTCGCTGCAACTCTCGCAGGAGGAAGTACCTCACGTCAATATGCTTCACTCTGCTCTCCAGTCGAGGCTCTCGACACAGGAGGATCATGGCCTTGTTGTCAGCGTACAAGGTCGGTGCAGAGCGAGGCCGCTCACCAAGGTCGGCGAGCAAGAAGGTCAACCAGCGAAGCTCCTGTGCCGCCATGGCACCAGCGTAGAACTCTGCCTCTGCACTGGAAGTAGCCACAGACGACGACCGTGTAGACCTCCACGACACAGCACCAGCTCCCAGACTGAAGCAGTAACCCTGAGTCGAACGCTGAGTCTCCACGTCGTCAGCGTAGGAAGAGTCGCAGTGACCAGTCAACGCCACTGGCTGAGTCCCTCCAAGCACAAGCCCCATGCCTGATGTAGTCGCCAGGTACTTCGCCACCCTCACAGCAGCTGTCCAGTGGACAGGGCGGTGTCTCCCAGTCGCAACAAAGCGAGAAAGGATGCTGAGTGGAAAGGCGAGGTCCGGTCGAGTACAAGTCATCAGGTACATGAGGCAGCCCACCAGCTCTGCGTAGGGTCCACTGGACTCAAAAGGCTCGTCAGGAAAGGGGCCCGTGAGTCTGTGGTCAACAGCAAGAGGAGTGGGCTGTGTGGTGGAGAACTGGAAGTCGAACCGCCAAAGGACCTGCTGCACCATGTGTGACTGCGTCAGTGTGATGGTGCGAGCGGCTCTGTCCCGGGTGATCTGCAGGCCAAGGTAGCGCTGCAGCTCACCCAGGTCAGTGCACTTGTGTCTCTTCTGCAGTTCGGACTTCACCTGAGCCAAGGCTGCCCTGTCTGCTGTAGCAAACACCAAGTCGTCGACGTAGACAAGGATAAAGAAAGGAGTAGAACCCGCTCGAACAAACAGCGACGGGTCGGCGGAGGACGGGCTGAACCCAAGGTCACGAAGCGTGGAGCGAAGCGTGTCGTGCCACTCACGGGGCGACTGGCGGAGACCGTAGACTGGTCGCCTCAGGCTCCACTGGGTCCCAGGTGGGAAGGTGTCAGTGAAGCCAGGAGGACGGCGCAGCCAGATCTCCTCGTGCAGTCGGCCCTGGAGGAACGCAGTGGAGAAGTCGAGGGAGTGCAGCTCATAGTCTCGCTGCGCTGCTATGTGGAGCAACACCCGAAGAGTAGTCATCTTCGGGGTCGGGGCGAAGGTCTGGAAGAAGTCAACTCCCTCACGCTGACTGAAGTCCCTAGCCATGTAGCGCGCCTTGAACACCGGCGGTGCTCCAGGCGGCCGCTTCACCTTGAAGAGCCACATGCCATCGACTACGTTCGCCCTGGGAGGGGGAACTGCGTCGACGTAGGTGCCTGTGGATCTCCAAGACGCCAACTCTGAGTCCATAGCCGCTTTCCACTGAGAGGCCCACGCCCCTGACACTGCCTCGCGGTAAGTGCGAGGAGTCGGTATGTCAAGGGCGTCGGGGTCTCCCTCAGGGGAGAGCAGCATGGCACACACAGAGGGAGAAGCGGCTGCCCAGTACTCCAGCTCATACTCTCTGTCCTCTAGGACGTCACAGCCAAGGGCAAACCCACCCCCGACGGACAGAGGACGGTAGGGAGGAGCTGGCACCACACGGGTGGCGTAGTCAAGGCGGCTGGCGGCAGCAAACTCAGCGACAGCGGCAGTAAGAGCCGAGGCAGACGACGGAGGGAAACGAGAGTCGGTGACAAGAGTGGCGAGGACACGTGCGGCAACAGGACGAACAACGCAGTAGTAGTCAGAGATAGGAGTGGGGAGGGCTGGTAGGGAGGACGGAGGAGGAGACGGGAGAACGGACACAGTAGAAGGAGAACGACGACGAGACGAACAAAGGAGGGCAGTGTGGAGGTCAGTAACAGGGGACGAGTGACGAGCACGCGGAGGACAACGAGTGATCAGGTCGCGACGGACAGAGGGAGGAGGAGAAGACCAGACCGCCGGACGGTCGTCAGGAGGAGGCAACGGAGGAACAAACACAGGAGGAGACTGGGAGCGGACAGGAGGAGAGGAGGAAAGGCCAAGGGCCCGCAGGCCACTCACAGGTGGGAACAACCGCCGCTCCAGGGGAAGCTGCGGTGGCGGCTGCGGCCGCTGCTGCTGCGGCTGCGGCTGCTGCTGCTGCGGCTGCGGCGGCGGCTGCGGCTGCTGCTGCTGCTGCTGCTGCTGCTGCTGCTGCTGCCGCTGCTGCTCCAGAAGGTCCAGCACCCGCAGCTCCTGCCGCTCCCTCTCCAACCGCTCCTGCTCCTCACGCTCACGCCGACGGGCAGCCTGGAGACGCGTGTCGTGGCGGTGGGGAGGCGGAGTGGACTCCGCAGAACCAGGGTCTCCTGCGTCAGTCCCCTCAGACTCAGCACCCCCAGAACCAGCACCGCCAGTGCCAGGACCTCCAACTCCAGCACCCCCAGAACTAGCACCGCCAGTGCCAGCACCCCCAACTCCAGCACCCCCAGAATCAGCACCTCCAGTGCCGGCACCTCCTGCTCCAGCACCCCCAGAGCTAGCGCCACCTGCGCCAGCACCTCCAGCTCCAGCACCCCCAGAGCTAGCGTCACCTGCGCCAGCACCTCCAGCTCCAGTACCCCGCGACCGAGCACCCCCAGACCGAGCACCGCCAGCGGCTGCACCTCCAGCTCCAACACCAACCGAGTCCACAGTAACCTGTCGCGGAAGTGCCGAAGGCTGCTGAGGGGACTGTGAGGAGGACTGCGGGGAGGGAGACGCTACCTGACGCGCGACCGAGGGTAGAGGGGTAGCGTGGGACACACCAGACGGGGCAGGACCAGGGGGGGGCGGGGGTACCGGAGGAGCGGGAGCAGGAGGAGGAGAGGGTGCGAGGAAGAGAGGGGGAGGGGGTACCGGGAGACCTCGACAGGGGTACCGGGTGTAGTAGGACACGGACTCGTCAAACCGGACGTCATGGGAGTCTAGGAACTGGTGGAGGGGAGGGTGGTAAAAGGACCAGTCATCAGAGTCCACTGGGAAACCAAGGAAGACACAGGGGACGGCGCGTGCCGAGAGCTTGTCCGCGGAGGTGTCGCGAACAAGTGCAAGGCAGCCCCAGACTCGAAAGGCCGACCCAACACCAGGGGATCCAGTCCAAAGACTGGTCGGTGAAGCCTCGGGCCGCGAGACACGCGGCTGGAGGTTCAGCTGGTGTGCGGCGTAGCGAACCACGTGGGGCCACAGAAAATGGGGCGCACGGGCATGAATCATGGACGTGCGGGCGATGTCCATGACCAAGCCTATGCGGCGCTCAGCAACCCCATTCTGCTGTGGGGACTCTGGCAGCGTCCAGGACTGGGTGATGCCCTGTTCGCCGCAGAATCCGCCGAGAATGCCGGAGCGAAACTCGCCCCCACGGTCGGAGTGAAGACAACTGACTCGACGACCACGAGTGCCCTCAGTGGCTAGAAGCCACCTGATCAGCGTAGTAGTCACCTCAGACTTCTTCGCAAGAGGGAACACTGTGGTGTACCTGGAGAAGTCGTCGACGACCACCAGAAAGTAACGCTCCCTCCCAGACCCCTGCGTCGGGGCAGGGCCCCAGACGTCCAAGTGGAGAGTCTCGAAGGGAGCGGTGGCCGGACGAAGGGAGGAGGAGTGGGGAGTGGCGCGTAAGCGACCGGCGACGCACGGAGAGCAAGGAGGGGCAAGCGAGAGAGGGAGCGACGGGAAGGTGCGTGGGAGACCTGTGACTAGTCCCTGACTGAGCATGCCACGAAGGCGAGGGATCGACGGGTGGCCAAGACGGTGGTGCCACAGGACGGTGCGGTGGGCGAGAGAGCGACAGGAGCAAGACGCAGCGACTGGACTGGACACAGCGACCGGACTGGACACGACTACCTGGCTAGACACAGCAACTGGACTGGGGACCTGGGTCGGAGGGGACGCAACAACCTGAGGGGAGGACGCGACCGGGGAGCGCTCGGTGTGGAGAACGTAGAGACCGGAGCGGGGCTCCCTGGTGAACGTGGCCAGAACAGCACCTGTGGTAGCGTCAGTATAGACTGCAGTCCGACCCCCCCCCACAAAGGTAACGGTGATCCCCCTGTCCTGGAGGTATCCAACACCCACCAAGTTCCGAGTGAACGAGGGGATATGGAGGCCGCGCAAGACACCAGAGGGGACCACAGGGCACGGGAGGGTGGTGGAGCTGCGCGCAACGGCTGGTCCTGAAGAAGGATCAGCCAAAGCTACCGGAACCGGAGCAAGAAGTGGTGTGAGGGTCGTGTGGTCGCGGAAGAAACACTGCGACGCGCCAGAGTCCAGCGTGAACGACAGAGACGCCTCAGCCGGAGGCGTGTCAGGTCCGGAGGCTACACAAGCACCTAGAGCAGAAACACAAGCACCTAGACTAGAGAGGCACAGGTCTACACTAACAGGATGCAAGCATCCTAGACTACGAACACGCGAGCACACAAATCCATCAGCACTATAGTCAACATCAGCATACAAAGCATACTGACGAGCATCGTCCATAGACAGTTCAAATACAGGAATCTTACGGGCTAGCAGACGAGCCCAGCGCGGGGTGGTCGCCTCAGGACCCCAGCGTGCACGGTAGAGGTCGTCGAGGCGGCGGAAGCACCGCGCTGCAGAGTGGTCGTCGCGGCCGCAGACACAGGGACTGCCAGGTCCGGTGACGCACCAGTGGTCGCAGGGGCCGGTGTCGCGCCGCGGGGGGCGAGGGGCCCAGCTGGTAGTGCTGCTGCTGCGGCCAGTGCTCCCGGGTCCTCCAGGTCCCCACTGTGGCGGAGGGCCCCCAGTGCTGCTGCGGACCCCACTGCAGTGGGGGTCCCCACGTCTGAAACTGCTGTGGTGCCTGCCACTGCTGCTGTCCCTGGTGCAGCTGCTGTCTCTGCTGTGGCTGCTGCTGCTGTGGCTGCTGCTGCTGGGGCCCCGCACCACCGCTGGTCGAACCTCCTCCAGCAGGTGGGTCAGCACCTCCTCCAGAGCTCCCTCCGCCTGGGGCACCACCGCCACCACTGCCGCCCCCAGGGCCGCCTCCACCACCGCCACCTCCTCCACCGCCGCCACCCCCCTTCCCCCCTTTCTTGCCCCCCTTGCCCCGTTTCTGCCTGTCAGCGGCAGAAACAGCTGCAGTGTCCTCAGAAACCGACACAGCAGCAGAGGCACGTGTAGCAGTGAAGGTAGGAAGCTGGGGGACAGCACACCCCTCAAACAAACGAGGGGCAACTGCGTCAGTGGCTGAGGCAACAGAGAGGAGGTTACTCTCGATCTTCCCGAGAGTGGTCTCGAGAAGATCAATCGTAAGCTCACTGAGGTGATGCTGGAGAAGTGCGTCACGGGCAGTGGAGAGGCGGTCAGGGAGACGAGTGACTACCCAGTGGACTGTGAGCCAAATAGGAGGAGGAGCAACAAGAAGCTGAGCCTCAGTGCAAGCTGCTCGGTAGCTAGCGACAAGGGAGCGCAAGTGTGTGGCTAGGTCAGAGACAGTCGCAAAAGAGCCGAGGTCGGGAAACACGAACGGCATGAGGATGCGGCTGAGGGAGGCAGAGGAAGGGGTGGAATAGCGTGCAGAAATAGCATCATACACCTCCTTCGCAGTCTCTACCAGGTCGAAGTGAGCGGCCTCAGTCGGTGGAAGGAGCTCGGTCAGCGCGAGTGCAGCCGCAGCGTCACGGGAGTCCCAAACGTCCCGCGCCAAGACGAGACGAGCGTAGTCCGCCTGTGCCTCCGGAGTCGGGGGGGGCACGGCAGGGAGGGGCTCGGGACGCGGTGGTGCCTGGAGGGCGCCGGACGCGTGGGCGTACAGGGTGGCGCCGTCCTGGCGCTGACTGGTGAGATAGCGCTGAGTCTGGCGGAGCCAGGTGCCGAACTCTATCGGGCGCCCCTCTGCATCGAAACGAAGGCGGCGGGAGGAGTCCATATTGGACGCTAGGCTAGGAACAGCTGGAGCACGGAGCAAACGGAGCTAGGAGCGAGGAGCGCCAGGTGGGACTAGGCGAGGTACTGCTGGAGCACGGAGGAAAACTGAGCTAGGAACGCCAGTCTAGTAACGAACGGAGCTGGGAGTTAGCTGAGCTAGGAGCACACGGCTGGAGGAGGCAGGGCTGACGAGCCGATCGAGGAGCCAGAGAGTCGTTCGAGGGGCTGGCGGAGCGAGGAGAGACCTAGCTAACAACGAACGTCAGGACTAGCCTAAACAGCTAAGCGGAACGGCCTCCAGCCGCGACGGTGCGAAACACTGTGAGTAAGAGTGACGCGAGTGTCGAACCAACGGAGGTCGGGTGGTCCTGGGTGGTGTGCGCGCGTGATAAGGGGATGTGAGCGGTTGGAAGGGGCTCTGAGCGGTTGGAAGGGGCTGTGAGCGGTTGGAAGGGGCTGTGAGCGGTTGGAACGGGCTGTGGGCGGGTGGGAGGGGCTAGCTGGCGCCAGCTGCTGGCGGCTAGGTTCCGGTGGCTAGCTGCTGCTGGCGGCTAGCTTCTGCCTAGCCGTGCTGCTGCTGCAGGAGCACGCGCTGCTGCCTAGCCGTGCTGCTGCTGCAATGCACGCGCTGCTGCCTAGCCGTGCTGCTGCAGCAATGCACGCGCTGCTGCTGCAATGCGCGTTCTGCAGTGGCGTGCGCGGCTGCCGCTGGCTAACGCGCGCGCTGCTGCGGGCTAAGAACGACTACGCGGGCCCGCGGGGGGGGGGGGGGGGGAGAGTCCCTTCTGGAGCGCGACGAAACGAGGGGCCAGCGGGGCCCTTTAAACGCGACGAAAAACGAGGCCCGCGGGGGCCCTTAAACGCGACGAAAACGAGGCCCGCGGGGGCCCTTAAACGCGACAAAAACGAGGCCCGCGGGGGCCGTCCTACCCGCGACGAAACGGGGCCTAAGGGACGGGCGCCTCGGGACCGGCTAAGGGAGGGAGCGGAAGCGTGGGAGGGAGTAAAAACCTACTCTAATACCATCTTAAAATAGGCTAGGAGACAAGTGTCGAGAGTGATGATTGAGTAAGGAGAGACAAGGAGATACAAATGTCGACCTAAAGTGTTGTACCCTTTAGAGGGCAACTCACTGTAGCCTATCTAACAATATATAGAATATATAAACATTTGACAGACTCAAGCTCATCATCTAATGCTGATTTCGATGCCACACTCACATTCCCTCTCTCGCTCCCTTTTCCCTGACCCGAGCCATGTCCCCTCCCTTCTCTCCCCCTCCCCCCTCCCTCCCTCCCTGCCCCTCTACCCCGACCCTTCCTGCACCGAACCTATACCTAGGGTCTGGAGACACCAAACCTCCAACCAGACCTCCAAAAGAAACAGGTACGGTCCGAAAGAGCACAGGATTGGGAAGGAGAGGCGCGGTGGGAGCAGCAACAAAGGGGGTGGTAAGGGAAGGATGGAAGGCCGTCATTACTCCACCCAGGTTGGAACCAGGCACAAAAGGGGTTGCATGCGGAAGAGACAAGATACCAGCAGAGGGAACCAAGCGAAGTGGCGCCTCTGCTGCTTCTCCTCCCGTTGCTGCTACTGCTGCTCCTGCTGCTGCCGCTGGGGAAGGGTTGGAATCCGAGCCTTGAAACGACAGTCTCATGTGTACAGGAACACGAAGCCGCGATTTCACCGGTACTCTCTTAGCGGGGACGCTCTTATCGAGTACAGCGCCAGGCGCAGCCTTCCCTGACCCTGGCCTCTCGATCCGACCAGCAAGAGAAGCAGCGGCGTTGGGGGAACGACGAGAACGGTCAGCGGAACGAGAATGAGGAGGACGAGGAGGAGGAGGAGAAGACTGAGTGGACTTGTGGCGGCCAGAATCCCTTCCCCGATCAGTAATGCGATCAGAACGGTGGGAACGATCAGCAACCGTTTGTGAATTCTTATTAATGCGACTACCAGCCAAAGCAGCAGCAGCGGCGGCTTTTGCGGCGGATGCTGATGGGGTTTTGGCTGAGGGGCCGCTGTGATTGGCTGAGCGTCTGCCAGTGGGATCGGAGGTGTGACGTGTCAGGTTGCCAAAACCGCCAGGTGCCAGCGTGGCGTGTTTGCCTTTAATCACACCCCTAGGGTCACTATTTCTGTAGTCATCTACAGTCACATCTTCCATCTCCTCCTCGTCCTCCATAATCTCACTGACTCGTCCTCGGTAACCTACAAACGAGTCGTCCAATAACGGATCTGCTGGCTGATCAAACGCAGCACCACCCGCCTCATACGGTCTCCCAGCCGCGATTCCCGCCACCGGAACATGCGCCGTGAAACGCGGCGCCATGTTCGCCACGGCGTGAACGTCTTCTACCGTAATTTGACGCTGAGACGCGATCCGAGCCTGACGCGCCGCTGTCTGCCGAGCCGCCGCCTCCGTAGCCCGAACCTCGCGGTTCCTCTTCGCCAAGATGCTTTGAAAACGCTCGTCCATAGATTTCGGCACAAAATCCGCATCGGACGGTCCTGCGGGCTCCATCGACGGAGCTGTCACGCTGACGTGGCGAGACGAATTTCCCGTCTGAAACCCGAAGGCCGAGGAGCTTACAACGGGAGGTGCTGCAACGTGAGGTTCCACAAACGGGGAATTCACGTACGAAACATCTGGAACGGTCGCCGGATCGCCCCATGTCGCCATGCCAGCAGTGGGATAAGCTGTCCTGGCAGAGGGAGGTTCCCACGTCGGCATGGCGGCAGTGGGGTGAGGAGCCCTGCCAGAGACATACATGATGAAGCAAGATGTCTCTACTTGAGTAGATTCAAGAGCTGAATGCAGGAACCTTGAGATAGGTTCGAGATACTTGCGGGAAAATGCAGGTTCTTTGACGATTAGGGTAAACCATAGGGAGCTTTCCTTGAGAAGCATTCTAAACTCATACGGTATAAGCATTCTCGGTTCCGTTCCTTCTCTCGAATTCCTAGATGAATCCTAGTACTCTCTATCCATCACAAAATTCTCAATCACGCTTTACTATTCAGGGCTGGTCGATAAGGCACATCACAAAACAAATTAATACTTTATTAGGCGTAGAATACCCAAAAAGGTTAGATAATGAGGATAAGCTGGAGGTCAAAAGAACCACAAATTCATTTTCCCCATGTCAAAATCAATGCCCCTAATGTGCCTCAAATTGCACGAGTACAGTGCAACCAGAGAAATGATGATTTCAGGAGGCCACTAAATCAGTGACTCATCCTGAAGCTTCACGAGCGTGGACTAGATGGTGAAGGAACGGTTCAGAGCACAGGACAACATACAGCAATTATGCTGCTTACACCCAATTCTCCTGGTGCTGATGCTGCTGCTGCCGCAGTCTCTGCAGCTGCTGCTGCTGCTGCGGCTGCCGCTGCTGCTGCTGCAGTCTCTGTTGCTGCGGCTGCCGCTGCTGCTGCTGCCCACACCAACGCTGAGACAATAGCTACATGGAACAGCTAGCACCCGCAGTGGTTCAGAATTGCTGATTAGGGAATCCTGGAAACCTGATTAGGAACATGATGTTGTCAAATTTGCTGCTGCAACAACGATATGTTTGTTGCCGTTTACGGATACAACAAATAATATTATTGCTGTCGCTCTGCTGCTGCTGCTGCTGCTGCAGCAGCAGCTGCTGCTGCTGCTCATGCTTTGACTCTTGATTTGTGGCATGATATGATATGCACGCCCTCTTCGCCAGGAGTGAACGTCACATTGCATGAATAAGTGTACTGCACAGTACAATATGGTAGAGTGTAGCACAACAGGAAAAGAGGTGGGATAATTTCGGGAAGAGGTTAGAAAGGTGATTGTCTTTCATGAAGAGGTCAACCCCTGAGACAAGAAAAAGGTTTGACAAGTGTAAGACTTACGCAACTAAACGCACAATGCAGTTCCACAGGGAGAGGGGTGGAATGCAGATAAGGAGGTATAGATTAAAAAGCAACTGAAGCAGGAAGGGGGATATGGAAAGAGGGGTGACAACTGTACAGTTTTTACCACAAAGAGAACTGAGGCTTACGTAGTATGAGGGGGTCGTGAAGCCATGATACATAACATGCCCTAATGATTTTACCACCATCTGTACCATATAAAAGCACGGCACAATGAACAAAAGTGGGGGCGGGAAGAGAGAGGGGGGAGGGAGGGGTGGAGTAAATAGGTTAGAAGGGGTTGTGAGGACAATAGGGAACGGCCAGAGAGGAAGCAGGATGCCACTCGCACCACAGTGATGGTAACCCTGTGTATGGCATATCAACACTGCCTTTTAAGCTTCATAGAGCATTTTGTGTAACCGTGCAGAATACCTTGAGCGGCAAACTCATTGGTTAAATCGGCCAGCCAGCCGACACGCTTACATTGCAAAACCTCGCAGAAATCAACTGCGCGTAACAAGTTACTTACACGTGTAACGTGTAACCCACCTTGAACGGCAGATTCTTGGTCTTGTCGGAGAGCCGCAGCAGGCTCTCCGTTGCTCCGATTGTGAACAGCTGGTAACCCGAAACCACGAAGTCGATGTTCTGCGTCATGTTGCCCCTCGGGGCGAGCGTGAATCCGGGCAGCTGTTAAGGTTTGCGTGGTAGGATAACAAAAAAAAGGGGACACGAGGTTAGGTTAGTGCAAGGAGCAAACGCGGCGCTGGGCCTGGAAGCACAAATTCAGTGCGCCTGATTCACGGGAAGGGAGAGCGTGTATTCCGGCAGCTGTTTTGGTTCGCGAAATTGTGGTACGTGCTATTTATTTGCGCTGGAGTTGCAGGGGGAAGGGGATGACGGACACTACGTTACCAAGTTACGATCTGACGTGGCTTGCCATGCGAACCGTACCGTGACATTCGTCATGGGATGATCCATGCCGTCGATCGCGACAAACAGCTGCTCCACCACCATCGTGTTTTCGTTCGGATTGAACACGTTCGCCGACACGTTCAGCCGCGCGCTCAGCAGCAGCATCTTCTCGCCCGAACCGGACAACGCGGGTTGTTGCGAAAAGGACATGTTGTGAAAGTCGAGGCTATCTACTCGAATTACCACGTCCTGTATTGAGGGAGGGGGACGATACGGAACGGGAAGGGAAGGGTAAGGAAAGGAGACGAGAAGTGATGAAACGCGCGCTCGAACGAGAAGTACGTGGGAGAGTGGGTTGGAAGGGAGAAGAGGTTCGATTCAACTTGAGAAAGCAAGTGCTGAGAAACAGAGAGCCTATGACCAGGTGAGCTAAGCCAGTTAAGAGATGTCTCAAGAAAGGCGCGCGTCACGCTGGAACGAAAGTGCACAGCAGTTGAGACACGCGAAAATAGACCAGGCCAGGCGCGTCGAGCAATAATGGACCAGACGAGACAGGCGAGTTGCGAGACCAGGGAAGGCAAGAGCGAGGCCATCAATTAGGCGTGTTGAAAGTGATAGGGGGGTTCTTTTGAGAAGGCGTACTTCACAGTGGAAGGAGAGCGCGAGGCCGAGGAGAACAGCGCCGAAGACGATGAGGAAGAGAACGACAGCCATGGCTCCCGCGAATAGAGCGCACTGCCACCACGGCATCCCGAACCACGTCCGCGCGGCTGTATGTCTCTTCTCGGGTTCTGGCTTGCCGTCGTCTTCCTCGAGTTTCCCGTCATCTTTTCCGTCAACCTTGACGACGAGTTTGCTGTCTGGCGGTAACGCATTGTCTTCTTCTTCCTGTAAAAATCAGAACACGATCGTACAGGAACGCAAAAGAATGCAGGAGAAAGTTCGACAACGGATGAAACGAGGCGGGACCGGTAGGAACGTCACGGCTGGCGAACGCAGCGACAGCGATGAGTTAGACTACGCGTTTCGGAAGTTACAAAGCGCAGTGACAGTACGGAACCGAACTAGCGAATAAGAGAAATGGTTTCCAAAGCGGATACAGTGTGGGGATGCGGTAAGACGGTTTCGCTTAAACTATTGGACCCAGTGTCGGAATATATAAATGTGGAGGGAAAGGTCGAACGGGGAAAGGTAGGGCTCGCAAGGGGGACGATGCAAATGTCGAACGGGGTTAAGGCGAGCCGTCGAGCCGTTAAAACCGGAGTCTCAAGTATCCCGAAGTTGCCTCATCCTTCCTACCTTTGGTTGGGTCACAAAGTCCAACCAAGCTTCCTACCTTTGGTTTTGTCACTAAGTCCAACCAACCTTCCTACCTTTGAAACCTGTGGACCCTGGGTTTTAAGGCGGAGTGTCACCAGCGGGAGGCTCAAGAACGACTCGCTGTTTACAGAAAGACCGTGCTGTGAAAGGAAAGGCCCGATATGGTCGCTCAGAGACGCTATAGGGACTTGGAAACTTTGATGAGTGAAGGTTGAATTAGTCGTCGTGGCATTGGGTTAGTACGCTCTGTCTAGGGTTTGAGAACATGGCGGCATGCTTGTCGGGACAGAAACTTGTGTCGCGGAATCATTGAAGCCGTTCAAACCGAGGAAGCCGTTTAAACCGGTGTCTCAGTTTGACTTCGAAAGCACAGCGAAGACTTTGTTCCGGACAGCAAAACGTGAAACTTTGTGTGAATGAGGCAGGCGATAAAAGTAACAAACAAAGCTTATTCCCGGCGCACGTACCGTGCTATCTTCGCTGCCTGTCGAGCAGAATGACGACGCTTTCTCCTCGTCGTTTATCCGCGAGTCGAGTGACATGGACGATTCGCTCTCGCGCACTCCCTTTTTACTCGCCACTAACGACGACACGTCCATTCTGACACGCGGTAATCCGCTCGTACCCGAAACTGCCGACTACAGCAGTGAAACGAAAGAGGGGCCTATACACTAGCCGCTTACGGATCGTTAGGACGGTAAGAAATGGCTGCTGGAACCCTACGTGTACGTTGATGGCGAAAAATGCGAAAGGCGGACAATAATATATCAGGAGTGCTCTCGGCCAAGGTCAAAAGGTTGAATAATGAAAGTCTTGCGGGTTACGTATGGCTGCTGCTATCTTGCTTCGAAGATGATGGAGCGAGAAAAAAGAAATCATTCGGTTTCCGCTCTCTTGTGGGATGGCTGGGTAGGCAGGGACGGTCTTCACAACTGTGCTGGGGCTGTCGGGTTGGAGTTGAGAAACGTGGCTTCTCCAGAGACTTGTGAGGTAAGATTGGGAAATGCGTGGCCTTCTGTATGGAAGGTGGTCGCCCCGTCAGGCTGGTCCCCGTGCAAGAGTTTTGCGAAAATTCAGCGCCCAGGGTGTGTGAGTCAGCAGAAGGAAGAGGCAACAGAGCAAAGCAGCAGGGCGTCGGTGGTTGGCTTGATTGGTTGGACCCAATCGGTACTTGAGAAGAAAAGAATCTCCAAACACGGGATGGACTGTACACCAGGAGACGACTGTGCATTGCATCAATGCCCATCGACTGTGTACGTATTGGCTGGATCTTCGATCCAGTCGCAGGCTTGCTTGTTACTTGGTTGTAAATGGGGGTTGGGTTGAACAAGGAGCAAATGCGAGCGACGAGGGAGGGTTTGTGGCTGTCGCGATTCGCGAAATGCTGGTTTGGGTTTGAGTGGATTTGGGGTGAAAGGTCAACCTTTGGGGCGGGGTTTGGGCTGCTTGGGTGGGTGGGTGCATTCACGACCCGGGAAGTTGTTGATAAGCGCCGGGCATCACCCTTCCGTTTACAGTACAGTAACGAAGCAAGCGTCGGTCAGACACAAGCAACCAGTGCAGTGAGGGATGTACAGTACTCAATGAAATCGCGCCGCGCTCAACTCGGGTCACAATAAAAGTTTCTGGAGCTCCAAAGTCCCAAGGTATGTAATCCCGAACCGAGGACGCGGTCAGGCGATGCAATTTACGCTGAAGTGGTGAATCTGATGAATGCAAGTGCTGATGTTTTGCACTGTGTTCTTGTGTGGCGGACATCTGACAACGGGAAGGCGCAGTGAACCTTGCCGACATATGCCCAGTAGGCACATGTCGCAGGCGATTCGCTCCAGATTGATCGCGATGTAAAGCGACGCGCTGCGACTCTGCGGGAAAGCAGCCACTGCAAAGTGGCAGCCGCATTCACTACGAGCGACAACCACATGTGGCGGCGAACGAAACTTTGCCCGGACCGCGCGCGGGAGATTTTGGCTTTTGCGGTTGCGACTTCCAAAACGATATCGGTTCGGACACTGCGAATTTGCGGAACACATACACAACTTCCAACCAATCCAACCCAAGCCGCTGGACAATGCTGTGCACACAGTTCGTTTCGCTGCCCCAAGCACTCATTATACTGTTTACACAGTACACCGTAGTTACAGAGAGTTGTGATGTTGATATTTTTCCAACTCCCCAGCCGCTTCACAGCTCCTCCTGAGCTTGAGATAGGCAAACCCCATCGTGCTGAAATTTTTTTACATGTGTAAAGCCCCTCAATACTGTTGGGCACACAACCAGCATGCTGCCGACCTTTTGTCATCTTCCCAACATGGAGTTGTTGAACTCGTGAATTGCCAGAAATCTCAAGCTGACGGGTGAGTGCTTGAAATTTGTTTACCAGAAGCGGCAGCAGAAGTGCATTCAATAACTGTTATAAATATAATTGTAGCAAATTGTTATTTCATTGGCGATAAAAAACTGATCCATCCATCACACTAGAAGTCCGCTTCTTATATGCCCGTTTGAAAACAAACTCCATTACATCCAAAGACAGGAGCCTTTCTTGAATGGAGTCGCTCAGAACCATTTCCTGCACAGACGTTTACACATGACAGAGAGAAGCATGCAAATATGGCATACACGAACAAAAATTGTACTCCCTCTCTCTTTAACACACCTTTATTTTAGCGATGCACGCCCCTTCCCCGCTGCACTCGAAAATCTTCTCCCTGCACCAACTGGCCAACTGCACCGCGCCGTGAGCTGCTGCCACGTGAAGCCCGTCAAATGCCAGCTGGAGGTCCCCAGATTCCGCCGCCACAGCCGCCAGTTCGCCGTCCACGAGCTCCAGGATTACGGTATTATAGTAGCTGTCATAGATGCTGTACTGCACTGCTTTTAGTAGCTCTCTGACCCTGGAGCACTCAAGGTGCGAATAAAGTCAGCTGTCGGACGTGTTCACAAGATAAACACGAATTACCTCAAGTATGCAACGCACACGTAAGCAATACAAACCCCAACTAGTGGTGGATTAACAGCAGCAGTAATGTAAACAATCATGTACTTGACACATGAATTTACCGAATTTTGATCATCTGCTGGAGAGAGCGCACCAGGAGGTACTCCTTGGGAAGGTTGCATCCGCCCGCGTAGATGAGGCGCAGGAAGAGGCGTAGGGTGCACTCGTCCATGTCGTCCATCCTCACTATAGGCCGCTCCGATGTCTCCATAAAGCCGTTCGTAAACATCTTCTTGAACACAGGAGACCTGATGAATAAAGCAGAGGGGTAAAGGGGGCCGAGACATGTGGCTCGTCATTACACAAAACTTACGACGTCATTCTCCACTGAAGCCGTTAGGATATAACTTGAAAATGTTGCATTTTGTCACACAGCAATGGAAGTCGTTGGGAAGCTATGAGTGGATGCAAGTAGCGGACTTGGAAACCAAGCTAACGACGTACGTAACGTCGCACGTGGCGTCGCACACGTACCACGACGAGAGGATGCAGCGGTGCGCGGCAACATCCGCGTCGCCCGCTCTCAGCGTCACGTCAGCGAACATGCCGCTTTCCAGCAGCTCTTCCAAGCGCCCTTCGCCACGTGGCACTGTTTCGTTGGGCGCCATGCTTGATTGAGCGATGATGCAACGGCGAGGTTGGCGGACGCTCGACCGACCTCAATGAAACACAGCCAAGGCGCGGAGTGGGGCGATGATGTACCCGTGGCGCGATATGATGAGTTTTATGGGTATTATAGTCCCTCGTAGCGCCTTGCTTTTCAGCAAGTAGCAGATGGAAGTGAGATGCGGGGTGAAAACACACAGCCTGAGGCGCGCGCCCTAGCTGCGCAAAAGAGATGCAGCTGCTGGCGGCGATGAGCGCTGCACTATTATTACAAGCACCTACCCAACTGATGTGAGAACTAGTAGCGGTGACATCGAGCAGGGCTCGAACCGCCTGAGTGGTTGCCTGAATTGGCCCCTTTCATTCGCGAAGGGTATGGATGGCTAATTTCCCGCATGTGCACCTTCGCACACCCATAGCGAGTCGTAGGCGACTATCGTCAAAAGACATCAAGAGACTCCCGAATTCTACGGGAACACGCAAAACCGAGTATGCTCCACCTGCCCTCCACAATGAGCATGTCATGCCTATTGCGAGTCTAGATAAGACGAAAACTCAGTGTTGTGCATGAAGCATATTACTGGTAAAACATGAATGAAGCTAAGGCAGCAAGGTTCACAACAGCACATGTAAAATAGGCCTAGCCAATTCCCTCAATAAACCAAGAACTGTCACACCCGCTCAACAACCCCACTTTCCACCTCATCTTCGATACAAGATGGTTTGTAACATTCTTCATTATTGCGCATTGCATTTGAGATGTGTCTAGGCACGCTCAGCTGTATCAACCATTACAAAACCCCCCCTTTGCACCCTTATATACATATATACATTTAGGTCGAAACGGCATGGTACATCCTTTGCTCTAGCATCACATGCATGCTTCCCTCATGTATAACCATCCACAATCTACACATCTGACCCATCTACCCACCCAAGAAAGGTCTTTCATCCTAGAATGGACCCAAGTTATAACCACTCATGCTTTGGCAACATCAAGAGCAGCTAAGATGAGATCAACTAACTGACCCCTGTAACGGTAAGGCTTGGGTCCCAGTCGCAGAGAGGGGAGACAAGCAGATGGTTGAGGTGCGCTCTGTGCACCTTGCAGCCGTGCAGGGAGAGGGAGGTGAGGCGGGAGAGGGCGAGCAGGTGGCAGAGGGCGACTGTGTGGGGGCTAAGATCAGTTAACCCCTGTAACGGTGAGACTTGGGTCCCAGTCGCAAAGAGGAGAGACGAGCAGGTGGTTGAGGTGCGCTCTGTGCACCTTGCAGCCGTGCAGAGAGAGGGAGGTGAGGCGGGAGAGGGCGAGCAGGTGGGAGAGGCCGTTGCGGGTGACTCCTGACCCCGACAGGTTGAGGGTTTCGAGAGAGGTGAGTGCTGCGGGCGTGCAAAGGAAGGAGGAGGAGGGGGGGGGGGTAGGGTGGGAGAAAGAGGGGATTGTGAGAGGTGAGGCGGGAGAGGGCGAGCAGGTAAAAGAGGCAGTTGAGGGTAACCCCTGATATAGACAGTTTGAGGGTTTCAGGAGAGGTGAGCGCTGCAAGTATGGAGAAAAGGGGTGGTGACGGCGGGGAGGGTTGGTGAGGGAGAAAGAGGGGACTGTGAGAGAACAGACGATGGCGATGAAAAGAAAACCAGAGTGCTGATGTGGGTGTTCTGGGAGAAGAAGGAAGCAGCAGCACCAGCAGCAGCAGCACAAGGTAATTCCGAGTTAAAAAATAACGGGTTAAAAAAACAACGGGTTAAAAAAAGGAAGGGTTAAAAAAAGAACGGCGTCTATCACGATTGCGAGGACTTTACAGCATGGGGTTGGTATTGAGAGAAATTAAGGGGAATTAGCTGATGCTCTGTGAAGCAGTTGCACACGCTACTGGTTAGTCTACCAACAAACATGTCCTCTTTTCTTTTACCTGCCAAAGCCTTGACGCCAGCATCGGTGATGCGCTGGTTCTGAGAGACATTAAGAGAGGCCAGTCGGGGCAGAGAGGCGAGTTCCTTCACTCCCTTGTCCGTAATGCCACCCCCACACACCTCCAGCACCTGAAGCTTCTTGAAGCCTGCATTAGGGGTACGTGGCGAGCATCGGGTATTAGGCCAGATCGTTTGTACCCCTTTCCCCATTTCCCGTACCCGTTCTCCCCGCTCCTCCCCAACTCACCCTTGACCACTGCCATGCCCTCGTCAGTCACTGTCCACAGTCTACCATCACCCTCCACCCTCGCTCCCCCTCTCGTTTCTCTTCCCTTCCTTCTCCATCGTCGGTACCCGCCCCTCCTCAACTCACCCTTGACCACTGCCACACCCTCGTCAGTCACCCTCCATCCCCCTCCTGCTCTCCCTCTCCCCTTTATTCAGTCCCCTCTCGTTTCCCGTACCCCTTTCCCCCCCTGCTCCCCAACTCACCCTTGACCACTGCCATGCCCTCGTCAGTCACCCGCGCTCCAAACAGGTCCAGGCTGGTGAGGTTGGTGAGGGCTGGGAGAGACGGGAGCAGACAAAAAGAGAGAACATAGAAGAGGGAGGGAAGAAGGGATTGAGAAAAGACGAGGAGGGGAGTAGGGGTGAGTCGCTATTGAGCATTCTAAAAAAGGGGTGAGGATCGCGAGGAAGGGAAATGATGGGATTCTGGACCGTCTCTGACCTGTCAGCAGTTTCATCTCACCTGAGAGCAATTTCATCTCACCTGAAAGACGTTTTAAGCCGGCATCAGTGATAGAGCGTGTGTCGAGTGAGAGGGAGGTGAGGGCGGAGAGATGGGCGATGCTGGTCACACCGCCATCAGCGACGTTGCAGTAGCTCAGGTTGAGGGAGGAGAGACGAGTCATGGCTGTATTGGGGAGGAAGAAGAAGGGAAATGCGGATACGCAGGGAGAGGTGAGGAGAGGTGGGGAGAGGTGGGGTACCGTTAGTCACACCCCCACCCATCAGTGACGTTGCAGTAGCTGAGGTTTAGGATGGAGAGAGAGACGAGTCATGGCTGTAGGGAAGGGGGAAAAGGGGAAAACTGGGAGAGGTGGGGAGAGGAGAGGTAGGGAGAGGGGGGGTGGATGGGAAATGCTGGTTACACCACTGTCCGTGCGTTGCAGTAGCTGAGTGTGAGGGTTGAGGGACGAGTCATGGCTGTAGGGAAGGAGGGGCGGGTGAGAGAGGTGGAAGGGGGAGAGAGGTGGAGGGGGGAGAGACGGGACACTGTCAGACGTGAGAGCATTCAGACTTGAAAGCAGGACAGCAAGGTCTTATCGAGGGGGGAGGAGAGAGGAAGCGGGGAAGCAGGGCGGTAGGAGCGAAGGGGGGTGGCGGTGCGGGTGGGGGGAGAAGGAGCGAAGGGGGGTGGCGGTGGGGGTGGGGGGAGAAGGGGAGTCTACCAAACCGCTTATTGAAGACGCTGCAAAATCCTGCATCCCCCACTGTGGAGTCTGGCCGATCAAGGCTTTTGAGGGCGGTCACATGTGAGAACGGTACAGCAAGGCCTTGCGGAGGGGGAAGGCTAACAGAAGCCATGTCTACCACAAGTGCTTACCAGAGACATTGCGAATCCCTGCATCCCCGACTGTGGAGTCTGACAGATCAAGGCTCTCCAGGGCGGTCAGACCTGTTGAGGAATCATAAGAGGAGAGAATTTACGGGAAAATGAGAGAGAGAATTGAGGGGAAAATGAGAGAGAGAATTTAGGGAAAAATGAGAGAGAGAATTGAGGGGAAAATGAGAGAGGGAATTGAGGGGAAAATGAGAGGGTTTTCCAACAGTCAGACAGCCCTGGGAATGTTAGGGAAAGATACAAATTAGTTGCTTCAGTGAGGAAAAAAAAAACCCGGGAAATAAAGGAAAAAAAGAAACGGAAGCGTTACCTGCAAGCTCTGCCATTGCAAGATCGTTGACCCGTGATGAGTCCAGGTTGAGGTGGCGGAGGGAGCGCAGTGCTGCAGTGGGCACGGCAGATGGACGGTAGGGGTGGAAGGAAGGGAGAGGGAGGGTGGAGTGGAGAGAGAGGGAGAGAAACAGTGATGAGTCCAGGTTGAGGTGGCGGAGAGAGCGCAGTGCTGCAGTGGGCACGGCAGATGGACGGTAGGGGTGGAAGGAAGGGAGAGGGAGGGTGGAGTGGAGAGAGAGGGAGAGAAACAGTGATGAGTCCAGGTTGAGGTGGCGGAGGGAGCGCAGTGCTGCAGTTGGGGGTGGGTGGGTGATGGGCGTGGAGGGGAGGGAGGGAGGGAGAAGAGGGGTGGGAAAGAGTCGGAGATTGGTAGTTTAAGAGGGGTTTGGAGAGAGGGAACAGAGCACAACAAAGGCAAATTTCAGTCCGGGTTAAGGGCACGGCGAGTGGCAAGAAAGAATGGTGGAAGGGAAGGGGGGAAGGGGGGGGAGGGGAGGGGAGAGGGGGATTTCAAAACAGCAAGCTCCCCTGGAGGTGCTGGGTACGCTGATAAGTGAAGGCGTTGAGTGAAGTGGGCGATAGAGGGAGGAGTTGATATAGCGAAGAGTGTGACAAGGGGAGCGATAAGGGAGGCTTACAAGAAATGAAGAAGGGGGCGCTCTGCATGCTTCTGTTGCGGGGCGTGTCGATGACGCCAAAGCGGGTGTAGGCCAGGTTGAGAGACGTGAGACGCGTGAGAGCTGGAGGGAGGGAGGCAGGGAGGGAGGCAGGGAGGGAGGGGGATGGAAGGGGGAGAGGAAGGGGGGGGGGGAAGAATGGATACAGAAGAGGTAAGCAGAAAGGGAGAAAATAGCCAAAGCGAGTGTAGGCCAGATTGAGCGATGTGGGACGCGTTAGAGTCAGTGGATGGAAGGCAGGGTTGAAGGGCGTAAAAGGGAAGGGCGTAAAAGGGAAGGGCGTAAAGGGAAGGGCGTAAAGGGAAGGGCGTAAAGGGAAGGGCGAAAAGGGAAGGGCGTAAAGGGAAGGGCGGAAAGGGAAGGGCGGAAAGGGAAGGGCGGAAAGGGAAGGGCGGAAAGGGAAGGGCGGAAAGGGAAGGGCGGAAAGGGAAGGGCGGAAAGGGAAGGGCGGAAAGGGAAGGGCGGAAAGGGAAGGGCGGAAAGGGAAGGGCGGAAAGGGAAGGGTGGAAAGGGAAGGGCGGAAAGGGAAGGGCGGAAAGGGAAGGGTAGAGAGAAAAAAGCTAAATCGGACAGTGCAACGAGTAAAGAGAAAAGCCTGAAGCAGAGGTGGTGAGTGGGAGGGGGTGGTGGGGGGGATTGGTTTGAAGATGATTGCAAAGCAGGCGCAGGCGAGATTATGCAATGTGAAATGCGTGAGGGCTGGAGGGAGAAGCGAGGAAGGGGGAGAAAGGAAGCACCCTGCAGGTGCGTGGGCCCGTGTTGGTGAATAGTGCACACCACTCCACGTTCCCCCCCACCCACTTCCCCTCCAAACCCCAGTCCACACCCTCGCCTCCCCATTCTCCCCCTCAACCCCCTCCCCTCCCCGTTCCCCCCTTCAACCCCCTCCCCTCCCCGTTCTTCCCTTCACCCCCCCCCTCCTGTTCCTACTGCCCCACCTTGCAGGTGCTTAAGGCCTGTGTTGGTTAGAAGTGCACACCACTCCACGTTGAGCTCAGTCAGCCCGTGAACGCCTGACACGTGGCACAGGTGGGTGAGAGAGAGGTGGAATTGTTAGGGAGGGAAGACTTGGCGTGGAACCAGGAAGGAAATGGGGATTAGGGAGAAAGGTGTTGCTAAAGATGAGGGAGAAAGCTGCGTTTGTCACACGCTGAAAGGAAAATGACTAGAAAGATAGGTGGGGATGAGGGAGACTTTCTGGAAATAAGGGAGATTGCTTACTGGAGATGAGGGAGAAAGCTGGGTCTCCCAGATGGTGCTGACATTTCAATTACTAAATTGATTGGTGAGAATGAGGTTACGAGGCCGACTTGAAATGAAAGAGAACGACTTACCAGAGATGAGAGAGAAGGCAGTATCCGTAACATGCTGACAGCCCGCCATGCTGAGACTGGTGAGGGACGAGAGAGCTGCAGGTGAAGATGTGATGGGATAGGAGGGGTGTGCGGTGGAGGGGAGGGGGCGAGTGGAGAGGTGAATATTATTTCTGAGGCGCCTAGGAGAGTGGTGAGGGCGGAGAAAGCTGCAGGTGCAGATGTGATGGGATGGGCAGGGTGTGTGGAGGGATGGGAGGGAGGGGCCGAAGCTTAGCAGACGGTTATGCATTCAGAGTCGTCTGTGAGCTTGAATTGTGTTATTGCACCATGACTTGACTACACTCTTACCTTGGGAGAAGAGCTGTCAGATCTGCGTCTGTGATATCAGATCTGCATCTGTGATGTCGCAGCAATGCAGTTTAAGACGTCCGGCCTTGAATTCTTGAGGCGTTTTATGGAATTCTGAGAAATTTGGAAGGATTCTTAAAAGCTCCACCCCGTGTTTCTAACGCGCTTTTAACCGGTCTGCTTTCAGCTCTCGAGACTTGACTGCATGGCTTACCTTGCAGCAGAGCCGTCAGGCCCGTCAGGCACACATAGCCTGCATGGCTTACCTTGCAGCGGGAGACGTTGAGGGAGTGTAGCGAGGAGAGACGGGCTATGTGTGCCATGACTGTGATGTTGCATTGTTGTGGTTTGAGACGGTTCACCTTGGATTCAGCTGGCGCTTACCTTGCAGCAGAGCTGTGAGGCCCAGGTCCGTGATCTTGCAACGGGAGACGTTGAGGGAGTGTAGCGAGGAGAGCGCTGAGAGAGAGGGGGGGCACGGGAATGGGAAATGGGAGAGGACTCGAGTGCATGGCTCACCTTGCAGCAGAGCCGTGAGGCCAGCATCTGTGATCTTGCAGCGGGAGACGTTGAGGGAGTGCAGTGAAGACAGGTGGGCAATGTCTGCCATGTCGTCATCGTCTAGGGACGTGCACCAGCCGACGTTGAGAGTGCGGAGGGAGGAGAGCCCTGCACGAGAGGGGGGAGCAGGAAAGGGGAAATGAGAACTAGGGAAACTGCATCCGGAAAATCTGAAACACCAAATGAAGAATGAGCTAGAAGAGAGGCCAGGAGGCCATTATATAGCTAGGGAAGAGAGGGGAAGAGGCTAGGAGGGAAGAGGCTAAGTCCCTTGCTTCTCTCTCTCTCTCGCTCTCTCGAACAAGCGCCGGAAAATCTGAAACACCAAATGAAGAAATATGACATGCACGAGCTCAGCGAAAAGGTAGTCTTCTTCCGGAGACGCACAGTTCTCACTGAACAGGCAAATTCATGACCAAGGCTCTACCTGTGAGGTGGCGCATTGCCCCCTTGAGCAGGCCGCACATCTCCAGGTTCAGGCGAGGGAGGGTAGGTGAGCCACGTGCGTGAGAGCGGTGGCAGGTGATTCAGAAAGAGTCAGTCAGAGATTACACAGCGGACGTACCTGTGAGGTGACGCATGTCCCCTTTGAGCAGGCCATACATCTCCAGGTTCAGGCGGGTGAGGGAAGGCAGGTGGCTGACATGCGTCAGAGCAGCAGCAGGCAATCTCGTCAGAGTCCATTGAATCAAAGCAGAACCTACCTGTAAGGTGACGCATGCCCCCCTTGAGCAGGCCGCACATCTCCAGGTTCAGGCACGTGAGGGAGGGCAGGTGGGCCACGTGCGTGAGAGCAGCAGCAGAGAGGCGGTTGCAGCCACGCGTGCTGAGCGAGGCGAGGTGGTGGCAGGCTGATGTGAGGGAAGAGAAGGGAAGGGGAAGGAAGGAAGGGAAGGGGCACGTGGGAGTGGAGGACAGAGGGACAGAGGGTAGGTCAGGTGAGCTTGAGCAGCAGCAGACAGGCGGTTGCAGGCAGGTGTGCTGAGAGAGGCGAGGTGGTGGCATGCTGATGCGTTGTGAGGGAGGGAGGGGAGCGGAGAGGAGGGGAAGGGGTACAACGAGGGCAGGGGAGAGCGGGTTCTCACAGTGCAGCAGAACGGATTCTCACAGTGCACTGCAACTGGATACCAGCATGGTTCAGGTGGTTACCAGCATGGTTCAGGTGGTTACCAGCAAGAGGAGCCAGGGCGTCGTCAGTGATCTGGATGCACCAATCAAGGCACAGGGAGCGAAGGTGGGAAGCATGCAGCGGCGCGGCAGCTGTAGCCAGCGATGCAACCCCGGTTGTAGCAGCAGCTGCAGCTGCTGCTGTGGCCGCAACTGTGGCTGATGCTCCCGCCCCCCTCTGCCGTTTTCTGCTGCAGAAGGCATCCCCATGCCTCTCCCTCTCCATCCTTGCCGCTTGCAGGCGCATGCGAATCTCATTCTCCCTTGAATTCCTCCTCTCCTCACAATCTCTCCTCTCCCTTTCATCCCTCTCTTCCCTCTCTCTGCTCCCTTCACCTTCCTCCCCTCCACCCCTCCTCTCCTCACTCCCTTCTCCCTCCTCTTCTTCCCCTAGACTCAACTCCAAAAACACTCCTTCCGAGGAACTTCCGTCTGACAGATCTTCTTGGGAGCTACTGCTGGAAGCGGGGCTGCTAGAAACGGGGCTGCCTAAAAGGCGGATGTCGGACAGTGTGGGGGAAGACAGGTTTCGGGCTTGGGGCGAGGTTAGACCCATAGGAGGAGAGGAGGGGGAGGCTGAGAGGGGGGAGGGGGAGGGAGCAACGAGTGTGGAGGTTGGGGTGGAGGAGAGAGGGTGGGAGGAGGAGGAGGGGAGGGGGTGGGTGGAAGGAAGGGTAATGGCGACGGAGGCAGGGTTGTGAGAAGAGGGGGAGAGAAGAGGAGTGCGAGGGGAGGCGAGAGGGGAGGGGAGAGGAGAGCAGAAGGGAGGGGTGGCGGTGCTGTCGTGACCATTGCAGGTGCTGGCGTCACAACAAGGAGTAACGCCGTTAACAGCAGCAGCAGTCCTTGCAGCATCTCTATTGGCAGCAGCACTTGGGGAAGCAACATCAACCGCAGCAGCATTACTGCTATTGGCAGCAGGAAGAGCAGGAGGGGCGCCGGAAAGCAGCTTGTGTATGCCAGCATCGGTGACAGCAGCAGCAAAGGAGAGGTCGATGGAGAGCAGTGTGGGCGCGTGAGGCGACAGCAGCTCCAGCCAGCGGTCGTTGAGGTTGGGGTAATGCGCCAGAGGCAGGGACTGTTGGGACAGGGGGAAATAGGATACGACTTTTCTAGTCCACTCATGGACACTGGTTGTTGAGGTAGGGTAAGTGTGCGAGCGGCAGGGAAGGCAATGGATTCGTGGTTAATGGGACTGGTGAAATGTTGCACATTCAGGAACAACAGAAAGAGTTCTTTGTCGTGGTTTGAGATGGCTTGGAGTTTAAAGAGAAGCGTGTTGGGAATGTGAGGAAGGCTCACCTCAAGGAGTGGCGCTGGCAGTGCGTGTAGGAGTGGCAGGGAGAGCTCCCTGACGTGCACGAGCACGTGGAGCAGCGACTGCAGCACCTAACTTGACGGTATGGAGAGAGGTGTGTTCACGGGTTGAGGAATACTCACCTCTAGGAGTGGTGCGGGCAGTGCGTGTAAGAGTGGCAGGGAGAGCTCCCTAACGTGCACGAGCACGTGGAGCAGCGATTGCAGCGCGGAACTGTAAAGAAAATGTTGAGGAATATTCACCTCAAGGAGTGGCGCGGGCAATGCTTGTAGGAGCGGCAGGGAGAGCTCCCTGACGTGCACGAGCACGTGGAGCAGCGATTGCAGCACGTGTGGGGAGAGACGCGCAAGCTTGGATGGTGTGTAGCTTGACTGAACGCAGCAGAAACAGAACGTGGGGAAAAGGGAAGGGTGGGAAAGGCGGTGGGGGGAGGAGAAGGGGGAGGAGGGAGAGAGGGAAGGGAAGGAGGAGATGGATGGCTGATCGGTTGACTGAAGGTCAAGAAAATGGATAAGGTAAACAAAAAGACGAGAAATGGTGGAACTCGACTCACACAGTGATTGCAGGTTAAGATAGAGAAGGGGGAGAGAGGGATGGGGAAAAGGAAAGAGGTAAACGCGGGAGATGGTGAAGGGAAGGGATGAAGGAGTGAAAAGGTGCTTACTGGTCGGCGAATCAAATCACGGCAGACTGCCAGCGTGGCAAGCTCCTCAAGCGACAGCCTGGCCATGCCAGCTGGCCACCGCCCTCCCACTGCACGCCTCGCCGAGCCATTGCTGCCGCCACCACTGCTGCTGCTGCTGGCGCCACCACTGCCGCTGCTGATGCAATTGGTACTGCTCCCGCTGATGATGACGGTGCTGCATCTGCCCCCACCACCACTCCTTACAACCGCCATCCCTCCTGCTCCTGTGCCCACGCTTCTCGCCCTCCGTAGTTGCTGCTGCCTGTATGACTGCTGCTCCTGCAGCTGACTATCACACTGCTGCTGCACTTGCTGCTGTTTCTGCGGCAGCAGCGACCGAGTATCCTGCTGTTGCTGCTCTTCGGGTGGTTCCCAGCGACCGGAGAGTAAGGCAAGCGCGTAGCAGCAGTGGCAGCAGCAGCACGAGCACAGCCGGCTGCTGAAAGGGTCGCTGGTTGCGAGTCCCCCACGGCTGGTCGTTGAAGCCGTCGTGACAGCAGCAGCAGGAGAAGCAGCAGCAGCAGCAGCAGCATGTGGAGACGCCCGGGCGACTGTGGTAGTGGCAGCAACAACACTGGCGACAGTCGCTGCAGAAGCAGCAGACGCAGAAGGAGCAGCAGCAGCAGCAACAGCAACGGTCCGACCACCAGAAGCAGTACCATCAGCAGCACCACTGCCATCACCGCCACCAGCATCTCCATCGAGAGAGATGTTGGCATCAAGCCACAACACCACGCTCTCTCCTCCTCCCTGCCCGCCCTCATCCCTGTGATTTCCAACAAGCGACGCCGTCTCCCTGCGCATCCCACCACTGCCATTCCCGCTCACGCGTGCTCTTTCGCTTCTGCCGCTGCTGTCAAGCATGCCCCCACTTCTAAGAGCCTCAGCGCGCTGAAGATCTCCCCTGTTGTCCGTGCTGCCCGTGCTGCCCATGCTGCTCGTGCTGCGGATGGTAAGCATGCTTCCGTCGCTGCTGGTGGTGCCGCTGCTCGAGCTGCTGCCGAGGCTGCTACTGCCGAGGCTGCTGCTGCAGAGGCTGCAGCTGCCGCAATTCTCGGTGTTACCTCTGCTTCCACTAGTAACCCTGGCCTGGCTGTTCGCGCTGCCCATTCTCGCCCCTGACAATGACCGTTGGCTCAGCCTGCCAGAAAAACAGTTTTGGAAAAAAAAAAAAAAAAAAAAAAAAAGTTGATGGTTCAAGCGCAAAAAGAAGCAAGTGAGTTGCACCGAGAAGAAGGGGGAGAGGGACGACGGAGGGGATGGGGGAGAAAGTCGGAGAAGAAGGAGGGGCAAGATATACTAGTTAGGAAGTGGTGATAGGTAGGGCGCATCACACCAGTTTAAAGGATGGAGGGCCAACATCCAACTCACGTGGCAACGGGAATCGATGCCGTCGACCAAGGGAGCTCCTCGCCGCACTCGTCCCCATCGCGAGCATCGTCAGCAACATCCCAATCCACGTGGAGGTCCTGTCCGTCGCAGTGGAACCGCGGCCCCTGGCAGTGCTGGTGGCAGTGGTGCAGGTGCCGCCGCTCGCTCGCGAATCTACCCTCCGCGCTCAGCCTCCCCCGGATGGAGCCTCCCTCCATCGCTCCGCCTCCACCGCCGCCACCGGCGCTGGTGGAGCCGCCGCCGTAGCCACTGGAGCTGGGCCGGAGTCGACGAGAGCACGCGCCGCCCATCGCGTCAACGTGTCCGGTTCTCGTTCCGAGTTCTTGGTCTCCCTCTGGTCCTTTCCTCGGTCTCCCGTCCCTTTCCCTCGTCCTTCCTGCCTTGGCCCAAACAACTCAAAACGCTTCGAAAGTCTCGAAAGCCCCAAACACCCCAACGGTTTTAAAAGCTTCAAGACTATCCTTCAAGAAAGCGCGCTTCTAATATCGTGACGACAACTTCAGCTTCCGCTCGCCGGTTGCCGCAGAAAGACGAGCGGGGTGAGTAAGGACTGAAGTGCCATTGCTTTGCCTTACCGCGGTCACCGATAGGCTTACGATATACACGGGTAATGGAGACGAAAGGGCTTCAGATAGAATGAGTCCAGATAGAATGGCTTGAGACGGAACAGCTGCGGATGAAACGGCGTTAAAGTGCGACGTCACGTCCTCTCGAAGCAAGGATGAAAGACGCTAGAATGGGCGCAAGAATGCGTGACAAATGGAACCAATGAAATTCATGAATGAGAGGGCCCGAAGAGCGATAAGAATCCGCAAATTCGAACAACTCGAATGAGGCGTGAGATGCTGCTGCTGCAAGCACCTGCGAGTCAAGCCATAGGAGCTGAGTTACTGAAGCATGAATGTGAAGCACGAACGAATATCCTACCTTAGTGGTGGGCCTAGTGTTGGGGCTACAAGACATGCTTCTTGCCCACTTCCTGCTGGAGAGCAAGAGCTGGTGTTCTGCGCCCTCACAGCTTGCTCACACTCACACATTCATGCCTTCTCCTGCAGCAGGGCATTGCACACGGCTGCATTCCCCAACGCAGTCTCCCCGGCATGGTTTTCTTGCTCCCTCTCTCAAGTGATGATGAGGGGCTGTATGGGAGAAGGGGAGTGGTCCTTCCTGCTCCCATACCGTCTGCCCCGAAAACGTTACGCCAATGGGAGTGTGGGAGGCCATGCTCAAACAGTGATGAATTTCCCATGCACCAATGAAGATTGTTTCTTCTGGCTGCCCGTCGCAGCTGTTATGAAAGATCTTCGAGCACATCAGGCTGTGCCATGCGGCTCTTCAGCTGAGGTGGAGGGCTAAGCCGAGGCGCTTTCCTGACGCATGACCCATCATCCACTTAAACCAGACCGCCTCTCACCTGGATCAGCTTGATTGGCTAAAAGATGCATGATGGACGCAAGTTGTACGTGTATGCGGTTGCTTCTGCGTCAGGATGAGGTGGCATGCGATGCTGTAGATTTAGCCTGTGAAGCCAGGGACAGGCCGTAATGATTGTGTACGGTGAACCTGTTGTTATCCCCTCGTAGTGTCGAATTCGGCAAGGATAAGCGAACGGTAGTCATTCTGTAATAAAAAACCAGAAGGTGCTTCTTCAGCCTACTTCCATCTGCAAGACAAAATTGATGGATGAATCTGTAATATCAGACACGCTAAAGCAACCACGATCCATAAGCTAACCAAACACCGTTTTCTCCTTGACTAATCAAGGTTCGATACCCTAAATGCCCTAAATTTGTACAACCTGCAAAACCCAAAAAAAGGCATTAAATGCAACAGAACACGAAAATGTTGAGTGGAGATCTGGTACACATGCAGAGTGTAGTGTAGTGTGCAGACAATGGAGGGAGCAGCGGGGAAGCTCACCAGGAATTCAGTGAACTACAGTAAATGTCTCATGTATACTGGCCGGAGGAGTAACTTCTTTGTGTTGCACCGGGGTCATCAGTGGTGGCATCAAGAGTTGTTAGCCCGTTTGGCTTGACCCCTATAAGAGCTTCCCCATCATACTCCACAACATTCTCCCAGTTCTCGTACGCAACCTTCACCAGCTTATCCACGTAAATCTGCATCAGATAGCCACAGGGTTTAGACGAGAAAGGAACGTAGGCATCAAATTGAATGCACCAGCAGCTGCCATTGCACCACTGCTGTGAATAACCAAGAAGTTTGAAGTAAAATGATATATTCTTGGCTTTCCCACTACACAACTGCTTTGTCGCATATGCCTGCATGAGAAAGTCAGAGTCAGTATAGTCACAAGAAATAATTTACCTTTTCACTCTCGGAGAGAAGATCCACAGACATGTACTGGCTGTCGGCAATCAGGCCCATGAGCTGGAAGATGTTGTTGAAGATGACGCCAATGTTCTGCTTGTCATCCGCATAGTACACATGCAGCTTGCCATTCAGCACACATGTCTTTGCATGCTCCACGGTGTTCTCCCACATCTTGTTTGACATGCCTGAACCAAGAATCTGGCATACCGAAGAGACGAATCAGATCCACGTACGCACACATCACAACTACGATAACGTGCACGAGGCTTCCAAGAAAAAAAAAAAAAAAAAAAAAAAAAAAAACATATATAACACTTACATTTCGTAGTTTTTGTGGGTCCATGACAACAAGCCGTAGGAAATCTTCTACTGTGAAGATTCCAGCCTGATTCAGGCGCTTATGGAAGGCGCCGTCTTTGCCTATGCGATCCAATCGCCACACTTCGTCTGTCAAAGCAGGCGGATAGTGCTTCTTGTACACTGTTGCACAGCCAGGATGGAAAAATGGAGAAGGGAATCAGCATCAGCGAACCTGTCTTTTAACCAGGCCGGATTCATTCCCATTGCATGATAGGAAATAAACCAAAACCCAAGTGGCCAAACATTCAAGGAACTCAGCAGCAACTCACATTCTCCACGGTGATCCTTCACCGTGAACGCCTCTGTCTTCCCTTCTCGTACCCTGCTCTCCCCAATCTGCCCTGGCGACACTCTCACGCCCAGCCTGAACTTGCGACTCCGGATCCAACTAGAGTTGTCTGTGAACGTGATCTCGCCCATGACCCCAAGCCCGTCCTTGAGCACCACAAATGTCTCGCCGGTCAAAAGTGGCCTTTTACCATCTCTCTCTTTCACCAAAAACTGGTCGAATTCTCCCTGCACAAAGCAGCAGCTTGTTCAGACAGGGAGTACAGGAAAGACCCGAAGCAGAGCAATAACATTATGAGCATATCTGAAGCGTCAAGGCCGGACAGCAGGATTTCTTACTGGTAACCAATCGTCTTCATCGTCTCTGCTGAAATCTCCTTCAAGCACCACAACTTCAAGCTTCAGATTAGCCTCTGGTCCTGTGGTAACCACAGAACCTGTATCTCCATCCTGGAGAAACACTCGGATTGGCTCACTCCCTTCGCCCTCCACCTTCCCTCCAGTGAACAAAGGAAGTGCCAACTTGTTGCGGAATTGCAGCCTCAGATCACGCTTGACGCCATTGGCTGATAGTCGTTTGGGAGCCTCAAGACTGCTGGAATATGGTGGAGTTGGGCACAGAAAACAAAAATCAGAATAAACGGCAAACTATAAGCTTAAGAGCTCAGAGGAAAAGAGACAGAAACCGGAAAACGACCCGCCAAAGAGAAGCTCCTTTGGCTCAGCCCAGCGTCAAAAGCATACCTGGTCGGCCATCAAAGTACAAATACACCTAGCCACTGTTTCCTGCAACTAATTGGCACCTAATAATCCGTTTGTAACAACCACAACAGCGCTCCTCGTTACCATCCAATAGTCCATTTGGTACATTTAAAATCGCCGCCTTACCTCCTATTTCAAATTTGGTCACACACCTTTTTCCAGCCAAGCCTTTTACACCCCTTCTCGCGCCAAACACATCACCACCGTGAGAAACAAATCGCCGAAAGCAGGTGTGGGTCAAGGAAAGGCTCACTACCGAAGTTTTCATGCTCCGGGCCAATAAGTTATCGACGAAAAACAGCCGATCCCTTACAGTGAGTCAGATCAGGGCTTCAACAAGACCTTGCAAGCGTGTGTTAGACTATCTCAAACTTCACCTGTATTTACTGTCGCCAAGAACCTACCGTAGTGGCGGCTTAGAGCTGGATGACGGCTGGAAGGTTGCAAACGCTTTTTGAATTTCTTCAGACACCTGAAAAACTAGTCGACTTGTTAATACGTAGAGATAATAATAAAAGAAAAATGATGCATCTTGTACGAGCGAGTCTCCCACGTACCACGCGTCGAAGCAAAGGCTCCAAAACGGTGCACAATTTTGCCAAATTGTCCATCTTAACTGTCTCCACAACGACACTGGAAAAAAAAAGCGCGAGGTTGTTAGTCTTACGAAGAAGCGACGACGCGACGACACGAGACACATGGCAAAGCAGCTAGCGCAGCAGCGACCTACTTGGCTATCGTTGGTCCTCGATGCCTTTTTTCGGGAGACTGGCTTTCCCCATTCCCTTCTTCGAAAGGTCTTTTCTCCCCATACCGTTGTTCAAGATCCATGCTCTGGCGACAGCTGGGTTGTTCAAATAATCTACAGGCCAACATCGTGCAGCGACAGCAAATTAGTGCGGCTTAGGCGCACATGCGAATTCAATAACTGATCAGATATTTCTGCTCACCGGCTCGTACTCGACGAAATTAGCGGTTCGAAAAGCCCCACTGGTTCGGACAAAAGAGTGTTCCGGGTTCCCTGTGTGGTTGCCAAGTCGAGTCAAAGACCTGCAGTTCACAGAAATAACAAATGCACGGAAGAATCGAGGAAGCAGAAAGAAACGAACAGAAGCCGTGGAGAGGGGAGGGCTGGGTGGGGAGGAAGGGGGGTGGGTGGGAGGGATGTGGTGCGTGGGAATGTTGGCGGGGGAAGGGGAGGGGGTGGGGGAAGTGGGGGAGAAATTGGGGAAAGGGGAAAACCGAGGGGAAGGTGGGGGGGGGTTCAGGTTGGGGGGAAACGGGGGAATGAAGGGGGAGGCATGGGCGGGATGGATGTGCTGCGGGGTTCCGCGTTCCGCACGGATGAGGGTTTGTTTGCATGGAGAACAGTGGGATGGCGGGATGGGGGTTCAGTGGGCGGGAGAGACAGCAGGACTGCTTGGAAGTTGCGGGGAATCATGTTCGGGGCGGAAGGGTTTGGCTAGAGGTCTGCGATTGCCAGGGGAATGGTTTTGTTTGCGGTTCAAAAGGGTTGGTAGAGGTGATAAACTAGCATTGCGTGGTGAGGTGTATTCCTGCCGAGTTCGGCTTAGCCCGGGGTTTGCGCGGGTCGGATGCTCCCGGGAAGCTGCGGATTAGGAAGAATCGAGGAATCGCCGATGAGGACAGCAGGGAGGAAGAAATTTCTTTCAAGCCGTCGATTTCCCCTCTTGCGAGACTAGCGTGTTCGATTGATGGCTTCAATGGCAGAGACTAGTGGGCAACCCCGCTGGAAACCTCTGTCTAGTAACTAAACATACAATCAACCGATTTACACCGTACAAGAGAAAACCACCCAGGTCTTGTGACCCCATGTTGCTGACGTGGCATTTGGGCTAGCAATTGGCAGGGGCATGCTGGCGGCGGGAGTTCATTCAACCAAGCAGCGCGGGAAGCTTCGGTTGAGCAGTCAGCACGGCACAGTTGCTTGGCCCGTTTTCACCGACCACGTGACTTGGTGGTTGAGGAGAAACACGTAACAAGCTGATAGAACAAATAACAACATTCCTTAAAAGACAAACAGGACATGAAACGTGTTAGGATGGGAACCTTTAGTAGAGACTATTCCTGATCTGGAGCGTCCACCACCAACACTTGCGCGTCAGCCAATGGAAACGCTACTGGGAGAAACCGAAGCAGAAGCTCAAACGAAGTGAAAGTGATGACAGCTGCTGGAGTTGTTCTGTACAAGTTTGCGACGCATCCCCTGTAGAACGCTTGCGCGCCTTCATATCTGATAATCTGTATGCAGGACAAAACACAGATAGAAATGCGTATTTTTATGAAAGCGAGGAAGGGGGAGAGATGAGGAGAATGCAAAGGGATGAAGAGTGGATAAAGGGTGAGGGTGGGCGGGGGGGGGGGGGGCGGAGAGAGGGTGGGTGAGGGGAGGGGAGGGGGGTGGAGGGGGGGGGGGGTTGAGGTGAGAGGGGAAAGGAGATCAACAAGGATATCAATAAAGCACCTGTTGAATGCAGTCAATCACACCAAGATAGCGGGGCACGGAGGCATCTGCGCCCGCTGCTACGATTGCTCGCCCTTGCTCCTGCAACCGGGAGCGCACCACCTGCCAAGTCACGCGTTGTTGGACCATAGACGCACAGGAAAGAAGTTGATATTTGAGACGTCTCAAGAATCAATCGCGACCGCACCACTGGTCACATCATGTATCGTTGGACCTTAGGCGCATGGGTGGATGCGTTACAATTGTTGCAAGGGGCGAAGCGAATGAGCGCCTTGAGGGGGAGTGCGAGGGTGGAAGCCACGAGTGACTGTTGATGCAACAGACGATTCCTGAGGCATCTAAAAAACTTCATAAGGGACACCTGTTACAGATAAACAATCTATTGGTGGAATTCTATATAAAACAGGTATTTTACCTCGTGTGGGTATGTGAGGGTTGAAGCCACGACTTTCGAGACTGCGGAGGCCAGAGCGAGGTCGATGAGTGATAGGTTATCGACACTCGTGTGCGCTCTCTCCGCCATGGTCTGCTTGAGGTGCTCGTAGAGGGGGAACTGGATGGCCACGTGGCTCACCCCTGCTAGCGCTGGTACCACTCCACTGCAGGAGAGAAGCGGAGAAGAGGGGGGGGGGAAAGGGGGGATGGTTGCTCTCTCTGCCATGGTCTGCTTGAGGTGCTCGTAGAGGGGAAACTGGATGGCCACGTGGCTCACCCCTGCCAGTGCTGGCACCACGCCGCTGCAGGAGAGAAGCGGAGAAAGGGAGGGAAGGGGGGGGGGAGGGAGGAAGGGGGGGATGGTTGCGGTGGTGAGAGCGTGAAGGAGGAAGAGGAGAGAGAGGGGTGAAGGGGGGGCAAGATTGAAAGGTGAGCAAATGAAGAGATGGGGAGGGAGGGAGGGGACAGCTATACATATTTGCCCTGGAGTGCTATAGGAGCTAAGAAATGCACAGTCACTTCCTCCCTTCCTCCTCCCCTCCCCCCTCCCTCCCCAACTCACTCATTCTCTCACTCACTCACTCCCTCACGCACACACACACCTGTACAGCCCGGCCACGCCCTCCTCTCTCAATATGCGCACCAATGCCGATACAGTGCCCTTGTAGGGCAGGCGACAGGGACGCAGGCCCTTACTCACTCCCTCAATCCCTCCCTCACTCACTCCCTCGCGCGCGCGCGCACACACACGCGCACGCACGCGCACACACACACACACACACACGCACGCACACACGCACGCACACACGCACGCACACACCTGTACAGCCCTGCGACCCCTTCCTCTTTGAATATTCGCACCAGTGCCGACACCGTGCCCTTGTACGGCAGGCGATGGGGGCGCAGGCCCTGGGTCTGGCAGGAGGGAGAAGGGGGAGGGAAGAGGGAAGAAGAAAACAGGGGGTACAATGTTCAATGATTTTGCAAGGAAGAATGAAGAATGCCTCTGCAAGGACATGAAGGCCTTGGGAGAAACGTGGGGAAGGCTTGGGAGAGTGAGGGTTTGGGAGAACACGAGAGAGAATTGGAGAAGGGATAGGGAAGGCAGGGGGGAGGCCTTGTCGGTTCTCTTCCCCATACCTGCAAGCGAGTTTTCACGACCCAGAGCGGGTTGGTGAGAATAGCAGTAGTGGCACCGGCACCCGCTGCTGCTGTAACGCTGGTGAGCAGCGGCGGAGGGGCAGAGGAGGAGGAGGAGGAGGAGGAGGAGGAGGAGGAGGAGGAGGAGGAGGAGGAGGAGGAGGAGGAGGAGGAGGAGGAGGAGGAGGAGGAGGAGGAGGATGGGATTCCATTGCAGTCCCCTGTACACGACACCCCCGTGCACCTGACGCCAGAGGTGCTGGCGCCTGTGCTGCTGGCACTACCAGTGCAGGCCTCCCCTGTGCATCCCCTTCCTGTGCTGCTGCTGCTGCTGCCGGGGAAATGGGAGTCGGGTGCACTGAGCATCTTCTTGAGATGGTCGTACACTGAAAAGTACACCTGAAGGCGGGGGAAGGGGCATGCATGGGCCATTGGTGGGAGGGGAATGCAATCAGCAAATGGCGAATCTGAGATGGGACGGGTAGAGTCGGGTGCACTGAGCATCTCCTTGAGATGGTCGTACACTGAAAAGTACACCTCTGGGTGGGGAGGGGCATGCATGGGAGGGGCATGCATGGAAGGGGCATGCATGGGAGGGGCATGCATGGGAGGGGCATGCACATAGGGGAATGCATATGCCTCGTCGCTCTGGGCATCTTGAGATGGTCGTACACTGAAAAGTATCCTTGCCGGCAAGGAGGGGCATGGTTGGCATGGGGTGCATGGTTGGGGCATGGTTGGCATGGTGGGGCATGGTTGGCATGGTGGGGCATGGTTGGCATGGTGGGGCATGGTTGGCATGGTTGGGGCATGGTTGGCAGGGTGGGGGATGGAGCATGGGGTGCATTCTCTTTACCCCCTCTCCTCTCTCTCCTCGCTGCTCCCTACTTAATTGTTTTTCTTTTTTCCTTGCTTCTGTTTTTGTTCTTGTGTTATTGTTGTTCGTTAGTTTGATAACTTTTTTTCGCAACCTCCTTTTCCTTTCCTTAACACCACCTACTCCCCCGTTTCCCCTTACCCCTCCTCTTACCGCCCAGTTTGGCAGCAGCGCTACCACGGAGGGGCAAAGCCCCCTGCTCATTCCCTTCGTCCCCCTTCCCCTCCCAATCCGCCCCTCCCCCCTGCTCCCCCTCCCCACTCTCACCGCTCCCGACGTTTCCCCTTACCGCCCAGTTCGGCAGCAGCGCAACCACGGAGGGGCACAGCCCCCTGTACAGTCCGCGGATGCCCTCCTCCCGCCATATGGCGCGCAGAGTCGTCGCAATCACCCCCGCCTTTGCGCCCGCCGACCTACCCGCGCGCGCATGCGCCCCTGCTGCGCCCGCCCCGCTCCCAGCTGCATTTCCCCGGGGGGGAAGCGGAGGCCCCGGGGAGTGCGGGGAGCCAGGGGGGCGGGAATGCGGGCCCCCAGACGTGGCGCAAGCAGAGGCTTCGTGTCCCGCGCCCGCTTGCCTGCCTATCCCTGCACGCGCAATGGACAGCCCGTTTCTTGCAGCGAGGCTGCTCATAACGGGGACACCTGCGGCGGCGGAACGCGCGCTTCCTGATCGCGGAGAGGGGGAGGCGGGATGGCCGGAGCTGCAGGGGGGAACCGTCGCTTGCGCGTGCGGGGAAGGGGAGGGGGAAGCGGAAGCGCCAGGGTTACCGCTTGCGCGGTTAGATGGTTGCGCTGGGGTAGGGTTGGAGTGTTGGTTGAGTTGGGCAGCGGCCGTTAGGCTGCCGGCTGTTTGGCCGGTAGAGCTTCCGGCGGCCGGTTGTGGCTGGGAGCGAGGGATTGACTGCACTTGGAGCCGCGTTTTGACGACATCGAGCGGCGCGACGAACGTGGCGGCTATGGCGCCTGGTGGTTGGGTCGGGTACGTGGGATGACGGAGAGGAGACGGAAAGGAGACGGAAAGGAGACGGAACGGAGACGGAAGGGAGACGGGAAGGAGACGGAAGGGAGACGGAAAGGAGACGGAAGGGAGACGGAAGGGAGACCGGAAGGAGACGGAACAGAAACGAGCGGGGAACGTTAGGCAGCTCCTTGACCGCATTTTAAACAAGCGATTCAAGTCTGAAGCTCAAAGAGTCTGACAACAAGTGTTTCACGTGTCAACAAGAGTCTGACGTGGCATTCACCTGCACCGGCGCCCGCGACGCCGCTGAAGATCTGCGAGCGCCGCTCCTCGGAAAGCTCGCCCAGCCACTTCTGCATGCTGACGCGCAAGACGAGAGTTGACACGCGAACGAGAGATGACACGGGCCTTCGAGTTGACACGCGGATCTGTTGAAACCCTTGGCGCCCACTGCTTGTTTCTGTAACAGCGGTTCCTATATCCGTTATTAATCCCCGCCGGATTTCCGACTATCCCCGGAAAATAATAGATCGACGGCGCGCGCGAGTTGATGGGATATCGGGGAACGATGCTCGAGGCGGCGTGAACATCGCAGAAAGCCGTCGTTATGTTCCGTTCAATCCGGCTGTTGAGATGTTCCGTTTGAACCGCCCGACGGTTGACGCGGGAGAAGGTGAGTTATAAGGAGCAGGCCAATGCAGATCCCTCGGATTCAGACCTCGTCAAACTGACTTGACGGTCAGCGAAAAAGGTAATGCAGTTCGCCAGTCGCCTTATTCAGAACGAGGTTTTCGTAAACGCCGCGCGCAACGGCGAAAGGGTATAATCACTCCGGCACGGCACGTATTCGTTCGTCGCGAGACGCTCGTTCTCGAATCTCGCGGAACTCCGCTACAGATGGCGCGCCGCGGCGCGGTCTGGCGAGGAGTGCTGTGTCGTGGCGTGGCGTGGCGTGGTTGCACTAGATTCGCCCATCCGTGAATAATGGATGCGCGAAAAACGCACAAGACAGACGGTCCACGCGACGTTAATCGTAGCTATTCAGGCTCGATGCCTTCGGAAATTTTATGACAGGAAACAAGCAGCGACGGGAACGAGCTATGGAGACAGCTGGGAAACGAAAGGCTCGAGCACGAAGCTTCTATCAATGCTTCTTGGGTGGTGAGCTGGGATGCGCTTTTCTCTCACTGGTGTGTAAAACGAAATTTGGGAGGTGGGGAGGAGATTACTAATAACGTGTGGAAATCCCACTCAACCGTTTTTAATCACTAGAATAATAAACGCACCGTTATGTACCGCTTTGTAACGAGCCAGGCATCCAAAATGTCATCGTGCACAATCTATATTTCGTCAGCCATTTATCGCACACAGCTGGAGCCATTCTTCTTCAACAGCAATTTCTCTCTTTCTTTTCCCCAGGTTCCGCTCCTGCTGCCCGCGGGTTCGCTGCTGCGCGAACATGGGGGAGATGAAGCACGGTGGGCGGAGAGGAGAGCGCGGAGTTTAGGGTTGTGTAATGCGGTTGGGGGAAAGATGGGGGAAAGGAACTTCGGCGGGGGATGAATTGGGGCAAGATCTCGACGAGATTGACGCTGAGCAAGTGCCCGCAACATATGAATTCTCGGCGTCGATTGGACAAGAGACATCCATGCGTGACGACTACAAACGACGTGCGAACTGTGCGGTGAGGTGAGGCTTCTTGTGTGCTGATTCGCTCATACGTCGGATCACGGGAAGCTGACCTGGCAACAGCACATTACAGGCGACCATGTGACGGAGGGAACGGCTTCGATTGGCAGAAAGTCGGACTGCATTTTCGCTGGAATCACACACTCCAAGCCAACACATTCTTTAGTATAAAATACAATCGTTGCAAACAAACCAAGTACATGGTTCGATCACTTAACAAATACCACCTATCCTAACTACATAGGGATTACTTATGCTTTCACACAGGTTTGAAATCCCTTAAGAATTGCTGGCCTGGCACCCGCGTCACACCTGCAGGCCCACATAATGGCATTCCGCCAGCCACGGCTCTTCGAAAGTGGCCGACATTGTCCCAAGCCTCCGCACTGAGTCCCAGACGTCTTTTTCGAATTCCACCCGAATGACCCGCACAGATTCCGGCACCGATACTGCGTGCGCTGCCCCTTTCTATTCGTGCAATCCGACGCCGACGTCAAGCAATTCCCCGCGAGCCTCATATTCTTACACGACGACATAGGTTTCGCCGACGCCGGACTTAACCCGAACTGCAACCGAACCGACCCGACGAAATAGTTCCTCCGGAGGTCGAGAGATTTGAGTTGCGGCGGGAAGACGTTGGGAAGGGGACCCGTGAGAAAGTTGTGGGCAACGGAGAGGGAGGTGACAAGGAGGGGGAGGCGGGGGAGATTGCCGGTATGAAGGTTACGGGGTACGTGCAATACGTCTACTGTGTCGGAGAATGCGGGAATTGGGCCGCTGAGAGCGTTGTTGGCAAGGTTCCTGTGGTGGCAGAAAGAGGTAGAGAGAGAGAGAGCGAGAGAGCGAAAAAGAGGTGCAAAAAGGGTTGGGACCTGATGACCTGATGACCTGAGGAATGGTTGAAGAATTGCTAAGAAACATGCATGTGCACATGCAACAGTCACACATGGCATGCACGTGGTATGCAAACATGGCATGCACATGGCATGCACGCGAATAGAAGGGCACTCACACATGGTCCAGATGGGGCAGGCTGGCAACACCCGTGGGGATGCGCTGAGAGAGCAGGTTGTTGGGCATGTACCTGCAGGGAGGGAGGGGGAGGCAATAGGTAGGGGAGTGAAGGGCAGGGAGGGGGGTGGCTTAAGATCGTGGCTCATGCCAGGCTGGCAACACCCGTGGGGATGCGCTGAGAGAGGAGGTTGCTGGGCTGCAGGGAGGGATAGGCGATGCACGGGAGTCGACACATTGCACGGGATTGTACTCATTACAAGCATGACTCGTACTGTTCTCCGTCCAACGTGCATATAACCAACAACAACAAAAAAACACTAAGGAGAAAAACATATAAGCATTCAATATTAGTGCTAAAAAAAAAACATATCCTGGGGATTTCAAAAGGCAGAGCACTCACAGGTAGAAGAGGCTCTCAAGTGCACCCCAGGAGTCGGGAATCGCTCCTGAGAGGCGATTAAAGCCCAAGTCGCTGCAGAGAGGGGTTGAGGAATGGGGGAGCGAGAGAGAGTGGGAGGGAAACGGTGGTACTCGTGAGTGGTACTGCCAGGGGCAGAAAAAACAGGACTATAGCCGGCAGAAAAAACAGGTTGGCAGCCGGCAGAGGTGACAGGACGGCAGTGGGTAGAGCTGACAGTGTCTACTGGTGGGACTTGTGCTGGTGGAACCTGTTATAGGGAAGAAGGGGGAGTGGGGCTTATGCATACTGGTGTGAATGAATAGAGGGTGGACCTACAGGAAGGACAAATTGGGACTCAGAGGTACTGTAGGGCCACGACGGCTGAGTAGGAGGCGAGGGGGGAGGACGGGGGGGAAGAGGAGGAGGGAGGGGGAGGGGGGGGGGGGGGGGGGGGCTTACAGGTACTGTAGGGCCACGAGGGCTGAGTAGGCGGCAGGGAGGGATGAGTCGACTCAAAACTCGTCTCATTTCACGAGGGGGGAGGGTGGGGGGTTGAAAAGGGAGGAGGGCTTACAGGTATTGTAGGGCCACGAGGGCTGAGTAGGCGGCAGGGAGGGAGGGGGAGAGGGAGGAGGGAGGAGGAAGGGAGAGGAGAGGGGAGCTTACAGGTATTGTAGGGCCACGAGGGCTGAGTAGGCGGCGGGGAGGGGTCCTCGAATGTTGGTGAGCTGGCTGAAGGAGGGCTTTGAGCCGATGGCACTGGGGGGAAGTAGGGAGGGGAGGGAGGGAGGGAGGGAGGGGGGTGGGAGAATGTGTTGAGATGGTCTCTTTGGATTTGAGTGTCTGGCCGAAAAAAGGGGCTGAAAGGAGTGAGTGCGGAAGTACAAGCATACGCACAAGCACAAGCACAAGCACAAGCACAAGCACGTGCATACACACACAAACAAATGAGCACAAGCGCACTGCCTTAGGCACTCACAGGTGGATGAGGCGCGTGAGAGAGCTGAGCTCCTCTGGGAGACTGCCAAAGAGATCGCCGCCCTTGATGGACCTGCCAGGGATAGCGTGGGGTGGAGAGGGGTGGAGAGGGGTGAGCAAGAGTGTAAGGAGGTTGAGGAATCGAACACGGAGTGGGACTTGGTAAGTGAACCTGGAAGTGAACCTGCAACCACCTGATAGACAAACTGACCACAACACCTGAGGCAACACCTGAGGCAACACGCAGCACCCAAGGCACCTGAGTGAGCACCTGAGGCAGCACCTGAGTCAGCACTCACAGGTGCACGAGGTTGGTGAGCTGACCCAGGGCCGGCGGCACTTCCCCTCTCAAATACTTGCCGTTCAGAGACCTGCACGCATTCCGGAGGGGAAATGGGAAGGAGGAGGGCGGAAGGGCAAAACGAGGGGGGTGGGGGAACGGGGGTTGGGGGAACGGGTGGTGAGCGCGAGTAATCAATAGTGTGTGACTGTGACAGATGGAACGTGATCTCACTGAGCGGCATGTGCTTATAACGAATGCGTTGATGCTTACAGCGAGGTGAGCAGCTGAAGGCTCTCCATGCCTGCTGGAATCACGCCTCCAATGTTCACCGAGTCAAGAAGACTGCATACAGTACGGAATAGGATAGATAAGAGTTGAATAAATATTTATGATTAGATAACTATAAAATAATTAGGCACATAGAATACAGTTATCTATATATGATGTGTACATATAAGCGCATATGATATATGAGAAATATAGGATCCAGGATGTAGGATAACCAGGTCCTTCCTCCTTCACTTGGGGAAATATCCTCCTACTATCAGCTTGCCTTGCACAGTGCATGATGCGAGGAGAATGCGTGCGAGATGCGTGACGTCATGTGGAACATACAGTGTTTTGAGAGATGTGAGTTTGGTGACGTCAGAAGAGAGAAATCCTCCACTGAATGATGACTTGAATTGTCTGCATGCACGGATGGAGAGATAATTGAATGGATGGGTAAATCTATAAATGGCCGGATGATTTTTTCGTGCAGGAACAAACAAGAATCGATTTGTTGATCGTAGCTACAGAAGAAATACAACTACACGACATAACACACATTATTCAGCGAGATACACTACTGTAGAAGCAAACTCAAAACTAATACGCACATCGAAATAGGCTTGCCGTCCGCGTCGCACACGACGCCCGTCCACCCGTCGTTGCACTCGCGCGTGCCCAACCACCCATAGCTGCTCGGTACTCGCAACGCCTTGCCCAGTGCGCTTAGCGGTTGGACTATTGAAACGAAGGGCGGAAAACGGGAGAGAGAACGGGGAGGGGTGGGGCGGAAGTAAGCTAGCGGAGATGCGAAGAGAGGGGTGGAGGGTGGAAGGTGGGAAAGGGGCGAGGCGAGGGGTTGGGGGGATGGGGAAGGGGGGAAGAGATCGGGAGCGATGGTGGAGTGTGAGAGAGGGGAGAAACCGGAAAGCAGGCGGAAAGAACTCGCGAAGGGAGGAGGCTGGGGCGCGTAATTTCGGACGAGCGCGGAAGGAACCGGGGAGACGGGGAGGGGGGCGCAGAAGGGGACGGGGACGGGGGAACGGCGCGGGGGAAACGAAGCAGAGGATCGGAGGGGTGGACGGAAAGCGGGAAGCGGGCCGAAGGAGCCGGGGAGCGAGCGGGGAGCTTCCGCATGCTCGAGTGAGGGGAACGGAGAGGGGGGATGGAGAGGGGGGACGGAGAGGGGGGAAGTGGGGGGACGGAGAGGGGGGAAGTGGGGGGACGGAGAGGGGGGAAGTGGGGGGACGGTGAGGGGTACTTGGCGCTTACACATGCTCGAGTGCACCGCAACTGGCGCAGGCGCTACGGCAGCCGCCGATGGGATTCCAGAGAGCATCACAAGCAGCGCGATCGACGCCGCGACTCGCGCAACCCGACAGGAGGCGAGGTTCCGGGAGGCCATGGCAGGTAAGGGTCCTGAAGCTGGTGGGGCCATGTGTTGAGAATCTCGCGCCTCGAAAGCAGCCCTTAGCGCAGGCGAGGGTTCTGAAGCCTCGTAAGCACGCCACAATGGTCGGCGGCGGTTAAATGATGCATGGGTGGTTCCTGACGGCCCAGCTGGCGCAGCCACGTGCGTGGTTCCCGACGTGTAGCTGCTTGGTCGATTAATCGTCATTCTGAACTCGTGAAGTCTATCAAGCTTCGAGGAAAAGGTACAGCTTCGCAGATCGTATGCCGCGGCGTGGCGAAGACGCTTCGCTAAATATATATAGTCTCGTCGACGGTAGTAACGGGGAGGAGAATCCCTCGTGATGTCAGAAGCTAATTATTGAAGTCGGGAATAGTACAGAAGACGTCAAGCGGCTCGATGCGGCCGATCAGCCCGGAAAACACAGGAACGAGTTCGAGTCGACCCTACTATTTCTCACTTACAGCACTTATAGGAGTTTTGCACTTACAGTGCTAGAAATCAGAAACGTGCTATTTTTAATCAGGTAATCCCTCCCTTCGTAAAATCTTTCGATCGGAGGTAATGTATATTGCCGCTGGCGTGCAGGGCAGGCTCGTTCGACTGGAATATACTATCGACGGAACGACAGGGCAGTTTGGAAGAGGTTTCCTAGAAGGCACTGACGTGTCACCGCAAAAAGAATCGAATTTTAGTCGGATAGGTGAAGCATGCGATGAGTAGGAGCGCTGCGCGTGAAATCAGGTGATACAGAATGGCGAGCAAGATGTTGTATATGTAGGAGCAGCAAGAAGAACCAGCGAGCTCATGGCGTGATAGTGCATGAGCTGAGGTCCTGAGGACCTACCTCCGTTGCATAGTGACGTTCGCCGTCGAACGCGTTGCTACTTGCGGTTTGTGTGGGTTCATCACCGCTTTCTAACGCATATCAACACATTGGAATGCAAATAACCATACAAAACCGTGTTGAAGGAACAGAGTACATGTGAACAGCGTCAAGATTGCTCGTTGGAAAGGAATGGTCACTGGAATACAGGACGGTTTCTGGCTCAGTCACTGTGTGAGGGCCCGTTTTGAGAGGCCACAGTCTCGAGAGTCTGGTTCGCGCAACGTTCCACAGTGGTGAAACTGTTTGCAGATCCTCATGTTGTAGGCGTTCGTCTCGTAAGACTTTCCGACGTCACAATTTCTCAAAAACGGCGCTTCGAATGGGGTCTATTTCCGCCGCCAGTGCCAGGAAGGGGGGCATTGATCATGAATAGAGGACCGGGCTGGGGAAGGGCCACACAAGCATGAGAGCTGGCTGCCGAGACCGACTGACAGTGGGGCAGCACTGTGCACAAGCCGCAATTTCCATGTTCGCGAGACCGAAACACTGTGCAGGGGGGCGAAAGGTTGATGCTTGTTCGGTTTTCAATGGTTCAGAGAGGCGAGACGGGGTCTAGAGAACGCCAGGCTGTGATGTTTGCACCTCCGCGTTTTGGGAGGTTGCTCGTTGTCGTTTCTCTCCCAAGCCTTTGTCCTTTCTGAATGCTAGTCCGCCAAATCCAAAATACAGATGATTTGGGATGCATCACAACCAATCATGTGCATTTTCAACTGCCCAACCCTGCCAGTCGAGTCGAGTGTATTGCTTGCGGCATCCAGACCAGACCTGTTTCCAGAAGCTTTCGGCATCCAGTGTGTCACCGACACTAGCCCGGTGTTTGGCAGTTGCTCCGACAAAAAATTCATTCGTCAGCCCGTACAAGGCTCATCAGGGCTGTTGCATTTGAAACAACACACGACAAGGACCGCTATGTACTGTAATTCACAGTGCCCGAAATGGGGAGATCGTGTGTAGTGTGACGCTGAAACAAGCCCATCTAAGCCATCCACCTGTACAATGGGCCACATCCTTCAGGATCGCCACTGGCGCAGGCTGTCCCGTAGCGGGAGAAGGCATGTGCCTGCTGGGAAACCCTCCCTCCCACTCTCCATACCCAACTTGCATTCACAAGCAACCTTCACAACAACGAACTTTACCACCACATAAATATATATAGGAATGACTTCTCTTTTATATGACGGAACAACGTTTTACTTGTTCCGGGACTGTCAATAACATTGCTTAATTCGCTTCTTGCAAGCAACATACTTGCACGAGGCGCGCCTTCCGATTTCGATGCCGGTGGTGCCCCGTAAGTTTGGGTGATCCGCCTATTGTTCATATGATTTGGAGCATATTATAGTGTAGTAATTCCGGTTTCTTTCTCTAGTTGCTCTTGAGTGGTTGAGGTGACGACGAAGTTCGCAGAGGATGTCGCAGAGATCATATCGGAAAGCGAAGCCCCATAATAAGGAGGAAAGATCCGCCATGGAACTTCACACGGCCGCACGAAACGGCGTTTTGGAGGCGGTTCGACGGTTGATAGTGGTGGATGGCGCCGATGTCAACGCGCGCGATAAGCTGAACCGCACGCCGTAAGAACCAGCGCGACTTGAGACGTCTCAAAAAGTGGAGATAATTAGCCGTTAGGCTTTGTTACACGCTGTTAGCCGCTGTGCTGTGTCATCAGTCTATTCCTGCCCTTGAAAACCCTAAAATCTACCCCCTGTTTATTCCGATTATTCACCTTATCTCCCTGATTCCGGCTAATTCTGTCATCTCGGCAACCCTAGGCGTCCCTGCTATGTCGCATCGAGTATCCTCCTCTCTCCCCCGTTCTCCCTTCTCTCCCCCTCCCGTCCCCGCCACCCACCTACACACATCCTCCCCCACCCGCATCTTTCCTTCTTTCCCGAACCCTACCCCTTCCCCTCTCCCTCCACCTCCCCCTCTCCTATGTCCCTCTTCGTCTCGCACTGCTCGTCCAATCAGGCTCCATCTAGCAGCCTGGGCGGGCCACGCTGACGTCATCACCCTGTTGTGCGCCAGCAAGGCGGCGGTCAACGCGGCAGCTGCCGACGACACGTCAGCGCTCCACTTCGCGGCGCAGAAGGGCCACGTCAGCGCCACGCGTGCGCTGCTGGCAGAAGGAGCAAAGCCGGCCGCGGCCACTAGAAAGGGCATGACTGCCTTGCATTTCGCAGCTTCCAAGAACTTTCCGGATGTAGTTAGGTTACTGGCTAGGAAGGGGGGAAAGGAGCTATTAGGTATGCGGAACAAGAGTGGCGAGAAGGCGGTTGATTTGGCTGGGAATGAGGAGATTAAGAGACTATTGGAGGGTTTGGAGGAAGAGTTGGTTAGCAGTGGTGGAGGCAAGGGCAAGGAGAAAGGGAAGAAGGAACAAGTTGAGGGGGGAGAGAAAGGAGGGGATGGGAGGCATGGGGAAGTAGCAGGGGAGGAAGGGAAGGGCGGGGAGGGAGGAACGGGAAAGGATGGTGGGAAAGGAGGAGAGGGAGGGGAAGGGGGAGGAGGAGGGAAAGGAGGGAAAGGAGGGGAAGCAGGGGAAGGAGGGGAGGCGAAAGAGGAGGGAGGAGGTGAGAGAAGAGCAGGGATCGACAGTCATGAGCACGGGAGAAGGGAAAGTGCTTCTGGAGTTGGTGAGATGGAGGAGGGAGGAGGGAAGGGAGAAGAGAAGATAGAAGGGAAGGCAGAAGATATGCGAGAGGAAAGGGGAGAAGGGGAGGTGGAAGGGAAGGAGAGGGTTCGTAGGAGACAGGAGGATGGGGAGAAGGAAGACGGAGGAGCAGACAAGGGAGGAGACGGGAAGGAGGAAGGGGTCGGGCAAGAGACAGAGACTCGGGCAGCAAAAAAACCCAAGATTGGTTTGTCTCATTTGAGTGCTGATGTGGACGATGCATGGGAGGAGGAAGCAGACTGACATGCTGCTAATGTGTATGCATGGTTACTGACACGTGGAGGCATGATTACACTTCAACAAAGCTTTTTGAAGGGTGTGAATTGGTGTCTACAAAAATGGTGGACAGTCCACATCAATAGCAACATCTAGATGCAAGTATAGTGGCTGAAACTAGGTAAAATGATACAACATAGCAAAAGAATAAAATTAAATCAGCAAGATTATGACAACGCCTCACTCAGGCCAAGTACCTGGAACGATTTTAGTACACTGAATGCCCCCCTACAACTACGGTGGTACCATACTTCGAAGTGGCTCTCATTCTAGAGCCACCCAATGTTTGACAAACCTGCAAACCCACCCACATTCACAAGTCAACAACAGAACGCCAGTGACAGGCGTTTGGAGCAGAAAAGCAAGCAAGCAGTTTATGATGACCCCAGAACGAAAGCAAATCAGGTTTCAAAGAGAGGAGCCACGAGAACACACTACGAGCCAATGAACGACGCGAGTGAGTGAAGCAGCTCAGTGCTGCTGCTGCCGCTGTTGCCGCCTCTTCTCTGCGCCTTCTCGTTCTGCTGCTCTTGCCCCCTCTTCTCCTCCTCATCGGCAACCAACTCAGTCTGCTCCGCCCTCTCATAATCCACTTCAAGGTCAATCCTAGCCGGTCCCCTCACCGTCCTGGCCCCAGCCTCCTCAACCTCCTCCTGAAGGGCTTGCACCCCCTCACTCACCGCTCCTGCGACCTCCATGCCCATTCGTGCCGGACCGGACACCAAACCTAGCATTCCTGAGCCTCTCACCGAGCCTAAACGCTCCGCCACCGAGGCTGCGTGTGCGCTCAGCGAGGTGCTCTTGGTTCGGCTGGCGGAACTCGCCTTGGGTGTACACAACACTACCTCCTTTCGGGAATTATAAGTGGGTGTGTACCCGCTGAGACAGAAACAACCCACGCCGCGGCACGAAAAGTAGTACGGGTAGCAGCGAGCAAATTTCGGGCAGCCGCCGTTAACCCGCCCGGGAGCAACGCACGGCCAGGATCGCTTCTGCTTGCACGTGCACGCATCATCTCTATTCGCCACATTCACCGCGTTAGCATCACACGCGCAAGTCCAGGTAGGGGGGAGAGACCCAGGGGCGAGCCTGGGGCGTTTGATGGTCGAGGTGGTGGGGGAGGAGAGGGGCTGAGAGGTGGCGACAGTGGTGGTGGTGGTGGGGATATCAGGGTAGCAGGTACCATACCCCTGGCATTGACTCTTCCCCTTAACAAGGGGCTCCCAAACGCCCGTCCCGCAGGCGGCTTTGCACATGGTGCTGTTGCGCTGAGCTTCAGGTGCAGTGCATTTAGACGACTGTGAGAAGCAGTTTTTGGAGAGTGCGGCGCCGAGCGCGGCGCATTTCACAGGAAAGGCGTAGAAGAGACTTTTCCCGACAAACACGTTGGCGATTCCGGTGAAATAGTTATCGGACAGGTCGATGTAGGTCAGGTTGAGTGGGAAGAAGATGGGGAGGTTTCCGGTAAAGTAGTTGGTGCTGATCGCGAGGGAGGTGAGGAGAGGAGGGAGAGAGGTGGGGAGCGGGCCTGAGAAAAGGTTCCTGGAGAGTGTGAGGGAGTCGAGCTCGGTTGAGAAGTCTGGGAATGGGCCGGTGAAGAGATTGTTGGATAGGTCTCTGCAGGTGGGAGGGGAAAGAGGGGTGGACGGCCGGTGGGGGGAAAGGGGGTGGAAGAGGAGGAAGGGTGTGTGAGGCATGAGTGAGAGAGTGAGAGAGTGAGGAGTGAATCGAGTTCTGAAAGATGGACAGGAGAGGGCGCGTAACAGGCAGCGGAAGAGTGTAGCGCGCACAGCAGAAGAAGGCATGTAGAGCATAGGCGGAAGGGGTATACCGCGCATAGCAGGGGGGGGGGATACAGCGCGCGGAGGGGAAGGCATGTAGGGCGTACACTTCATAAAGGTGAGGCAGGGCGGCGATTTCGGGTGGAATGTCGTCAGAGAGTGTGTTGCTCGGCGCCGCACTGGTGGGAGCGAGACGACGGGCGGGAAGGGGCGGGAGGGATGGGGAGGAAGGATGGGGAGGGGTGGGGAGGGTTGGGGATGGGCGAGGGGACGGGCGAGGGGACGGGCGAGGAGGTAACGGGGGGTAATTGGACTAATAGGCGGTGGAAGGGGCAGGAGGCGAGGGGAAGAGGGGAGGGGGGGAAGGAAGGGAGGGAGGAGGGAGAAATGTGCTTGAAACGATGGTGCTTGCAACGAGCATGCTCAAGATGGTGCTTATAAGGAGTGAGCTTGTAATGAGTATGCTTACAGGTAGAAGAGGTTGGTGAGCTGGCTGAGGCAGAGCGGCAGCGAGCCCTGCAGGCGGTTGAAGCCCAGGTTCCTGCGAGGGGGAGAGGGGGGCGAGAGGGGGGCGAGAGGGGGGCGAGAGGGGGGCGAGAGGGGGGCGAGAGGGGGGCGAGAGGGGGCGAGAGAGGGGCGAGAGGGGGGCGAGAGGGGGGCGAGAGGGGGGCGAGAGGGGGGCGAGAGGGGGGCGAGAGGGGGGCGAGAGGGGGGCGAGAGGGGGCGTGAGGGGGGCGAGAGGGGGGCGAGAGGGGGCGAAAGGGGGCGAGAGGGGGGCGAGAGGCAAGCACTAGATATATAAGAAAATGGTTCTCAAGAGCTCGCTGAGACAGGGCGCCAGCGAGCCCTGCAGGCGGTTGAAGCCCAGGTTGCTGCACGGGAACAGGCGCGGATGACGTGGGGACGAGGTGAGAACGAGGCCGGGACGAGGACGGGTCGAGGACGGGACGAGGACGGGACGAGGTGGGTGGGGAAGCAGACAGGGGAAGCGGAACTCAAGCGGGGACGAGGCGGGAGGCAGAGGGGAAAGAGAAACGGCGGCAAGGCGAGGAGGGACGCGGGCGAAGAAAAGCACGAGGAGGGCAATGGCGGAGCGCACAGGATGAGGCGGGGAAAGGAAAGGGTGGATAGCAGACGGCAGACGGCGGACGGACGGAAGACGGCGGACGGACGGCAGACGGCGGACGGCGGACGGACGGCGGACAGCTCTCCACTGAACCTTCGCTCCCCACTTTCGAGTCGACTCAAAAGACACGACGGCGGACAGCTCTCTACTGAACTGAACCTTCGGTCCCCCCTTTCCCCCATCCTCCCCCCCTTTCCCCCATCCTCCCCCCCTTTCCCCCATCCTCCCCCCCTTTCCCCCATCCTCCCCCCCTTTCCCCCATCCTCCCCCCCTCTTCCCCACTCCCCTCTTCACGCTATCCTCTCATTTAACCTGTGCGCCCACCCTCCCCCCACCCACTAGGCCTTGCCCTCCCCCCTCTCCCCCATTCCCCCCCTGCACCTTCGCTGCCCCTTCCCCCCTCAGCCCCTTACCTTCCAGCGCCGCCACCCCCCACGCGCGCTTACAGGTACTGGAGCGGCGCGATGTCGCAGAGCGCCTCGGGAATGCCGCCGTTGATGGCGGAGAGGCGGTTGAACGCCGCGGCGGAGCCCACGCTGAGCAGCTGCAGGCGCGACAGCTGGCCGAGCGCCGCGGGGATCTGCCCGGACAACGCGCCGCCCGTGATGTTGCTGCGCGGACCAAGGGAAGGGAGGGGGCCGGGGGGGGGGAGGGGGAGAAGGGACGGAGCAGACGCTGAGCAGCTGCAGGCGCTGAGCTGGCCGTGGTACGCGGGGATCTGACCGGACAACGCCCCGCTACGCGGATGGAGGGAGTGGGGGCGGTAGGTGGGAGGAGGCCGGGGGGAAGGGGAAGGGAGAGGGGGAACGGCCACACGCTGAGCAGCTGCAGGCGCGAGAGCTGGCCGAGCGCCGCGGGGATCCGCCGCGTGAAATGGGGAGGGGGAGAAATGGGGAGGGGGAGAAATGGGGAGGTGACGAGGGAAGACGAGGAGGGGAGGTGAGGCGGAGAAGAGACAAGGGGCTTACAGGTTCGCGAGATTGGTGAGGCCGCCGAGACTAGCGGGGAGCTTTTCTAGTTGACGCAAAAGGCTCAAGAGGTTAACGCAAAAGGCTCAAGAGGCTAACGCAAAAGCCGAGACTCGAGAGACAAGGGGCTTACAGGTTCGCGAGATTGGTGAGGCCGCCGAGACTAGCGGGGATGGGGCCCGTCAAAGCGAGTCCGTTGAGTGCGCTGTGAAAGGGAGGGAGGGGTGGGGGAGGGAGAGAGAGAGAGAGAGAGAGAGGCAAAGTTGTTGAGGCGCCTCATAAGTCGCCGAGACTCGCGGGGATGGGGGCCGAAAGCGCGAGTCCGGTAAGTGCACTGAGAAGGGGGGAACGGGGATGGGGGGGTCGGATTGGGGAAAAGACGTGTGCGGACGCATTTGATAGGGGAGGGGTAAGGGTGAGGGAGAGTGAGAGGGTGGGTGGCGGGTGAGGAGGCGAAGGAGGGCAAACAGTGCTTGCGTTACGATAACGAATGCATCAATAAAGGAGACGGAACAACTGCAGCATGGCAGGACGGGAGAGAGGCGACTAGGGCGTGATTGTAAGAGAGAGTGCTTACATCGAGGACAGGCTCGCCAGGCGCCCGACTTCCGTGGGAATGCTGCCAGTCATGTCCAGGTTGTTGAGCAACCTGTTACAAGCACAGCAAGTACAGGGACAGCAAAAAACGCATGCCAGTTAATAGGAGGAGTCACGGAGAAGCACACAAACCTCGCAAAATTCTCTTAAAGCGCATGCACAAAGGACCGCAGCACTCTTACGTTTCGGCGCACTCGCAAGGCTTGCAACGCTCCCAACGCTAGCGGCACTCACAGGGCTTGCAGGCGGCTGAGAGTGCCGACAGACGTGTGCAGCGAACCGCCGGTCCACGTGTGCTCGCGGCATTCCCAAGGCTTGCAGGCAGGCAAGGCGAGACTTACAAGGCTTGCAGACGGCTGAGAGTGCCGACAGACGTGTGCAGCGACCCGCCGGTCCACGTGGGCCTGTTGAACGATCTGTTGCATCAAATCCAATCATATCCAATCATTCCAGTCACGGAAATCATGCACAATGTCACGACGAGGAAGGGATAGAACAGAAGGGGAAGAGACGGGGAGGTAACGGTGAGCAAGGCCTGCGCGCAGAATCTGAGAATCCGAGGAACGTTGAAGGGCGGAGTGTCAAAAAAAAAAAAAAAAAAAAAAAAAAAAAGAGCCCTACGTCGGGTCGAACTTGTTGTGAACGTCGATTCGCCCGCCGAAGATTCGAGAGAAAGGTGAGTGGCGAGGGACATCGAAGGGAATAGAACAACATTCACGGAGCGAAAGTGTGAATGGGGTAACACCGTAACAGTTCTACGTAACCATGGTTCTACATGGAGACGGGAAGACCGTCCGCGTCGCACGCGACTCCGAACCATCCAGTCACAGAATCGCATTGCCGCGACGCCGACGAACCTAGAGGACCGTCGAAACGGGGAAACAGCGAAACGCACGCTACACTATGTATTACCGAGACATCTTAACAGGGTATCGGCCTGAGTCGCACGCGACTGGTTCGCGACAAACGGTCGTACATGGAAACGGGATGACCGTCAGCGTCGCACGTGACTCCCAGCCATCCAGTCGCGGAGTTGCATTGCCGCGCCGCCAACCAACCGAACGTCGCCGGCACTTTGAGACTTGTCGCTATACTAACCATCGATTGCGCTGCACGGATGGAAGGGAAGGAACGGGGGGAAGAGGGGAGCGCGGGGGAGAAGATTAGCGTGTGGATGTAGGACGAAGCAGGCACTTTGAGACTTGTCGCTATACTAACCAACGATTGCGCTGCACGGACAGAGGGGGGGGGGAAGGGGAGGGGAATGGTTGAGGGGAAGGCGGGAAAGGGAGTGGGGGAGGGAAGAACGCGATGGGAGAAGATTAGCGTGTGGACGCAGGACAAAGCCGGTACTTCAAGGCTCGTCGCTATATTCGCCATCGCTTGCGCTGCGCGGACGGAGGTGCAGGAGGAGGGAAAGGGAAGCGGGTCGGGTGGGGACGCGAGGAGAGAAGACTAGCATGTGGTGCCTTGCCTGACGAAAGCTTTTGAGTTAAGAGCTGGTAAGTCTCTAAAAGGACGCACATATTTCGGCATTCAGGTTCACAGAGTCGGCAGAGGAGACTTTTGAGTCGACTCAAAAGCTTCCGGGGTAGGAGCTGGTGGGTTTCTGAAAGGACGTACAAATTTCGGCATTTAGCGTCACGGGGTCGGCTGAAGAGACTGAAGAGACGAGAGCCATGGCGACGCAAAACGAGAACAGCACTCTGTACTGCAGCCTCGAAGGCCAGCTATTCCTGGCCATGTCTGCCTGAATCAAGGTTGAAGCTTTGTTTGCCGAAAGGGCAGCCTGGGAACTACGGACTTCGACAGACCGAGAAAACTCGGCCCAGACGGATGGACTAACGCTAAACGGTAGGAACTTGACGGCGGGGTATAATATAAGACGGTAAGTAAATGCCGAGGCGACTTGGGAATATACAGAACGCTGGAGGGAAGGACTGAAGTCGATGACCGTTTACGGATCACGCCGCAGATCGATTAGGGCCGTGAGCGAGGATGGTAGAATAAATAGCTATACAGTGGTGAAATCTATGTCTACTATGGGACAACACGGAACTGTCCTTTCGGTTCGCAGTCGCTGTTTAGGCGGACGTTGCTGTGATTAGATAATCGGCGTAGATTTAGGAGCTGGGGAGGACCAAGACTAGTGGTGGTGAGAAGAATCACGTCTACAGTAGTCTCTACCTAAGGCTTCCTTTCTCTCGTTTTTTGTGGACACACACCAACTTCTTCCCTCCACAACTCCGCTAGGGTTGTTGTTCCTCAATCCTCCCTGCACCATGAATTGTTTTTCCACCGTGTATGCAATGAACGACAAGGTGTCGCCTCGCCTCACGCCATCAGCCATGGCGGACGGATGGTATGTGCGTCTGTCTGTAGTGGGCACAGTGCAACAAGGACATGCTCAGGTCTGTTGACCGCCTGTCACAAAACAACACTCATCGCTCGGTCGAGAACGGTTGACTAAACATACCGATTCGAACCGTTTCTCACCTATGTGAAACATCGAACATCGAATTGCAATCGAACCTTGGTGACGCGGCGTGAGTTGAGTGTGTGGCTGTGGGTGGGGGGGTCCACACGGAGCAACCGGGGGGGCTAGGGTTTCCATTCCACCAAACTGAACAGTCTTCGCCGCTTCGGAAGGTCGGCGGGAAATGGGGAGGTCGGGGAATGTGGCGGGAAGCGGGGGAACTTGGGGGGGAGCGGGGATGCGGGGGTTGCTTGCGCAATGCCCAAGATTCAGGACAGGACAGGCAATCTAGGGGTTGCAGGGAATGATCGCTAGGGGAAGGGAGTGGGAGGGAGCTGGTCGGGGAACTCGGGAGATTCTAGGCAAGGGAGGGGCACTCGACTGATGATTCTCCGCCAATTCATTCAGCCAAACTCTTTTTTTTTCAGTCAGCCTGGGTTCTCCTTCCTTGTGCTGTACAGGTTGTGAGCTGTACTCCTTGCCCTTGTTGCACAATTACAGTAACAGTTTGGGAAGGAATAAAAGGTTTCCAGATTTACCATCTGAATTACCCCTTGACCAAGAAGCAAGGCACATCTCATCAAGACCAGGTAGTTGCCCAAACAAATGGTTGGTTTCCGCAGCTAGTGTACCCCCCCTGGGTTTCCTTCCTACTCGCCGTCTGAACAGTCACGGTGGATTGTTGGCGGAGAACGTTGGTGACCTGGCGCTGTCGGAAACACCTGACAACAACACCGCACAGCGTCAGTGCAGCGTCTGTGCTACCGTGAAGGGTCATCGCAAGAAGGGCCTATATACATCACATGAAACAGTCTCAGAGATGTAGGGTATTGTGATTTAAGTTGTTATATACACTATTGTAGTAACTCTAACAGTGACAAATAATATAATATTTACATAGGGCAATAGCATTACGTATTCTGTAAATATCAATTACGACTAGTATCATAATTTGGGATAGAATATGCAACACTCTACACTTTCCGCCCTGTATTGGTTTGATTCCGTAAACACATCGATTTGTTATGTATGCGACGATACCAATCTGATAGTTGTCAGAATGAACTGTGCAGGAATGGCTAGAAAAAGGAATGTACAGGTTTGTATAGGCTAACCCTAATTGGGGTTGTACCCCGTACTGAGTAACCCACTATAGCCTAGCAAGTAGAATTGTATTTTGACACACCCCCATATGCTAATGGGGGACAAGCAGATGGTCACAAGACCAGTCAAGCAAGAGAATAAGCAAAACAAAGCTCAGGGTGGATCTCAAGGACACCACACAGTCTGAGCACAAGCAAGCGGCCACAAGGTCAGTTCACATGCAGAGTTATAAGAACAAGGCAGTACACTGATTACAACCTAGCAAGAGTAAACATGCAGGTATAAAGATATATATCAGTGTACAACAAGAGTAAGTAAAACAACCAGCATGTGAGGCAGAGTGGGCACAAGCCCAAGAGCAGTGCAAAAGCGCTGATTGATCACCAGACCCAAGGGCCTTGGTGAAGACATAAGCAGTGTTGGCCCGAGAGGCCACGTAAGCAAGGCGCAGCTGACCACGCTGCTGCAGCTCCCGAGCAAGAAAGTAACGAAGAGCAATGTGCTTCGATATGTGCTCCAGTCTCTGCTCGCGACACAAGGTAAGCATTTCCTTGTTGTCGACGTACGGAACTGGAGGAGAACGAGGCCGCTCCCCCAAGTCGGTCAGCAGGTAGGTTAGCCAGCGTAGCTCCTGTGCAGCCATGGCCCCAGCGTAGATCTCGGACTCACAGCTGGAACCAAGCACAGAAGAAGAACGAGTGGACCTCCACGAGACAGAACCAGAGCCAAGACTGGAGGTGTAACCCTGTGACGAACGCTGGGTCGCCTGGTCGTCGGCCCAAGAAGCGTCAGAGTGTCCTTTGAGTACCACTGAACCCCGTCCTCCAAGCACGAGCCCCGTGCCCGATGTACTGCACAAGTAACGCAGTACCTTCTTCGCAGCATCAAAGTGCACCTTTCGGTGTCTACCAGGTGCCACGTAGCAAGACAGGAGGCTGAGAGGGTACGCGAGGTCAGGTCGTGTGCACGTTATCACGTACATGAGGCAACCCACAAGCTCTGGGTACGGACCACTCGGCTCTACGGACTTGTCCAAGGTGGAGCTGAGAGCGAGTGACCGGTAGACAGAGGAGTGGGCTGTGGCAAGGAGTACTGGAAGCCGAAGCGATGAAGGACCTGGTGCACCATGTGTGACTGAGTCAAGGTGATGGTGCGCCGTGCTCTGTCCCGGGTGATCTGCAAGAACAGATAGCTCCGAAGCTCACCCAGGTCAGTGCAGGTGTGTCTCTCCTGCAGCTCCGCCTACACTAGGGCCAGCGCCTCTGTGTCAGGAGTAGCAAAAAACAAGTCGTCGACGTATACGAGAACGTAGAACGGCGACAGGGTAGTGTCGGTGCGTAGAAACAGCGACGGGTCAGCAGTCGAAGGAGCAAACACAAGAGCCGCAAGTGTCGTCCTCAATGTGTCGTGCCACTCGCGGGGCGCCTGACGCAGGCCATATACTGGTCGCTGTAGGCTCCACTGGGCACCCTCGAGAAACGACCCAGTGAAGCCCCCTGGACGGTGCAGCCAGATGGCCTCGTGAAGGCTACCCTGCAAGAAAGCTGTCGAGAAGTCAAGGGAGTGCAGCTTGTAGTCACGCTGAGCTGCAACGTGTAGTAACACCCGAAGAGTGATCATCTTCGGGGTGGGGGAGAAGGTCTGAAAGAAGTCGACCCCCTCACGATGACTGAAGCCTCGAGCAACGTAACGTGCCTTCGAGGCAGGCGGAGAACCTGGCAGCTGCTTCACCCTGAAAATCCACATGCCACTGACGATGTTCGCCCCAGGTGGGGGAACCTCGTCGACGTAGGTGCCTGTGGACTTCCAGGAAGCCATCTCTGCATCCATGGGTGTCTGCCACTGAGAGGAGTACTCACCCGCTATCGCCTCAGCGTAAGAGCAAGGGGTAGGGATGTCAGGTTCATCCGGGTCTCCCTCAGGGCAAAGCAGCATGGACGCGAAACGAGGTAAAGCGGCCGGAAGACACTCAAGCTCAAACTGGCTGTCCTCAAGAACGTCACTGCTAAGGGCAAGCTCACCCCAAACGGACGGAGGACAGACAGAATCAGACTGAGTAACCAGACTCGCGACGTAGTCGAGACGACGGGTAGCAACAAAGTCGACTAGCTCAGTGACTAGGGCAAACGGAACAGTAGACTCAAAGGAAGGGTCAGTGACAACAGTGGCGAGGAGACGAGTGACTGTAGGACTAGCAGCACGAGCATGGTCGGACTCATGGTCAGGAACGCCAGGAAGAGAGGACGCCGGAGGAGATGGCAGAGCAACACGCTGTGGAACAGAGGAAGGACGAAGTGCCATAGCGTGCGTGCCAGGGACAGGAGGAGGGCGAGAACGACGAGCACGACTGAAAGTGCGAACAGGGGAGGCAGGATGAGACTCAGGCTCACGACGCTCAATCTGGGAGCCTGTGTGTGCAGGGTAGGGAGAAGGAGCAGATAGTGGAGAGCCAGGCAGTAACTGCGGCTGTGACTGGTCAGGCGGAGGACACAGGAGAGGCGGGGTAAGGCCAGTGGAAGACAAAAGACTAAGAACCTGAAGAAGTGCCGAGTCAGGTGGTGGTAGGGGCGACTGCTGCTGTGGGTAAAAAAACAGTCAGCGCGGTGCAGTGCCCGTACCGTCAGCAGCTCCAGCACCTCCAGCACCTCCACTACTAGCCGCTCCAGCACCTCCAGCACCAGTAGCTCCACCACCTCCAGCACCAACAGCTCCAGCACCTCCAGCACTTGCAGCTCTAGCGCCTCCAGCACCAGTAGCTCCAGTACCTCCAGCACCTCCAGCTCTAGTACCTCCAGCATCAGCAGCTCTAGTACCTCCAGCACCTCCAGCTCTAGCACCTCCAGCACCAGCAGCTCCAGCGCCTCCAGCGCCTCCAGCTCTAGCACCTCCAGCACCAACATCTCCAGCACCTCCAGCACCTCCAGCACCAACAGCTCCAGTACCTCCATCACCTCCAGCTCTAGCACCTCCAGCACCAGCAGCTGTAGTACCTCCAGCACTAGCACCTCCAGCACCAGCACCTCCAGCACCTCCAGCACCAGCAGCTCCAGCAGCTTCATCACCAGCACCTCTAGCACCTCCAGTCCTAGCACCTCCAGCACCAGCAGCTCCAGCACCCCCAGCACTAGCATCTCCAGCACCAGCAGCTCCAGCGCCTCCAGCAC